ACTCTGAGACGAGATGGGATTTAGGGACATGATTTTGTGTCCCCGCCCTGCACGATCTTGCTTCTTGGTGTTGAGGCATGAGGGTCAGAGGGAACAGGGATCTTCAATCCGTTCCAAATCTCCCTCTCGCACGCTCCCCTGGCACAAACACAGTCAAGACACCGCTGGGCACGGGACTGGCACTAACTTTGCCAACAACAAACCTAATCAGAACACAGGACCAGAGGTCTTAGGGGGACCCCTATAGCGTATAGGCTTAAAAGGGTGCCCTGGGGCGCCTGCGGCTTAAACGGCTTAAAACTTGCCATGGCAAGTTTTAAGACATAAGAGCTGCTGGGCCGCCAATTCCTTAAACGGTCTTAAACGCTTAAAGGTGCGGGAGAGCTCCCGAGGTCGATGGTCCGGGAGGCTCCCGGTAGACACGGCCGGAGGCCGGGAAGCTGGCTACAGTCAGCTAGCACGCGTCCCCTATGCGAGTATGGCTCCTGCCAGTGCACCAGACTTACAGATGTGTCTTCAGTGGCGGGTTCGTGCCTAATAACGGCAGTATTGGAGAAACCGGCGCGGAACCCAGCGACGCATGTCGGTGAGGCCGATTTCTTAAACGGTCTTAAAAGAGGGACCCCCCGTGCCTGCAATCTCTTAAATGGCAAGTTAAGCCCCCAAACCTCCTCGTTTCTTAAAAGGTCCCCTAAGCCAGAGGTAGGGATTCGCCCCCGTAACGTCTAACCGCCCGCCGCGCGAACTGACTCCTCATCACCTCACTACCAACATACATAGGTAGAAAGGTGAAGAACAGCCAGGCTCGGACTGGACACCAACGCGGTATGGGTGGACGCTAGACAGATGATGACGACACGCACGAGCGACACACAGACACAAAATACGCCCTCGGCGCCTAGAAAAGAATTCAGCGTGCCTCAACGAAGCACGACAGGGCGCGGACTGGCGCCGACTGGCACAAGAGAAGTCAATTTGATGTTGCACTGCTATCGCGGCGCCTTCGGGCCGTGGGCTGCCTTCTCTCGTCGTCGGGCGATGCCCATGTCGCGCACTGTTCTCCTCTCTCTTCTCGCAATTCCCGCCTCTGCGTTACGCGACTCAGACGGGTCTGCACGTCCCTACCGCCTGCAGCGAGCGTCTCCCGTCACAAAAGCGCTACTAGCGGCCAACGTGGCCTCCTTCGCAGTCGTGCAGCGTCGGCAACGTCTCTTTCTCGCTCTGGCAAAGTCCAACGCGGCGCTCGCGCGTGGGCAGTACTATCGGCTGGCCAGCTCTTGCCTGCTCCACGCCAACGCAGCGCACCTGTTTGTCAACTCGGCGTCGCTCCACAACATTGGTCCTGTTGTCGAGGCCCACTTTGGATCGACACGCTTCGCTGCCCTCTACGCCGCCTCAGGTGTCTGCGGCAACGTGCTCTCCTGGTCGCTCGGCCGCGCACCGCTCTCTGTCGGCGCCAGCGGCGCCATCTTCGGCCTGCTTGGAGGCTGGGCCGTCTTTCTCGCCTCCAACCAGCGAGTGCTCGAGGCGCGAGGCGCGCGAAACATCGGCGAGTCGCTCAGCTCGCTCGCCACCACCTGCGCGCTCAACGCCGCCCTCGGCCTCTCGCCCGGCTCGCGACTCGACAACTTTGGTCACGCGGGAGGAGCGCTCGGAGGGATTGCTTTTGGAGCGCTGTGTGGGCCACGCCTGCGCGAGGCGTGGGTGCCGCTGCGGGCTGGTGGCCCTGGGCTGGCACTCGTGGACCAGCCGCTTCTCCGTCTCCCGGGCCGGCAGCCGAGCGGGCGCCGTCGCGGCACATCGGTGGGACGGCAGCGGCGGCGCGCATGAACGACACGATCGGTTGTCGGGGGTGTGGTTCACCCATTTTAAAAGACACGAGATCATGCACGAAATTTTTCACGCGCGACAACCGATGTAGTTTTGTTGTTGGCCGGCCGTGCGCGGTTTTCCCCTTGACCTTGTCTCACTTACCTCATTTTGCTCATTATGATTAGGCCGGTCGCTCCCCCGTCTTTGGGCCCTGTTGAGTCGTTCCGGAAGTTGAAGTTGGCGCATCACAAAGAACCCAAATCCAACCCTGCCAACCGAGCAAGCCCATGTGGGACGCGAGGTCTTGCTCCACCTTCTCGGCGCTCGCGTCGCCCAACCTGAGAGCCTCATCCGCCATGCCGGGGCACATCTTGACCGGAGCCGGTCACATGTCCATCGTGCCCAAGACGGGGCACGGTCGACTCGACCGCGGCCGATGGCACCGGCCCAACGGCCGACCAAGATTTTACGCCTCCGAACGCCGGGCCGGTGAGGTGGCGGGTCGGGCGACACGGAAAATCGGTGGCTGACAACGACTTTTTGAGGCCATCGGTTTGAGGTCTGCAGACATTTTCTGGATGATCTCGCATTTCCCGAGGCGTAATCGCAGATCCAGACGGCCCAGCAGGTGGGCGCTGCAGGCGAGCCGCCTCACATCCTTCGCCCCCCCCGTCGCTCACGCTGCCTCTGAAGCACCGGACCACCCCCCCCGCGCCCAGGCGGCCTAGCTGCCGCGGGCTCCACCCACGCGGGCCACCATCAGCGCCGCCCGACGGCTCAGAACCTCTCTCTTTAGGTCCCACAAAGGCGGCGAGCGAGCGGCGAGGCAGATGAATCGAGCTCTGGACGCATGCCGCGAGAGCTGTGAGGGTCGCAGCTCGGCCTCCATCTTGCCCGGTAGTGGCGCGTCGGCTTGCCGGCTCACGGGGGTCACTGCCCCTAGGTGCCGCCTCACCTCGCCTCTATGCACCCTTCACCCTCTAGCGCCTCACCCTGCCCGGTGCCGTGGTAGTGGCGATGTCAGCCATGCTGGACCGGCGGCAGCGAGGCCGACGGGCGTGGCTGCGGCGACAACGGCGGCTTGGCCCGTGACGGCGACGGCGCTGACGGCAGAGCAGCTGCGGCCGGCACGGGCGGGTGCGGCCGAGCAGCGCGGCGCTCACAGCAGGCGGCCGGCGTGGCGGCGGCGACGGCGCCGCACGAGGAAGCGGTGGCGCAGCCGCGCATGACAGGTCCGGCGCGTGTCGAGCAGCGAGGTGGCGCGCCGCGCTGCCGACGCGCCCCCAGGCCGGAGGCGGCCGCCGCGTGCCGAGCCGCCGGCTGTTGGTGCTTACAGTCTGCGGCGGCGGCGCCGCCGCCGCCGTGGAGCGAGGCAGCGGCGGCGGCGGCGGCGGCGGCGGCGGCGGCGGGGGATGCGGCGGCTGCACGTTGTGCCTCGAGGCGTCGCTCGCGGCGCTGGTGCGGCGCGTGGTTGGCTGACGAGGTTGCGCGCGCACGGCGCTCGAGGGTGTAGTCACGTCCCTCGGCTCTCGCCACCGCTGTCGCCGCGCGCTCCGCGTTCGTTGTCGCCGGCGCTGCCCGCCTCGAGCCACTGCGGCCACTGCCGCGCGACGTTGCGCCGCGCCACGCTGGCCGTCGCTCTCTCGACGTTGTGGAGGAGGCTCTGTCCCACGTCGAGAGGAGGCGTTCCCGCGGTGATATTGACCCAGCTCTGTTGTCTCTAGGCTGCGTCGGCACGGGAGGCGCTGCGGGCGGGAAGGTGGAGCGGGCTGCGGAGCGGCAGATTAGTGGCAGTGGCGACGGGCGGGGCGGCAGCGAGCAGGGTGGCGAGTGAGACGTTGGAGAGGCGGGGCTGGGGAGGCTGGTGCCGGTGCCACTACAGGCGGTGCAGGTGCGGTGTGCTACTGTAGTGCTCGCTCACCGGAGCGAGCGCGGCGCTCGGACCGTCCTGGCAAGGGCCGCTGACCAGGACGGTCGCCAGGAGTCGGCTTGCACCGCGAGAGCGGCGAGGCGGGGGGAGAGGCCTGGTGAGGGTGTCAGCGGTGGTGCGTGTGTTAGTTAGGGGGAGAGGCGCGGGCCGGGGGAGCGGGAGGGGGTGGGGGGGTGGAAAATTTCGATACCCTAAGGTGCCCTGGTGATCCTGGGTTAGTATCGTCTCTTCTGAGCCCGCTCTTGATGGGTTGGAAGCGTTTTCATAGCGAATTCACGCCGATTTTGCCATACGGACGTCCCTGGCGCGCGCTCTTGAAGGCCTCATCCTGGGATGGTGCTCGCCAGCGTGAGTTCATACAGTGCTGCGAGCTGGCCTAAGGCCGGACCTTACGACGGTCCAGCGCTGGGCAGCGTGATGGCTCTTACTCGAGGCGCGACATGAGTGTACGAGGACCTCAACGTCTCGGTTTGGCGAACCAGCATGAGGAGAGGAGCCGCTGTAGCTCCTCCCTGCAGCTTGCGCGTCGCGGTTTGGCCGACGTCCCATCCACCGCGCATACTGCGGCGGCTCTCCAGCTCAAGAAGGCTGCGCTCGACCACCACATCGCCCGAGTCAGTGGTCCGGACGCCCCGCTGAGCCTCGCGCCGCAGTGCAGCCAGTTTGCGCGGCCGTGATGCGCGAACCGAACCGGTGCGATGTTGTTCGGCACTCTAGATGGCCTGAACATGCTTGCGTTCAAGTCTTGAGGTCTGCGCTTAAACTTGAAAATTTAATAAAATCGGGTCCGACCGGCCTAATAAATTATGTCTTGTCAGAACTTGTCTCGGGAAAATACCGCGTGGCCCCGGTACTTTGGGGGGCGCCTTACTCAACTTTGACCGATCTAACGAACGCCTTCGCTAGAAGTAGAACCTAGATCGTTACGTATCGTTCTCGGTTGCTGCGCCACCTCCATGCCTCCACCAGGGTCTCGCCAAGCTCCAGCACGTCACCGCCCACGGGTCCTCCTTGCGTGGCGGGAAAGGCAGTCCGTGGGACGGTGGTCACCACGGGAAGCTCCACCAAAGGAGCCACAAGGCCGTTGTTCGGCGAGGCGGAAAAGACACAGCCGGCGCTGGCGCTATCTGCGCTCGATCGCCGCTTTGGCGGAGGCTCGTCGCTCGCCGGGTCTCGCGCGTGGCCGCTAGCCCCCCAGCTGCTTGCCTCGTCCACGGCTCCCGCCTGCGCACCAGTCGAATCGGGAGAATTGCGCTGCTCACCCTTTTCCGCCTCGCTCGCTGCCTCGCTCGAGCGTCTGCCATCGCTGCCGGCACTCCTCCGCGGAGCGCCGTGGGATGGTGGAAGCAATCAGCTCCCACAGCCGCTCCTCCCCGAACCCGTCGGCGGCCATGGCTTCGCGGAACCTGGGCACAAGTCTGCGCAAGCGCTCGTCGCCCACGAGCTTGCGCAAGCGCTCATCATCGCCCGGGCCAGCCTCCCATGACAGCGACGGCGGCGGCCCCTTTGCGCCCACGACTGGTGGCGGCGGCGTGCGCCGGACCGTCTCCCAGTCCCTCGTCTCGCGCGGCTCGCCCACCGGCCGGTGCCCCTCTGTGAAATCGAACCGGATTTCCTGCCCTGCCGCGATCGGCTCGGAGGCGACGAGCCACATCCCGCCGTGCCGTTTGTCGATCCGCGCATTCGGCCTCGAGCTGTGGTTGGCATAGACCGCGCAGCTCCCCGGCACGTAAAAAGGGCCGATGTTCTCCGAGAGCCCGTCGATGACGACTGGCTCATCGCTCACCTCGAGGACGTAGTCTCCTCGCTGCTGCAGCGACTTGGGGATCCTCGCTCCCCGGTACTCGCAGATTGCCGCATCCCGCGGGATTGGCTTGCGGGCGAACAGACCCAGCTGCTTGGCTCCGTTCGGCCGGTCGAGGACCCCCTCGGTCACAAAGGCGTACGGTCCATCGGCGACCTGCAGCTTGCGGATCAGGGTCTTGTCGTGGATGTCCTGCTCGTCCTCCCAGGACCGCTCTTCAACCGAATAGCCATCCCAATGCACGAGGTACTGCCGAGCACCAACTCGCACCCGCTGAGCCACAAGATGGCTGACACGCCGAGCGACGGGAGATGCAACCTCCTTGGCCCCATGGTGCGCCTCCGACTCGCCCCGCGGCAGGTGCAATGAGGAGCGATTCGAGTCCGCCACGGGCTCGCTGGACGTCGACGGGTTGACGCCCGACGACTGAGCAACGCGGAGCCTCCCGGAGCTTAACGGTACCCACTCGTCCAACATCGAGTCACTCCCCTGATAGTGGACCAGGAGCTCCGCGCGGCGCGAGGTGCCCACCCCGCCTCGGGCGTCCAACGCCCTGGTCGCCATCCACTGGCGGACACGCAGGCAGTAGCAATCCAGCCGGCTGCCCGCCGCCCAGCCTGCCCTCAGCGCGAGCTCTGCGTTCGCCGCGAGCTCCGCCTCTGACGGCGCCTTGGCGTGCCCTGCCGTTGCCGCCACCGGCTCCGCCACTGGCCCCTCCGGCGCCGCGCTGAATCGCTTCTTGAGGACGGCCTCTCGCCCCTCCACCCTGTGCCGCACGCGGAATCGGCCGCTGCCGCCGGGGTCCAAGCCCATGCCGCAACCCGTGCTGTTTGAGAGGCGCGGTCTCAGGCCTGGCGTCTCCTCACTCGCGCCCGGCCCCTCCGCCACCTCCAGCGCTGCTGCCGGAAGCTCCATCGACGCCAGAGCCTCCCCAACCGCCCGCGCGTAGGCCGTCGCCGCCTCCACCGCAGTGTCGAAGGTGCCGAGGACGATCCGCCTCCCGTCCACCGTGTGCCGCGCCAGGAAGCGGCCAGGGTATTGCTCCCACACGCCTCTGTATCCGGTGTTGCTGCTGCTGGAGAGGTGCAAGCGCACGCCATCCTCCACCGCCACCAGAGCCTCTTGGACGGGGCCGGCGCGCGCGCCGGCGCCCACGCCGCAAGCCGCGCAGTACCACTCGCCTTCCGGAGCGAGCGTCCCCGGCGGCAGCTCGAAGTCGCCATCGCAGCCGTCGCACACGATCGCGGTCACAATCTCGTCGGGGCGGAGCAATGCCGCCGAATCCAACCTCGTCTCCATCGGCTCCGCCGCCACTAGTAGCTCCTGGTCCTGCGGATGCTGCTCTGGCTCATTCTGGTCGAGCACAACATAGGCCGAGTGCTGCAGGCGCACCGGCTCATATGCAGCTCCATCCTCGCCGGTTGCATGCAGGAATCGAATCTGCGCGTGGTCGTGGCGTCGGCTGATGATCAGCCCCTCCCAACCGCGCCCCCCTTGCTCGCTGCACGCGTACTGAGGGTAGACCGTAGCGGGAACGAGGACGCGCTGACCGATGGCGCCCCCTGCATCCGCCGTCTCTGCCCGAGGCCGGTACTCCCCGGCCGCCTCTGCCGAGTCAAAGCAGCCCAAGGGGACCTTCTTACCGTCTACCGACTGCATCGCCCGGAAGCGGCCAGAGGACAGCCACACGCCCAAGTAGCCGCTGCCGCTGCTGCTGGAGACGTGCAAGCGCAAGCCCTCCGCCTCCGCCACCGCCGACGGAGCCGCCTCCTCTGTCCCTGCCTTCTGCCGCTTTTGCTGCGGCGCCTCCGTCAACACCATCGCAGCCGCCGGCGCCTCGCCGACCGCCTGGACCCCTTCGCCTACGTGCCGAGCGTAGGCCACCGCCGCCTCCACCGCCGTGGCAAAGGTGCCCAAGTAGACCGTTTTCCTTGCTCTTTCGTGCCTCGCTTGGAACTTGCCAGAGGCCTGGAGGAACACGCCCGTGTAGCCGGTGCTGTTGCTGCTCGACAGGCGCAGCTTCAGCCCCTCCGCCTCCGTCACCACTTTCGGAGCCGCCTCCTCCGCCGCTGCCACTTGCCGCTTCTGCTGCGGCTCCTCCGGCTGCACGTCGCCGCGTGGCTGTCTCTGTCTCGTGGCTGACGAGGCGAGCGGCCGCTCGCCTCCGCTGGTCGCTGCTTTCGCCTCTAGGCTTAGCCAACTCAAGTAGCCGAGCGTCTCCTCTCGACCGAGGTGATAGTGCCACTGGTCGCCATCGTCGTACTTGACGCAGTGCTGCCCGTCTGCAAGCGAGTAGCCCTTGACTGTGCCGTCGAACCACCTGTCCTCTCCGGCCCAAAATAGGCTGACCCGCTGCCCGACTGCCTCTTTACCGTACTGCTTGGCGCAGGCGAGCCTCGCCCTGGTCTCAGCGTCGATGCTCTTGCGGCCGCTCGTACGCCGAGGCGCTTTCGAGTCGGAATCCAAGAAGGGGGGAACTGCCGCCTTCACCGATGCCGGCTCCTCCGCCTCAATGCGCACCGTGGCTTGCGCGTGCTGCTCAGTCAGGAGGCTGCTGACGGCCCCTGCAGTGCATGCCGGCGCGACATCAGCCCGTGGATGGACAGCGCTCTCCGGGATCTCTGATGAAGCAGCAGCGCCTCCCGCGCGAGCGCTCCCCTCCGCCAGCATCGAGAGTCGGTCCCAACTCTTGTTGACGGGGGCGATACGATTCTTGTATGGGGTCCGATTGGAAGAAAAATGCGTTTTCCGCGCTTGTCTTTCGTACTGGGTCCGGGCTCCAGCCGTCTAGGGGGGCTGCAGTTCGCAAATTCGCGAAAAATCGTTCCTTTCGGGGCGGTGCCGGCCCCCTACCTACCGACCAATGTGTGAACCCGGGACGGGCGGGCAGCCTCGTGGGCTGGCACGGCCTGGCACGGCCTGTTTATAGCCGTGCTTCTCCGCTGGACGCCATCGCGCGCGAACAACGATGGTCGATGGTTCGTCGATGCTGGATTCGGGACACGGACTTGTGGGGTAACGGCATTTGTGGCAACACAGTTTCGCGTGCGATTACTGACGTACTTACGCGTCCCCATCAACGGTGTCGCGCAGAAGCGCGTTCCCTGTACACGGCGCGCTGCGCTCTGGCTGCGCTCTCACACTGCTCTCACTTATATCGATCTATAGTGCCAACCGGCGAGCGAGCAGGGCGTGGGCGCGTGGGGCGCTGCCCCTCACTCATGCCCGCTCGGCCACCTCCGCGCGGACCTTCTCGTACGAGCTCCACGTCGCGCGCCGCCACCGTCCCCTTCAGCTCCGCCACCTGGTCGAGCGGCGAGCCCGGAGCCTGACGCTGAGCGGTCAGCCGACCGGCGGCGCGCGCGGCGGCGTGCCGGTCGAGCCCCGGCGCCTATGGATGGGGAAGGTTCCCCCCTACCCGGGTGAGGTGAAACGTCTAAAGGACGAAGAAGAGTAGAAGAGTAGTAGAAGACCCGAATCCGCACGGCGGGAGAAAAACACGCGGCAGCCTCCCTCCCTATACCTACCCAGTGGATCCGTGGCGCCTCAAACAAACCCCGCCCGACCTGCAGAAAGCGCCCGAGAAAAATTTTTTTTCGTGCACCAGCGCCGACGCCGTTGCTACCGATGACGGAGGCACTCTCCGAGTACGAACTGGCCCGCCTCGAGACCATCCGCAAAAACCAGCTCGCGTTCGAGAGCATGGGCCTCGGCGATGCAGTCGCCGGCCTGCGTGCCGCCGCCTCCAGGCCCAAGCTGCCCAAGGCGCGAAGCAAGAGGCCGGCTGCCGACCCATCCGCACGCCGCAGCTCTCGCCGCCTGTCTGGCGAGGCCGCTGCCAACGGGGGACTCGTCGACTCGGATGGCGAGAAGGACCATCCCGCGTACCGCGATCCGAACGACGTCTCGGCCATGACGGCGCCAGAGCTCAAGGCCTGGTGCGACGCGCTTCGTGCGGATGTGCTCCGCATGGCGTGGGTGGAGCGGTTGGGCGAGGAGGAGATGCGGCGGCTGGACGGCGCACAGGAGTGGCTCGCGCCATTTGTGATCTTCACTGCGCGCTTCGGCGGCAAGGGCGAGTCGTCCCTCTCGCGCCAGAACCTCAAGTCCGTGCTGAAGCAGGTCTTCTGCCTCGTCTCCGGCGCTGGCGTGACGACGGAGAAGCGAGGCGGCGCCTTCGGCAAGGGGCGGCCGATCGGACTCGGCATCCAGGCGGAGCAGGTGGACGCGCTGCGGGCCGAGGCGCAAGTGTGGATGCCTCAAAAGCGCGCGCCGGAGGTGACATGCGGACCCTCTCGCCGCCCCCTCGCCGCCCCCTTGCCACCCCCTCGCCGCCCCCTCGCCACCCAAGAGCGGGCCTCCTCGCCTCGCCCAGGACCTGGTCGGTCGGACCGTCGGCGGAGAGAGGATCGTCAAGCAGCCAGATCGCGGCCCCTTCGACACGTCCAACGGCTGGCTGCTCAACCACCCGCTCATGAAGATCCGGCTCTACTGCGAGCACCTGGACGAGCTCAAGGAGATGGGGCACGAAGCGACGATGCGGCGGCTGACGGGAGACGGCGCGTGGCAAGCGGCGGGCGGTGACGGCGCGGCGAGGGGGGGCGAGAGCGGTGGCGGTGGCGGTGGCGGTGGCGGCGAGGAGAACGAGGAGGAGGACGAGGAGGACGCGCCGCTCGCCAAGCGGCGAAAGCCGGCTGCGGCGGCGGCGGCACGCGCCGGGACCTTCTCCGAGGGTCAGCGCGTCGAGATGCTGTGCGGCGGGAGGTGGGAGCCGGCGAGCATCGCGGACGTGAATGAGGACGGCACGTACGATGTCGCGCTGGCGGCGGGAGCAGCAGACGCGGGGAAGATGTTTAGCGAGGTTGAGGCGGCGCAGATCCGGCTGCGGGCATGATTTGGCGCGCTTGGTGTGGGTCCGTGGTCTCCTGCATCACCGCGCACTCGCCGGTGCGGGCGACTTGGAGCAGCTGTGCGTAAACGGAAACACAAGTTTTGCGTTTGGTTATGACCAAAAGCGCACAATTTCTTTTTCTTGTGGAGCCGGCCCCTGTGCTCACTTCCAGCACCCTTCCGCCATTGGTCGCGTGATCGAGGCCCGTCTGCCAGCCAGTCTGCCCGCCACAAAACGAACGATGCCGTGGCGAGCCTTCGATGGAAACCTCACCGTGAACGAGGACGCGGAAAGCATGACGACCTCGCTGAAGCGGACACTGTACAAGGGGTTCGACGCAGCGCTCGGCGAGGAACTCACCGCCGGAAGGCACGAGTGGGTGGTCAAGGCTCCAAACTGGAGCCCGAACAATTACGTCGGCGTCGCTGCGGATGCGTGCGACAAGCGAACTTATCCTAGCGACACCTCTGCCTGGGCCTTGCACCTCTGCGACGGCACCCTGTGCTCGGGCGTCGCGCACAACGTCACCCGCGGGATGGGCTACACGCGGATGGACGGCTCTCGGGGGTTCCTGAGCACCGGCTCGGCTGCGATGGCGGCTGCGCGCAGCAACGGGGCCAAAAACCCGCTGTGGGACGGCGACCGCGTCAAGAGAGGCACGCCAGTGCGTGTCATTCTCGACATGGAGGCACGCACGCTGTCCTTTGCGATTGGCGATGCCGAGCCACAGCTCGCCTACACCGACCTGCCGGCGAGCGTGTGCCCGTACGTGGCATCCGGCGACATCGGTGAGAGATCTCTTATGGAGACATGGGCACCGCAGTAGAGAGAGCGCGCGCCTCGTACAGAGTAAAAGGCGGTGGCGCATCTGTGGCTGTGTCAGCCCAAGCCCCTCAACACTCTCAGGTTCATGATAGTCAGCACGCGGCGGGCGCTGCGCAGGGTCACGCACTGCGGTACGTTGAGCGTTGAGACTAACTCTATACTGTCTCAGTCTACGAGGGCGCTAAGTTTGTGTGGCACGCCCCGCACCGTCCCGAGCTGTGCCGCGTTTTTTGTCCGGAGTGAAAAGTCCAACGCGCTCGTCGGTGACGGCTTCCTCCAACCTGTGCGCCGCGCTCGGCGAACCTCGACAGCGCCTTCGGTGGCATGCAGCTCTTTGCGCCTGAAGCCTGGAGTGAAGCTCCTCTGCTGCTCACACACTCTGCACAGATGGCACAGCCCACAAGCCCACTGTGCGGCTGCCACAGCTGTCACAGCGATGGGCTCGCCCTCACTGGCCCTCAGTCACTTGTGCTGCGGCTTGTGTGAGCGACACTGCGCGGCGACTGCCGGCACACTGTGTCTTTGAGACCATGGGTGTGAGGTAAAACCAGGCTACCAGCGCTTGGTCACATCAGCCTTGAGGTCATATCCTTCTCCTCTGTGAATGGTAACACTTGTCTACTCGCTGGAGCCGAGCAGGAGGGCTTGGCGCACAACCCCTGTTCAACTCAGGGTCCTTCCCCTTTAGACGCGCTAGAGCCGGACCCGGAGGACACACATTCCATGTCATCGTCACTTTCCTTCTTGTGGCCTGCCTTTTCGCGCGCCGTGGGGAAAATATACCTTCTCGCAAAAGGAATCGACGCGATGTGCAAAGCATACAAGAAGGGGAGAAGGAAGAGGAGAGACGCCGGTGGTGACGAAGCAGAAACTAGCGCAGACGAGAGCAGGGCAGACCCGGGGAGTGGGGAGCCGGAGCAGACGGCATCGGCCGCCGAGGGAACGTTGGGAAGAGGCACGAGGAGGGCGGCGACCTCGACCGCGCGACTATGGAGGACCCGTCGCCAGACGACGCAGGGCAGCAGACGGTGAGGCGGAGCAGACGCGCAGGGCGAGACGAGGGAGGGAGCAGGACTTTGCGGAGATCAGCAGGAGGATGTACGAAGAGATTAGGAGCAGCAGGGACCCGAGGGACCATGTGGAAGACGGCTAGTGCTAGTCCCCCATCGGGAGGACGACCCCGGCTAGTCGCCGACCACACCCACAAAGAACCCTGCACAAAGATCGCAAGGCCAAGGGCGGGGACCTGTTCTTTTTTAACCCATCTCACAGTAGAGGTGTCCGTTTTATCCTATTTATACCTTCTCGCAGCTGCGAGACGAGCTTTCTCGGAGCGACAGTCTCAAAGCAAAAAGGGGGGAGGGGAAGGGGACGATCGCTGGCGAGCGCCAGCGCGTCCCAAGAACGGTGGGGTGCCCAACCGCCGCGGCGCGCCGGGCCGGGCGCTCGGGCGCTCGTTTTACGTGTTTCGGTAATGGGCTCTGAAAGAGAAAGAGGAAAGAGAGGGAGTGGGGAGAGGGAGAGAGGGAGAGGGAGAGGGAGAGAGAGGGAGAGGGAGAGGGAGAGGGAGGGAGGGAGGGAGGGAGGGAGGGAGGGAGGGAGGGAGAGAGAGAGAGAGAGAGAGAGAGAGAGAGAGAGGACTCCACAAAAAAGCCCCCCCGTGTGGAGAGACAACACAAGAGAGCGAGGGGCTAGGAAAGGAGAGGAGGAGGCGGACGAGGATGCCTCTGATCATAAGTGTTAAGTCCGGCACAGGCGTGCGCACATACCGAAGGCACGCAGGCCTGCCTGTGCATGGTCCTGCGTGCCCGCGCGTCCCCGTACCATTACGCCCCCGCCGGCGGCAGGCCGGCACAAAATTCAAACACAACGAAAAATCAAACAAGTAAACGACTGAAGACACACATCCCGCGTCTCTCTCTCTCTGCGCGCAGCCACTGCGCACATACACCATCTCGCCGGTCACCACGCACCTCGAGTCACTTGATATCGGCGGGTTTTGTGGCCACCCCGAGACCAGAAAGGCCCGTCTGACCGATGGGCTTTCTTCGCACCTCTGTGAGCTGTGTTCTCGAACTTGATCGAGCTGCAATCGGGCGGGAGTGGTTGGGACCGATATGTAGAGGTATTATTCGGGGCAGGAGATGCTCAGATCTCGTGCACCGGCAGTTGAGGTGAGTCAGGCACCGGCACCTGAGTCGCCTCGGACTGTGCGCGGCTCTGACCCTGCCCTCGGCCCTGGCTCTTGCGCTGCGCGATCCGTTCTGCCAGTTGGTCGAGGTAGGACATTTCCTCGGACTTGCCATTCTGTGAGTAGGTCGTCTGCCGCCCAACCGGCTGCCCCTCACCGCCACGAGGCGGGACGCCGGGAGGAGGCGGCGGCTGCGCCGTCTCCGCCGCATCGAGTGACGCACGCCGCCGCTCCAGCTTGGAGGCAAACTCGGGCGAAAGCAGGAAGCTGCCACCTGGGCTGGTGGAGGCTTGCTCCTGGACGCTTGCAGATGGCGGAAGGGGCGGAGGACGAGCCGGGGGCGGCGGCGGCGGTGCAGGCGGCGGCGGAGGCGGCGGCGGCGGAGGCGGAGGTGGCGGCAGAGGCGGTGGTGGAGGTGGCAGAGGCGGAGGTGGTGGGACGGCAGTGTTGACGCCTGCAGCATCAGGGCTGGCAGCAGTGGTGGTGATGGTGGCTGTAACACCAATGCCGACGGGGGCCTCGCCCGACTCCGGTGTGCAACTGTCCAGCCGCTCGCGTCGAGCAGCCATCATCAACAAAATCTCTGCGTCTCTTTCCCTCGCCCACTCACTTCCAACGCCGCCGCCGCCACCTTCGTGGCATTCGTGCGGCACTGCCGCGGCCCGAGAGCGCTCGTGAACGGCTCCAATAGCGTCGGCGACGGCCCGAGGGAGGCCTTGGAGGCGCGAGCTTGTGCCCGTGTCCTCATCGAGATGCCCCTCGCGTTCTGCAGCCTTGCGTCGCACAACGATCTCGCGAATCCCCGCGAGCGACGACAAAGGCGTGCGACCAGGCAGTGAGACTAGCAGACTGCGTTCCTCGTCCATGCAGCTCGCCACCAATTCGCGCTCCAACTCCGCCGCTGCAGCCTCGCTTGCGGTCACACGCCGGGCGACAGCGGCCCGGACATCGGCGACTGTGGCGAGCCCTGACACGTCCAGTAGTAACACTTCCTCACCGCCCTGGTCCTCCTCCAGCCGCACTGTGACACGGAGGGTCTTGCACGGCGCCACTCTAGCCAGTGGATCCAGAATGCCTTCCTCTTCGCCATCGGCATCGTCGCCTCGCTGGCCCCCAAGGAGAGGATCAAGGCCCGCCGCTCGGGCACAACGAATGCCGACGCGGCTGGTGGCGAGTAGGATGCAGCAGCAGAGCGGGAAGGCAAGGCCCGAAAGGACGAAGATCGCCACCTCAAACCAGGCCGTTGTGTCCATGTGACAGCGCAACTCGGGCCCGGGGGCGGGACAACCAGAACAACCGAGAGCGCCCGCCGAGCGCACAGAGAGGGCTGATGACATGACTCACATGAACATGAACATGAGGCCTCACACACATCCTATTGGTAGCGGAGCCCGGTGACCGACACGAGGGGGTGTTGGGGAGCGGAGGCGGACGAGGAGGGCGGCGACCTCAACCGAGTATGGAGGACCCCACCCGCGGTCTGGTCGCCAGACGACGCAGAGCAGACGATCGGGAGGCGGAGACGCGGAGCAGAGACGCGCGCGAGACCGCGAGAGGGCGAGAGCGCGCGCGCGCGCGCGCGCGCCGGAGCCCCGCGAGGCGACCACCACCCCCCACAAGCACAACAAAAGTCCGACCCTGCACACCGAAAGATGTAAGAAGATCGCACGGCCACGCCCACGGGTGGGACTTGTTCCTTTTTGCCCATATCCTAGTATAGCCGCCCTAGAGGTGTTCGAGTCCGTTATTATTTATTCACAAAATCGGAACAATAGTTATGATGACACGGAAGCCAGCTCTCCGTCACTGTAGTACCTCTGTAGGAGTGGGACTGGCGAACGATGCGTCGCGCCCCGAGTACACCCTGAGCGAGCCTGGCCGTGTGATGCACGAGAGGCTCTGTCGGAGCAACGCCAAGCGGAGTGCGACCGCGCGCGCGGCGGCCGCCCCCGTACATATGGCACCGCTACCTGCGCCCCTGCAGCGCTCGCAGCAGCCGGCCGGTGTTGTCCGCGCGCACGTCCGCCCCCGTCTGAGACGCGTCTCCGCCTGCGGCCGCGGCTGTCCCGCCGCCCTGCCGCGCCGCGGCGGCGTCCTTCTGCATGTGGTCGAGGGCCTGGCGGCGGGAGGAGGGGTGGTGTGTGACGTGTGTGATGTCGCGTGCGCGATGTCGAGCAGCTGCCGCTCGCCTTTGCAGCGATTTTGCGGATGCCGTGCAGCTCCATCGCAGAGACGTGCTTGAGGTGCACCTACCACACGAGTCGGGTGCACGTGAGGGCGGGCGCGACGGGGGGGGGGCGCAACAGCAGCGAGCAGCGCACCAGCGTCGTGTCTGCGTCGAGGTTGCGCAAGCCCCTGCGCGTCCAGGGCGGGTGTGGAGCGGGAGCAGGGGGGGGGAAGGGAGCGGGAGGGGGGGGGGGACAAGGCGGGAGGCACGTCTGCAGCTTGGTTCGCCGCACGTCCTCGATGTCTGCGACCAGCCCACGGATTTTGTTGGCCTGTGGTGACAGAGGGGCGAGGAGTGTGTGGGAACGGAAGCGTGCGGCCGGTGACAGAGGGAGCGGGTGGCCTCGGGCAGGTCTTCGCTCGCAATCTGCAGCAGCTCCTTTGCAATCTCGACGTAGTGGTGCGGCAACGCCGAGAAGCGGTCGGGGTTGTCGCGCTCCTCGGCGAGAGAGGCCTGCAGGTTGTCCGGCTCCAGCCACTCGGGCAGTTTGATGAAACACTTGTCGCGCTTCTTGAGGTACGCAGCCACCCAGAGCGGGACCTACGCGCGAGCGGAAATAGTGGCGCCGAAAGAGGGCTCGTGCTGCGCCGCCGCCTCTCGCTCGCTCGCGCCTCGACTGGCACCGGTGGTGTGAGCTCGACCTCCCGCCCGCAGAGCAATCGGATCGGCGCCGTCCGCAGCTTGGGCACCACGACCACCAGCGTGTCGCCGCTCAGGAAGGCCGCGTCGGAGGCGGCTGCAGAGAACTGGCTCATGTGGGGGCTCTGGTGTGCGCACCCCTGGTCAAACCCGCCGCGCGCGCCAAGACCGCATTTTTCTTTTTTGAAGAAAGACAGGGAGGAATGGGAGGACGGCACGCCGCCACCACACAGGGATTTTAAGGAGAGGTGTGTGATTCCCCGTCCTGGGGGAGATGACATACTGGCATTGTACAGTCGATTTTTACAGCGAGCCCCAGGTGTATTTTATTTTTGCTTGGGCGGACAGCATGATGAAATTCTGGAAAAACCTGACCGGCCCCTGCCCTGCCCCTACCTACCTACCTACCTACCTACCCTACTTATGGGAAACTAAAAAAGAAATCACTGGCGGGGTGAAGGTGGGGTACTATACCAACTAAAGTGATGGCTGGTGGTACTCTCCTGCAACCACAGTCCTTCCTGTGGCATGGCAGGCCACTCTCAAGGCCATACAAGCATCAGATCACCCACACTTGGGGAGGGTTGACATCGTGATTTCGCCGGAAAATTTCTTTTTTTGCTGTGAAAATTCCGGCGTGAAGAGAGGCAAAAACCCGACGGGGGGGCCCAGACCTACCCTACCTACCCCGTCATGCTGTCCGCCCAAGCAAAAATAAAATACACCTGCGAGCCCTGCCCATCGCGCCGCCTGCTCCCTCGCAGCCCCACCCGCGAACGAATCTCCGGTGCAATTGTCGTCGACATGCGAAACCAAGTCGCTCAGGAGCTTTGCGCCTTTGAGCCGCGCGACGGGTGAGAGATGGCGGTAGAGACCCACCCGAGATGCAGCGGTAGAGACCCACCCGAGATTCCGCGCCTCGCAGGTGCGGATACTGTCGCCGCGCGCTCGGCGCAGAGGTGCGGATCGAGTGCGCCGAGTGCACGCCGCGGCTGCTGCTCTGCGTCGACTGCCTGCGCGCGGGCGTCTCCATCCACACGCGCGGCCACACGCCCGCGCACAAGTACCGCGTGATTGACGTCGGCTCCGACGCGCTGCTCGAGGTTGGCTGGCGCGGCACCGACGAGCTTCGGCTGCTCGAGGGCGTGCAGCTGTACGGGTTTGGCAACTGGATGGACATCGCCGAGCACGTCGGTGGCGGCCGCTCGCGCGAGGCCGTCGAGCGGCACTACCGCCGCTGCTACCTCGAGTCGCCCCACTTCCCGACGCCCCACTTCGAGGGCCTCGAGGGCGGAGGCGCGGCGGAGGGCGAGGGCGGCGCCGCGGACGGCAGTGCCGCCAAGCGCCGTCGCACCGACAGCGACGCGGTGCCCGCCGCGCCGCCGCCAGACACGGCGGCCGGCGCGGACAGCGGAGGCGCGGACGGTGCCGGAAGCTCTGGCGGCGTGCCCGGCCCGGACCCGAGCGAGGTTGGTCCAAGGCCTCCAGAGGAGGAGTTTCGGTGCGCGCGGGTGGCGTGCCTCCCTCTCTCTCGCGCGCGCGTCTCTCTCTCTCTCTCTCTCTCTCTCTCTCTCTCTCTCTCTCTCTCTCTCTCTCTCTCTCTCTCTCTCTCTCTCTCTCTCTCCCTCTCTCTCTCTCTCTCTCTCTCTCTCTCTCTGGCCGCGCTTAGCACCCTCCTCGGACGCTTCCTGCAACCTTCTTGCCCTTCTCCCAGGCACCAAGACCGGATGCCCTTCGCTTCAGTTCAAGGAATCATGATGAGAGCAGGTACCAGGGCTGGATGCCTCTCCGGCAAGAGTTTGACGTCGAGTGGGAGGACGAGGCAGAGGCGCTCGTCTCGGAGATCGAGTTCGTGCCCGGCGAGCTCGAGGCGGTCGAGGCCGGCGTGGCGTCGACCGAGACGCGAGAGAAGACTGCGGAAGCTTCTCTCTCACGCCCCACGGGCGCGACTGCGACGCGTCCGCGGCTGCGAGCAGGCGCGAGAAGATGCAGAAGCTCCACACGTACAACGCGACGCTCGACGGGCGGCAGTGGAGGCACGAGCTCGTCGTGGCGCGCGACCTGCTCGACGACGTGCACGAGCAGATCGAGATCGAGCGGATCGCTCCGGTGGCGGAGGTCGCGGCGCGCGCGCGGCTGCGGCCGCTCGCCCGCTTCCACAGCGCGGCGCAGCACGAGGAGCTGGTCCAGTCGGTGCTGAAGCAGCAGGGGATGGCGCTCGACCTGCGCCACCTGCAGGCGGCCGCCGCCAAGGGCATCACCTCGCTGCGAGAGGCGCGCCCGCTCGTCCTCGGGGAAGGGGGGGAACCGTCTCGGAACCGTCTCGGAACCGTCTCGGAACCGTCTCGGAACCGGCCCCGCGTAGGCGGAGGCGAGCCGCCCTCCTCGGCCGCCGCCGGCGAGGCTGCCCGCCGGGCTCGGCAAGGGCTCCCAGGGCAAGGGGACCGGCCACCGCAAGGTCGCGGGCGCGTCGCGCACGGCGCGGCGCGCGGCCGCCGCGGAGGACGACGCGGCGGAGCGGGGCGCCGCCGCCGCCGCCGAGGTTGCCGCCGCCGCCGCCGCCTCCGCCCGGGCCGAGGCACCGTCGCTGCTGTCGAGCGAAGAGGCGGAGCTGTGCGAGCGGCTCGCGCTGCCGCGCCACTTGCTGCCGCGTGCCAAGCGCCAGCTCGTGCTCGCCGCGCTCGCCGGCGGCGGCCTCGCCAGGAGGGAGGCGGCGGCGGTGCTCCGGCCGGAAGTGGACACGGCGCGCGCGGCGATGCTGTGGGACTATTGCGTCGGGGCGGGGTGGGTGCAGCCACCCGCCGCGGAGGCGGGCGAGTCCGGCGCCGCGTGAAGTGACGCTGTGTATACGTCCCCCTGATACATCGCTCGACATCGCAGTCACTCGAGCGGCCTCTCTCGACGCACGGGTTCACGGAGTTGCATACAACGGGGTGCGGTGTTGTCTTTATTCACCTTTGTTTTTTATCATACAAAACCCTCTCCAACGCGCAAACGACCACACTACCCTTAACGCTTAAGCAAGCCGTACCTAGGTATCCACTCGTGGCCGACACGGTGTTGAAAACGGCGGAGTCACACAACCAGTACTTGGCAGTGCTCAGTGGACAGATCGAGACAAAGAGAGAGATGGAGACAGCACGAGACACGCGCACACGGGCTCACGGACTGCACCCTCGATCCCTCGCTACCTAGAGAGCGCAGAGCGGACTTTTCGCGGGCACACTCGCACTCTGAGACGCCCCGCGAATGACAAAGCAAATGGTGAGGCTAGCACGCAAGTGCTCAGAGTAAGACGGGGCGCATCCAGCGTTCCAGCCTCAGGCATCCAGCACGACAACTTCTCCTCGCTCCTCCGGCGTCAGGTTGCGGCGCACCAACTCCTCGCAGCGTGCGTTGAACCCCGACGGGCCGCTGACAACGGTCATCACCACTGCGTCCTGTCGTCGATCCACCAGGTGCTCACGCATCATCGCCGCGTCAATACGCCGGCCGCGGACAGCAGCGGCGCCGCCGGTCCGGCTCCGCTTGGGCTCCCTCGCATCTACTAGCACTGCCCTGTCCTTCTCCCTCGTGAGCACGTACGCGTAGCGGAAGCCCCGCTCGGGCCAGGAGGCGGCGAGATCCTCCAGCTCAGCCGCCAGCAGCGCATCCTCCAGCGTCCAGCACGAGTAGAGCATTTGCACGCACGCCGCTGCCGCCTTGGCCCGGCGCAGGAACTGCAAGCACGGCGCGACGCCAGTCCCGCCAGCCAACAGATTGAAGGTCAGCCCGCGCGGTGTCGGAGCGAGATCGAATGCTGGGATCCTCAGCGTCACCCTCGGCGGACTAACTGCGGCTAGGTCTCCAATCGCCGCCCTCGCGAGTTGGTCCGACATCTCACCCTTGGAGTACAGCTTGATGACCAGGGTGATCAGCCCGCTCCGCGTTGTGTCCTCGCTGGTGCTCGTCGGGGTGTACTCGCGGCTTACTCCCCCCATGGCCAGCCAGAGGTGCCACATGGCCGCCGGCTCCTGCGCAAAGGCGGCACGGTCCCGTTCCTCAACCAGCTGCAGAGTGTACTCGTCGCTGTCGGGGCTCAGGGCGCGGATTCGGAGCAGCTTGGCAGCCAGCAGCCTGGCATGCTGCTCATCAGCCGCGGCTCTCGTAGGCGCGGCCGGCGCAGGCTCTGGTGCAGCGTGCTCCGCGAGCCTGCGAACGAAGATCACACCGTCCTCCTCCTTTGTCTGGTAAGTCGGAACCGCCCATGCCGCCACGTCGTCCGAGCGACTGCATTGGCGGCGGGTCGTGCATTTGCCGGTGGCGAAAGAAACAAAGAGGCCCCCACCGAACTTGCTTTTGTGCTTCGGGCATCGCAAACAGAGCCCAAGGTCTCCGCCGAGGTCCTCAATGTCGCCAGAGCGGTGCAGACTGGCCTTCTTGTGCGGGCAGCTGTTGCTCATCGCAAGCAGGCGGCCGCCGTGACGGATCAAGACGATGTCGGTGCCATCAGGCAGCGAGTGGCGAACGGGCTCCCGTCCAACCTCGCGCAGCGCGCAGACAGCCACCCAGCCCATCTTTGCGTCCGCCGGACACAAGCGCGTGCGTCCCAGCGGCCGTGTGTGTGAGTGTGTGTGTGGCCGGACCGCGCCCAGGACCGGTCCTATCCAGGCGTGTATTCTTTTTGCATAGCCGTACATTATAACAGGGTGGAAGGGTAGGTCTGGGCCCTCCCGTCGGATTTTTCCCTCTCTTCACGCTGGAATTTTCACAGCAGAAAAAGAAATCCCGCCCGATCGAGTGATTTCTTTTTTAGTTTCCCTAAGTAAGGTAGGTAGGTAGGTAGGTAGGTAGGTAGGGGCACCGCAGGGGCCGGCCAGGGTTTTTGCAGAATTTCATCATGATGTAAGGCCAAGCAAAAAGAATACACACCTGGCCTATCCGGACGTTCTCGAGGTGGATATCCTTTGGCCGGCGCCGACCGTTCCAGGGGACGCACGCATACTCGTCAAGTCGCACGAGAGCTCCGCCGATGTCGTTGTGCCTCTCGGCGGCGGCCGGGCACTTGGGCGTAGGAGCCGCGGATGTGTGCCCGGCCATCTGCTCCTGCTTCCTGGCACATCCCGCGCGGCCCCGGCTCCGTTCCGGCATCTTGCGGCTGCGAGGCGGTGGTGTCTTGCAATTCGCCGCCACACAGGCTCGAGTCATGATGGAGGAGAGGGTGCGTCAAGACGACCACCGATCCGCAATCAGCGCCCTTCGCTGTCTGATGGGCGTGTGGCTCCTCTTCCAGCCTCTCAGGCACGCGGGGCTTGTTGACCGACCGCTCGGCCGCTCGGTGCTGCAGCTCTTCTTTGCAGCCCACTTCTACTTTCGCCTGTGCGGACTCCTCGTCGCCCGCGTGGACGTGTTTGCAGTCCCGCGCTCCAATAATGGCAGGCTGAGAAAGTTCGCCATGCGCGCCGCATTGCTGGCTCTCGCTTCGACCGCGTCGCGCCATCTCGGGTGGGAGGCTGGTGCTACCACGTTGCGTCGCGCCTTGCCGGGTGGGCTGGCGCTTGGCGTGGTGATTGCGCGCTCAGCGACGGCAGTCTTTGACCACTTCTCGTCGGAGCTCCACGAGAGCCTCCGCTACCTCGCCGCGAAGCGAGCCATCTTCACGCCGGAGCATGCCAGCGTGTTTGTCGACCTCGACGAGGCGCTCTCCAGCGCTTGGGGTAGCGAGGAGGAGCGCGCGCTGAACGAGGCGGCCGAGCGGGCGCGTGAGGCGGTCAAGAAGGCGCTCTCCTCAGGCTCCAGGGCGCAGGAGGCGGCTCGTAGGGCGAGCGCGCAGCGGATCGGCAAGCAGGTAGCGCGTACGGCAATCGCCGTCACGGGGACGGCGGCGGGGCTGGCGGTTGCATGCGAGCGTCGGCTACCACTCGCAGACCGCCTCCCCTCCCCGCCTTCACCAGAGGCGCTGGCCCTCTTCGCTCCCGCGCTCGTGGGGGCGTTTGAGCTCACGAGCGCCCTGCGCGAGGTGCGATACCTGAACGCCTTCCGCATGCGTACGGCCACGGTGCAGCTGGTCACCCTCGCTCCGCGGCTGCTGCGCCGTCCGCTCGGGTGGCTCTTTGCCCTCTGCAGGCTCCTTTTCGGCGGGGCGCGCTCCGCCTTTGGGTCCGCCATCCGCCTGGAGGCGCGCCTGGAGCGCAGCCTGTTGGGGCAGGAGTACGTCCTCTACCGGGAGGTGATGCGCTTCGCCCGGAGCCCCGCCGGCCGCCGCATCGGAAGGTGGGCCTCCGCGCTTCGTGAGCTGGCAGGGTGGCTGGCCTGGGCAATCAGGGGGGCGACGCTGGCCAAGGCGCCGGTGAGGTGGGCCCGCGGCTTCCTCCGGGGCACGCACAACGAGGTGTGGCCGTGGGCGCTCGCCGTCGCTGGCTACCGCGTCCAGACCGGCGCGCTGCCTCTCCACCGCGTGCCGGGGTGCGTCGGCAGGCTCTCCGCCGCGCCCGTCGTCGCCTGCTCGAAGGCCGTCACGGCGGCCTGGCTGGCGGCGAGGCGCAGCCTGCCCTGGCCTGCGGGGTAGGTTGTTGGGGCCCGCCTCTTTTGGAGATTCTACCAAAAAGAAACTCGTCGGCCCACAACATAACGGCGAGCAGAGAACCTCGAAAGCGCGCGCGATCTGTACCGGCCCCGACAAAGTCGGTGTGGGATGTCCGCCGCTCTACCACTCCCGTTCTCCAGCAGCCGGCCCGTCCCCCTCGCCTGGTCGCAGCACGTTGACTTGCCGTGGACCGGCTACCGTTGGCTCGTGCCGGCCGCGAATCTGAGCAGCCCGCAGTTCCTGACTGGAAAGGATGGGACTCTCCGCGTCACCGACTCGGGCGTCGTGTGGGGCGAGGTTACGCTGCAATGGTCTGGGCGGGCGCCGAGCTCGCTCAAGCACGTGCTCGTCGGCGAGTCCGCCTGGGAGCCGGGCGCCCTCCCGCCAGCGTCCACCTGCCTTTCCGATGACCACGTCTCCGAGGGCGCTTGTGTGGATGGGTTTTCGCTCGCAGATGGGTGCGCCTGCGAGGCGGGCGAGGCCGTCCTGCCCTTCACGCGGGTGGTGGAGGCGGGGAGCCGCGTGCAGGTCGCCGCGCTGCCGCTCGAGTACGGCCCGGATGTGGTCGCTCGCCTCAGCGTCTACTTCCGCCCGGGCGGCTGGTGCGAGTTCCTCGGCGGCGAATCGCCCGCGCAGTGCGCGACGGCGTGGGACGGGATGCGGCTTGGCGGCGGCGGCGGCTGCGCAGTCGAGCTCGCGCGCCAGTCTCTGGACGGCACCGTCGAGCTCTCCTCTGGAGGGTGTGACGCGCCGCCGTCGGGCGGCGGCGCGGCTCCCTTTCTGTGGAGAGAGGTGCCGCGCGGCCCGTTCGCCGCAACGGTGCGGGTGCTGCAGTGCTCCGACGTGCAGTGGTCCGCGGCTGGACTGCTGGCCACTGCAGCAGAGGCTCGGCCAAGGCCGCAGCCTGCCGGGGCGCTGGCGGCAAAGAGGACGGCCGAGTGGGCGGCGCTGCTGTCAGCGCAGTCCCGTGCCACCACGCTGCAGGCCGCGCCCGCCGGTGCGCCCCGCCTCGCTACGCCCCTCCTCCCTCCCTGCCCCCTCCCCGCCACTCCCGCCTCCTCTCCCGCCTCCTCTCCCGCCTCCTCTCCCGCCTCCTCTCCCGCCTCCTCTCCCGCGTCGGCTCGCCGAGACGCGTTGACTCGCCTCTGCTCCGACCTTCTGCTCCGGCCAGGCGTGCCCCCCTTCTCGAGCCACGCCCCCCACCCGGGCCGTCGCCGCGCCCCCGTCTGGCTGCGGCTCGTGCGCGCTTCGGACGGCAACCTCTCTAGACTGAGCAGACACCCTCCCACACCCTCCCACACACCCCTCCTACTCCTTCACTCCCTCCTGCGCCCACACACACTCTCCCAGACCCGCGGGCAGAGGGCGGAGAAGGACGGTCGCATCGGCGAGACCCCTCAGAGGTTGCGCCTCTCCTCGTCCCGGCCAGGCAACCTCTCGGCGTGGTGGCGAGCGTCGGCCGCACAGGCTTGGCAGCAGCTCGGTCCGAGCGTCGGATCCGCCGGTCGCTTTGCCGCTGCAGACGGTCCGCCGGGCAAGGCTTCCCCTCCCCACGCAGCCTGTGTGTGCGAGTAGGCCTCGCGGGGCCGCTGCGTGTCGGCCTGACCCAGCACACGTCCTCGCACAACTTCGGGTTCGCGCTCATGGACTCGTTTTCCCTCGAGGTCGGCGCCGCGGCCGCCGACTCGCTTCCCTCCGTTAGCGGAGGAGGAGAGGGCGGAGGAGGAGGGGGCGGCGTCTGCTGCTCGCCGCTTGCTGGCGGAGGGGAGGGTGCCGGGAGCACCGCCCGTTGGCTGCCTCTGCTCCTCCTCCTCCCCGCCCTCGCGGCGGCGCTGCTCGGCTCGCGGTCCGACTCGTGGCGCGAGGGCGGGGCAGAGGCCGGGGCCGGGGACGGGTCGACAAAGGGGAAGGGGTCGCTCGAGTACGGCGCGCGCGAGCGGGCCGCCCAGTCGCGCGGCTGGGCGGGGGTCGGTGCGTGGCGCGCGGCGACGGCGCAGCGCGTTGCGCCGGGCGGCGACGAGTTGGCGGAGGGAGGAGACGAGGCGGCAGAGGACGACGGCGCAGCGTTCTCGCAGGCGCGCTCGCCAGTCGTAATCGCGAGGACGCCTGCGCCAGCGACCCCCGCCGGCCGCCGCCCGCTGTCGACCACGGCGTCGGGCAGCTGGCGCGACTCGTGGTATTCGGCGCTCGGCTACTCGCGCTTGCCGGACGAGGCGGAGGGGCGCGGCGGGGCGGGAGGGAGCGCCGCAGGAAGCCCGACCGACAGCGCTCCTTCCAGTGCGCCGGACGGGGCGCGCGACCCCCGCCTCCTCGACCCGAGAGACACGCGGGTCACGCTCGGATTAGGCACGCCCTCGGACTGGTCGCGAGAGGTCGGGGTCGGGCGCTTCGCATCCTTCGAGGCCACCGCCGGCGCCTCCTTCGCCGAGATCGCTCTCCAGGGCGGGCCGTCGCAACGCCTCCCCGCCGCCGACGGTGCACTCCTGCCCCGCCCCCCCGCTCCCTCGCTCCCTCACGCGTGCAATGCGCCTCACGCGGCCGCGCCGGCAAGTAGGCCCTTTCCTTGCGCGGCTGGCGGCCGCTTGTGGCGCAAGCCGGCGGCGCGGCGTGCCGACGGGCGACTCGGAGCCGTCGGTCGCGTTTGTCGCGACGAGTTCGGGCGACCGCGTCGACATCCGGCTGCCCTAGGGCCGGCTACTCTTCTGCACGTACGTGAGTCGGACGACTGGACACTGGAGTCTGCTCGCTCTCGCTGATACGGTGTGTGTGCTCTACTGGTCGTTATGGATTCGGATCCCCCGCCGGCCGCCGAGAGCGCCGTGTGACAGGTGCGTGTGCGGTTCCCATGCTCGTGCCGGATCGGGCTCCGCCTCTTCTTAATACTTATACTTTTCGTGTGACGTGACTACAATCCTCTGTTCCTCCTGGCCTCGAGCTCGACAACACTCAACACCAACTCGCGATATACTCAACCAACCAGCTCGCTCTCGGCTCTCGCGACATGTCTCAACTTTCTCATGTGCGACAACTCAACACCAAACTGGAACCTCGCGACACCTCGAAAGACGAACCCATCCAGATCCAGCGGCATGTTTCGCATTCCACTCAGTAATTCCAGGCGCAGGCCCAGCAGGCTCTGAAGCCTGAAGCCCCTGAAGGTGAAGCAGCTCCCGGCCCGCGGCCGCGCGCGCATTCGCCCCTCTCAACTCTGCCGCGCAAGTCCTCAGACCCAGCCGCGAGCGCTGTCCGCTGAGTCCTGTCGCGTCTGGTCTCCTCTCAAAAGTGCTCCTTGTGGAAGACAAACTTGCCCTTGCGCGGCTCCGCGTACACAGACTTCTCGTCGGCTGCCGCGCCATAGTTACGGCGTTCGCGGCGGCGGGGCGGGGTCAGCGTGCGGCACATGGCGGAGAGCTGGTTGCTCAGCGCGCTCGGCCCGCAGACGAAGACGCCGACGTCAGAAGCGGGGAAGCTTTCGCCCAGTGCGCGGCCGACGCGGCCCCAGTCCGGCTTGCCCGCAAACTGGTTGTACGAGGCGTCGGCGGTGACTGCCTTGAGGTCGACCTCTCCCGTGATGTACCTGTCGCCAAGGAAGGGGCAAGGGGGGGTTCAGTCACGTGATCATGCGCGCGTTTCGACTGTAGCTGCGCCGCGCACGTGTTCAGTTCGAAGATGTTGGCGAGGGCCGTGTCGGCGAGGATGTCGACGAGCACGTCCTTGAAGGATTGAAACTCGCGCTCGTCGCGGCAGATCCAGAAGAAGGAGCAGCGCTTGAGCGGCGTCTCGAGGCGGTTGGTCTGCGCCTGCCGCGCCAAGGTCTTCAGGATGGACGCGAAGGGCGTCACTCCGATGCCGGCGGCGACGAGGAGGAGAACCTCGTAATGAAACACCTCCTCCGAAGAGCTGCCGTACGGCCCGTCCACGCAGAGGGACGGGCCGCATGACCGGCCGACAGGCACGCCCCCTAGCGGCGCCGGGATGGCCGGGCTGGCCTCGACCGCCCGCGTCAGGTCATCATCCGACAGCGACATCAGCCGCTTCGTGCGGATGCTCGGACGAGGTCCGCCCTCGACGTCCGACACGGCGGGCGCCACCGTGACCAAGTCCTGCTGCAGCAGGGCCTGGCTCAGCGCGAATGTCCAGTCCATGTCGGCGCGACAGCGGATGTGCAAGCTGAAGGTGTGGTTGTCCTCGGCCGACGACGAGACGGAGAAGGGGTGCCACTCGCTGCTCACCTCGCCGCACTGGAGGAAGACGTACTGCCCCGCCTTGAACTTGAAGCGGCGCCCGCTGGAAAGTCTCAGCGTCAACGCGAGAACGTCCTTGGTCGGGCTGTGCGCGCGGACGAGGACGACCGGCTTCTTGGCGCGCAACGCGATGCACTTGTCGAGGACGAGCAGGAGCGTGGGGAAGAGGCTGAACTTCCAAAAGCTGCGCGAGTGGAACCAGAGAAGCGCCAGCACCAGAACCCACAGCTTGTGCACGTGGCTGAAGATCGAGTACCCGCCAACCTTGCCACGACGGCCCGGCAGCCCGAAGCGCGCTCGGCGAAAGCGCTCCAGGCCAGTCAGCGACATGAGGAGCATGAAGAGCGCGATGAGGTGGCCCGACAAGCCGTCCCATCGGCCGAGGGCCTGCCCCGCGACGCTGCCACCGGCGCCGTAGGTCGCGCGCCACGAGTAGGCGGAGTAGTGGCAGGCGATGTGGCCGGCGGCGGCGGAGAGGATGAGCGCACCGATGAGCTTGTGGAAGTAGGCGGTGTCGTCGACCGGGAGAAAGGCTGCCGCGGAGGTGGTGCGGAGCCACGAGATGAGATTCCGCATCACCGGCACAAAGACGAGATTGCAAAGCACGTTGAGCGCCATCCCAAAGCCCTTGGCATACGGGTAGGACGGAGGGGCACCGGTCCGCTCGAGGGCGAGCCGAAAGCCGACACCCCAGAGGGCCGCGCAGAGGCAGAGCAGGGCGGTGGTGGCCGGGTAGCGGCAGGCAAGCGAGCGCTGCACCATGGCGGTGAGGGACGGGCATCTGACGAGCAGAGCGCCGAGGCGCGAGCGCGCGAGGCGCCCGTCTGGATGGTGCCGCGCGTGCCGCCGGAGCAGGCAGACGCCCGAGAGGCACGCCACCGCGAGGACGACCCCGACGGCGACGACGAGCGTGAGCCTCCAGCCGCGGACCACGAGGGTGGCCTTCTGGCTCCGGTTGGAGAAGTCGTTGTTGCGCGTCGAGATGTAGTGGAAGGTGCCCGGCCGATTCATCTGCACGAGGCCGCCATCAAAGTAGGCGGGCGCCGCGTTGATGTGCTTGCAGCCGCGCACGTCGTTCTCGTTGTTGGTCTCGTCGTCGCAGATCAGAGACGGCGTGCGGGCGCCCGCCATCGAGTAGTTCCACTCCTGGGGCATGCGGGAGACGGGCCCGGGTGAGGAATGGACGAGGAAGGCAGTTGCGTGAGGAGGGGGGGGGTGCCGAGGCGGGAGGCTGGGTGGCCGGGCGAAGGAGGGAGGGAGTGAGGGGCAGCCGCCTGGTCGAGGTAGGCCATTCGGCGAACGGTCTCCTCGTCCGAGCGGTGGGTCCACCAGGCCACCGCTTGCCGTTCGACGAACATGGACGCGACGGCGGGCTCGCCGCTGGCGAACGCTTGCCTCGCCGGGCGGCTGTCACCGAGGCTCGCAACTTCGACGAGGTTGGAGCGGTCGGTCTTGTCGCGCCCGTTGCCGTCGTTGCCGCCCTGGTTCGCGTCGCTCCCAGTCCATTGGAAGTGAACGCACTCGCCCTCGGACACCTCGAGGTTGGCGGGCACAAAGTCGTACTCGACGCTGGGGTAGACCTGGACGATGTTTCCCCGCCGGCCGCGCACGTTGAGGTTGTAGATGCCAGCTGAGGCGCACGGACCGCTGCTCGGTCGCCGCTTGATCTTGAAGGTGTGGGAGCGGTCCTGGAAGGTGCGGCCCAGCTGGTCGGTGTTTACGTTGAGCTCGAGCCGGAGGTCGGTGCCCAGCGGCGGGTCCTCCATCGGAGAGAAGCCCACAAAGTCGGCCTCCTCGTTCCCGCTGATCAGCGCGTCACCGCCGTTGAAGACAGAGTCCACCGGCGTCCGCGACGTCTTTCGACCGTCAAAGCCCGCCCATCCGTCGTAGTCGGTAGTCGAGACGTTGTAGCGCAGTCGGAGCACGCAAGTGGCTTCGTCGGCACCCGTCTCGTCGAGAACGTCGTCGGGGATGCTCCACACAAAGCGCGACGCGGCGAGGTCTGCGTCGGGCGTGCCCGGTGCGCTGGGTGCGGCGTTCCCGAGATGGTTGTCCCGCGAGAACGGCGTCTGCCCACAGCGCGGCGGCTTCGTGTCCCAGCGCCCGTACTCGCGCCACTTGCCTCCGCGCGCCACGCAGGCGGCCTCGTTGTTTGGGCCGGCTTCGTCCGCAGCCTGCAGCTGACGGCAGTGACCAGACTCGGCCAGCACTGCAGGGTCGCAGCAGTTGCCGTAGTCGCGCACGTTCTGGGAAGCGGCCTGGTAAAAGTCACAGCGGCGGAGATCGTCGGTGAGGACAGCGATGTCGCGCCACGGCGTCGGGTGCCAGTACGGAAAATAGTCCCGCTCCTCTGGGCACTCTAGCCCCTCTCTGTCGTTGTCGTTGTTTTGTGCCGGCGCTCCTCGGTCCTGCCGGGTGTTGGTTGCCCGGTCGCGCCCGCCCCCGAGGTTCTGATCGGCAATGTAGAGCCCCTTGTTTCGCTCGCGCGCCTTGCAGTCCTCATACCAGGCGAGAGATTCATGCAGACCGCGCTGACTCTCATTCGCGCGCCCAGCCGAGGGCGCCTGGCCCTGCGGTCCGCCGGCGGTGCCGTCAACCCTCGAGAACTCGAGACCGTCCCGCAAAGTTGGCGACGAGTAGGGCCCCGCTCCGTCGTTGCACATGTACTGGATGACGATTTCGCACTCTACGTTGCCCTGTTTGCTGCCGCATCCGTGCTGATTGGTCCACTCCAACTCGAGGACGCTGCCCTCGTAGAAGTACATCTGACCCTGCGCGGCTCCGGGCAGGCTGCGATTGTACTCGGTGCTGCCCGGGTTGAGGCCGCCGGCGCCTTGGCAAACGGGGTCACATCTGTCGCCGACCTGATAGCCGCCGGCGTTGTTGTTCTGCGAGTCGAAGAGACGGTTGTTGTTCTGGACGTTGTTGTTCTGCTCGTTGAGCTTGTTGTTGGAGCCTCGCGGGTTGTGGAGGTAGACGTCTCCGAGCAGCAGCGCCGCGGAGAGGGCGAGCATCATGGCACGTCTCCGAGCAGCAGCGCCGCCGAGAGGGAGAGCAAAAAGAGCGGTTGGCCTCGGTCTGGCCGAATGGAGGTGGATATCACGCCAAAAAGAAACGCTACTGCCCTTTCAGAGAAGCCCTAGCACTTTGAGCGTTTATCGCCCGGCGCCTCCCACTCCACTGCTCGTCAAAAAGGATTGAACTGAGAAAGAAGAAAATACACAGGCCTGGCGCTGCGCGCTGGTGTAGAGAGAGAGATTTTTATTAATGCGAGTTCAGACCGAGGACGGCGGCTGTGGCAAGAGAGGTGATGTTGTCCCTGCTCTCCATTCTGCTGTGTCTCACCTTTCCACACGAGACCCACGGGAGGGAAAAACACAAAAATCACCGCCGCGAGGACAACGGGACCGCGGCCACAGTGCCGTTCTCCGCCGCAGCAGCGCCCATGGTGGTGCCGACGGTGGAGGCAACCTCGACGGCAGACTCGAGCGGAGCGGCCAGGGCCACTGTGACCGAGCCCGCCGCCAGCGCGCTCTCCACCGCTGGCGCGCTCACTGTGCCACCGGAAGCCTCAGCCTCCGCAATCGCCGTCGTCGCCTCGCCCGCCTCCGGCTCTAATGTCGTCGCCGCGGCCATCCCTGTCGCCGTCTCCGCTGCCACGCCCGCCGCTCCTACCCGAGCCATTGTGTCGATCAGTGCGGACCCTCCGGCGGACTCCCCGTCCCAGTGCATCAGCACCGTGCTCCGCTTCTTCGACAAGCTCGACACCGACGGCGATAGCAAGCTCTCCCGTGAAGAGCTCGTCGCGGCGGTCGGACACGCGGCGCCGGCGCCAGGCAACGAGGCGGTGCCAATCACAGTGGCGGCGGCGGCGCAGGTCGCGACACAGACCTCGGCCAGCCCCGCTCCGTCGTCGCCACCGCCGCCGCCACCGCCGCCGCCACCACCACCACCGGCCTCGCCGCCGCCCTCCCCCTCCCCGGCGCCCTCGTCGCCCCCGCCGCCGCCACCGCCGCCGCCACCACCACCACCGGCCTCGCCGCCGCCCTCCCCCTCCCCGGCGCCCTCGTCGCCCCCGCCGCCCGCGGCCCCGGCCCTCCCGTCCTCCCCCGCGCCGGCGTCGGGCCCGAAGCCCTTAGCGCAGCAGCCCGGCGCAGATCGCGAGGTCACCGTGACGGTACCCGCGGGCGTCGCGCCGGGACAGAGGCTCTCCGTCACCTCACCCTTTGGCAGCGTCGTCGTGCTCGTGCCCGAAGGCGTCTCCCCCGGACAGCAGCTCCGGGTCAAGATACCGACCAGTGCGACCGCCGGCGGCGGCGCCGCCGACGCGCCTCCGACGCCGACGTCTCACCCGGAGGTACCCCCTCCGCCACCGCTCGCCCCCTCACTCCCGCCGACGCCTCGTGCACACGCTCACTCGAGGAGCGACGGCGGCGGCGGCGGCCGTGGCGGCGGCGGTGGACGCGGCGGCCGTGGCGGTGGCCGTGGCGGCGATGCCACAGGCGCAGGCGCAGAGGCGGAGAGCGAGCAGGGCCCCTTCCTGGATACTTAGTGTGCCAGCCGCTTAGTTGATAGTTGTTCGTGGCGATAAAGGAGGGAAGAAATAGCTCAGGGCCCGAGCGCCGAGGGACGGATAGGAGAACCCAGAACGGTCCAACTCCAAGTGCAAGAACGGGGAGAGAGAGCGGTGCGATTCCTGATCGGAAGAAATCTCCCCAACCGATTTAGAAGAAACCGAAAGTCCCATCCGCATCCGCCATCCCTCCCTTGGGTTGCCTGTTTTCTTTCTCGCCCGGCGGGCGCGGGGCGGGCTTCCAGGGCCCAGGGCCGGCGCTCCTTGCGGGCACCGGTGGGCACCGCGGCGGCACCTCTCCGCCACACCTTTGTGGCACCCCTGTCTTGGCGCTTTTTTAAGCGCCTGAGCTCCTCCCAAGGCTGAGCTCCTCCCTGCATCTCGCAGAATGTCCCTTTGTAACGTGAGAGAGTGCGTTGTGTTCTTGTTTCCTATCCGCTTTCTCTTTCTCTTCTTTTTCTCTCTTTCTTAGTGTTTAGAAGAGCCAGAAAGAAAAAACTGCCCAAGTGCTCCCCCCCACCCCCACCCCCAAGAGAGGGAAGGGAGGCACCGGCCGCCCCCAGGGATTCACGGGAAAGAGACAAGCTGGGGGCTAACAAGCTGCCGAGCCCAAATCACTGTGAGGGTCGTGATTTCTTGTTGGTCTTCAAAAATCTCAAAACACAGTTTGGGAGAGAGAGAGACAGTTTGGGAGAGAGAGAGAGAGATTGCAGTTTGGGAGAGAGAGAGAGATTACGTGTGAGTGTTAGAGTCAGTTTGGTATTGCTAAAACAAATGGCTCTCACCTGGCAACCCTGTCTGCACGTCTCGCGCGCGCGTGAACAGGGCTCCAGGCCCCAAATGACGTGTGAGTGTTAGAGTTGTTTGGTATTGCTAAAAATCTCTCTCTCTCTCAAAAATCTCTCTCTTCAAAAAGAAAGAAAGAAAGCACAAAATCCAAGGGAGGGATGGGAGGACGGCACGCCGCCACCACACAGGAATTTTAAGAAGAGAAGTGCGGTGCTCGCGGCGACTTTCTTTTCCCCCTACTCGGCGGCTGTCTGCATCGAATCGCGGCCGAGTTGGGCAGATGCTGTCTGGCGGCTCGATAGCGATCCTGGCAATCGCGGCGCCGTCAGCACTCACGTCGGCGCCGTCACCACTCAATTCGGCGCCGACACTCACTACTTCAGTGCCTGCGACCCAACTCCCGCCTTCTGCGTCCAAGCCGCAACCATTGGTCGCGACACTTGATCGTCCTCCATCACTGTTGCCCTTGCCATCGCAGTTGCCCTCACCACCGCCCTCACCGACTCCGGCACCACCGCCCTCACCACCGCCCTCGCCGACTCCGGCACCGCCGCCCTCACCACCGCCCTCGCCGACTCCGTCACCGCCGCCGCCGTCCGCCTCGCCCGCGCCTCCACCGCCCTCTGCCTCGCCGTCATTGCCGCCGCCCTCAGCATCGCCTTTGCCGCCGCCGCCGCCGCCGTCCGCCTCGCCCGCGCCTCCGCCGCCCTCTGCCTCGCCGTCATTGCCGCCGCCCTCAGCTACGCCTTTGCCGCCGCCGCCGCCGCCGCCGTCTGCCTCGCCCTCGAAGCCGCCGCCGCCGCCGCCACCGCCGTCCGCCTCGCCCTCGCCTCCACCGCCCTCTGCCTCGCCATCATTGCCGCCGCCCTCAGCGTCCCCGTCAACGCCGCCGCCATCCGCCTCGCCGTCACTACCGCCGCCCTCAGCGTTCCCGTCGACGCCGCCGCCGTCCTCGCCACCGCCGTCGCCAGCCTCGCCGCCGCCGTCGCCGGCCTCGCCGCCGCCGCCACTGCCATCTTCGCCCTCTCCTTCGCCGTCGGAGCCGCCAGAGAAGATGCCGCCCCCGCCTCCCGAGCTCTCACCTTTGCCGCCTCCAGCCGATTCGCAAAACACGTCGGCGACCAGCTACGAGTTCGACTCCGACTCTCCCTCGGTCCTCTGCCCTGGCTTCAATCCGGGCGACTTTTGCGACTGCAGTGGTGGCTGCACAGAGCAGCACGCCTTTTGCGCTTGCCCTCCGGCACGGGCGCCGCGCTGCTGCGGAGCTGCGCCCCTCGTCGCCCTCGACGCACGGCGGTCTCCCCACCGCCACCACTTCGTCGAGCTACTGCCGCTCTACCTCCTCAGCGCGGCGGGGATAGCGGCAGGGTGAGTGAGATCTGTTCGCGACTCCCACGCGGCCCCGAGACCCCCCCCCCCCTTACCCCCCCCTCCCCCCCACGCGCCCTTCCCGCCCAGGCTGTTCGGCGCCCTCTGGCTGGTCAACGCACCCAGCCGCTCCTCCACCGCGTCGAGGGACCTCGACGCGGCGCGCCGAGCCACACCTCGGCGCCTGCCATCGCCCACACGCGCCCACCTCGCTTGCTCCTGCGTGACCAGGCGCGGTCGCTGCTCGTCGACGCCGCCCAAGACCTCCAGGCGCGGGCGGTGGCGCGGGTGGCGTCCTTCCCTAGGTCCTTCCCGAAGCCCAAGCCCGCAAGCGTCGAGATGCACTGAGGTGTGGAGGCGTGAGGGCGCCCGCGACTCGTCGCGGGAAAATAGACACGCGCCTCCGGCGTGGCGGCCAGCGCGGGGTGCCCCCGTCCGCAGCGTCCCTCCCTCGAGTCCCTCCCGAGGGGACAGGGTCGACCCGAGGGGACGGGCGTGTGCCTGGTGCGTGCGCGGCTGAGCTGCGTGCTGGCTGTGCCGAGCGCCCCCGGGGACCCCGCAGGACCGCCGCCGAGCGCCGTGCGCGGGTGCCCAGCCATTGGGGGTGGAAGGGGAAATCTGCTCAATGCTGCGCGATCTTACGTCGCGTGTGGGCGGTGAGGGCCGCGGCCTCGCCGGTCGGTCTGGGGGGGGGGGGGGGGAGGGGGGGGGCTCCGGCGCCTAGACCGGTAGCGAGTCGCCTATAGGAATAGTCCCTAGCCGCGTATGCACGCGCGAACACGGCCTCACCGCGAGAGAGAGTACAAGTTACACAGCGCTATCTCTCACGCGGTCTGAGTCTCTGAGAGGTCGAGACACACATGCCAGTCTGTCCCGACTCCCGTCTCCGACACATGAGCATGATCATAAAAGATAAATTATAAATAAAAAATTAAACATTAAGATATATTGCTTATTGGGAGAGAGAGATTTTAGAAAACCAACAAGAAATCACGACTCTCACAGTGATTTGGCGGAGAGAAAAGCAACAACGACTCCCCCTCCGCACATGAGACATCATGCACAACATGCATGTATGTATGCGTGTGACGGGGGGGAGAGGGGAGTGTGAGAAACCGTGAGAACATGTGACCCAAAATCGATTGACCAATGAGAAACATGACTCGTCATGAGACTGCGCGCGCCGGTGCGACCCGCGGGGCCTCTATGCGTCGCCCCTTCACCCGAGCCAGCGCCGCAAAGCGCTTCGCCGCCGCCTCGGCCACCTCCTCGAGCCTCTCCAGCCGCGCAAGCCGCCTCTGGCTCTCGAGCGCAGACTGCGCCTCGGCCGCAGCAAACTCGCCCAAGGACACCACCCCGCGCTGCACAGGCGGTGCTCCGGCGGGAGGGCCCCCTCCTGCGGCTGCGTGCTGCTCGTCCAGCGCCCGCACCTCTCGCGTCAAAGTGGCGCGGTCGACTGCCGCACACAGCCTCTCGCGCAGCGCCGCCGCCTCGAGCCGCGCCTGCGCCGCCGCAATCTCGGCCTCCGCGCACGAGGCCCTCGCCTCGCGGCCAGCGCGCAGGCGCGAGAGCTCGACGTTCGCCGCGGCGAGCCGCGCCTCCGTGCTCGCCATCTCGGCGCGAGACGTCTCTTGCTCGCGCCGCATCTCCTCAACGCGCGACTGCGCCTCGGCGTGGGCCGCCGCCAGCAGCGTCGCGTGGATCTGCGCCTGACGCTGGTGCCGCTCGCGCTCCTCGGCGGAGCGTGCTCGCTCCTCGCGCAGCGCCCTGACCTCCTCGCGCAGTGCCGCGATGGTCTCGTCGGCCGCACTCGCCGTCGCCGTCGCCGCAGCCACCGCCACCGCCGCCGCCGGAGCAGCGTCCGCCGGCTCAGCCCTGGCAGCGGGCGGTGACGAGTGGACTCTGCTCACGCGCACGCGGGCCAGCTCGCCCCGGTTGGCCTCGAGGCGTGCCTGCAGCGTCGCAGTGGCACAGACCCGTGGAGACGGAGGCATGTCGCTCGCGGAGTAGTTGGAGTAGTTGCGCCCGCAGTTGCTGTCGATAGGGGGTCGCGCGGGATGCCGGATCTCGTCGGTGTGGCGCTGGTGAGCTTTGAGCTTTCGGCGCTCTTCTTCCCGAGTACATATTTTTTCTTTTTCCTTTATCCTAAAGAGGAGTCTGCAGTAATAGGCTGGCCTTGATGGCGCATAAGGAGAATTGAGTTTTCCCCGGCGGGGTTTGGTGCTGCCCTTACCTTACCCCTGCAAGCTCCGAACCCGGGCGAGTAGGTCTGTGGAAACCAGTCATGAGCGTGGGCTCGATCACGACGACGACGACGACGCTGGCGCGGCAGCAGACCCGGCCCGCCGCTCCCGGGCTCCCGCGCTGGGCAGCATGCTTCGGGCCGATGCTCGGCTACGACACGACGCCGCAGACGCCGCGTCCTGTAGCGAAGCAGCGCACGAGCTCACGGCATAGCGCAAGTGCAGAGGGTGGGGAGCCAGCGGTGGCGGAGCCGGAGGCCCCGTCGCCCGTCGAGGCAGCGCTGGCCGAGGTCGAGCAGCGCTGGGGGCCGGGCTCCGTCGGACGCTTTGCGCGTGGCACCGCCGCGCTGCGGTTGCACGTGCTGTGGTTGGGGCTGGCAGGTCTGCTGCTCCCGCCGACCCTCGCCTCGACGCTGCGGCTCTGCGTGTCGCTGCTGCTCCTGCCGCTCCTCCTTCACCTGCGCTCCCTCTCGCGAAGCCTCGCCGCCGCCGCCGAGCACGCTTGCGAGCCCGAGGCGCCGCCGCCGCCTGCCGCGCCGGCGCGGACCTCGAATGCGCTCGGCAGCCGCGCCGTCGCGGCAGCTGGCGGCGGAGGCAGCGACGGCGGCGCGAACGGCGGCGGCACCCCCGCCTCCGCCCCCGCTGGCGGTGCGTGCGACCCTCTGCTACGACGCGGCGCCGCTGAGAGCCGGGCTGCTGCTGCCGGCGGCTCGTGTGCCGAGGGTGGAGTGTGGCGGGCCGTAGGCGCAGAGATGATCGAGCGGCGGCGGCAGACGGACGCGACGCCGCCGCTCCGCATGTGGGGCGAGCCGGCGGCCTCATCGTACCAGGTGCGGTTTGGGCCCGCGCACGCCGCACAGCTGCCGCACAGCTGCCGCACAGCCGCCGCACAGCTGCCGCACGCCTCTGGCCAAAGCCCCAGCTCACCTCGGCCGCTGCGCCGACGCAGCTGCGCTCCGGCTCGTACATGACCACCTCGATCAAGCGGCCCTCGGGCCCTTCCCTCTTCGAGCTCTTCGCGTGCGAGGCGAACCGTCACGACGAGCACTGGTAGTCCTTGTGATTGTGATTGTGATTGTGAGTATGAAGATGAGACTCGTCGCGAAAGGTGTACGCTTGCGACGTGCCCGAGGACCGGTACAATGTGAGGCCCGCCCCTGCCCTCGCCGCCGGCTCGAGTCGGCGCAAGCGAGAGGGGTGTGAGCGGAGGTGGAGACACCCCTCTGCAGGTGATCAACCGGCCCGACCATTGGCTCAACCAGCGGAAGCGCGGCGAGGACGGGTTCGTGTTCGTCCTCAACGTCATCATCCCGTCGGCACGCCCGACCACGCCCCCCCCCCCCTCGCCCCTCCCCTCTCCCTGCCGAGGCTCGGAGGGTGTCTGTAGGCTGCGAACCTGATCATGCTTGCCTACTTCCGCGAGCCAAGCCCAGGCGCCGTCACTAAGGGCGACTCCGCCGCAGCGCGCCTCTTCTGCGCCTGGTGCGACGGCACAGACGCCTTCCGCAACGAGCGCTTCAAGCTGATCCCCCGCGTGGCAAAGGCATATCTCCCCATATCTCCCCATATCTCCCCATATCTCCCCATATCTCACCATATCTAGCTGATCCCCCGCGTGGCAAAGGCATATCTCCCCATATCTCCCCATATCTCACCATATCTAGCTGATCCCCCGCGTGGCAAAGGCAGCCCTCGCACGCCCGAGCGCACACCGCGGCACCGCCCCGCCCCGCCGACGCCTCGCCGACACGCGTCCCCACCCACCCTGCCTTCAGGGGCCGCTGCTGATCCGGCGCGGCGTCGGCGCCAAGCCAGTCCTCCTCGGCAAGCGGATCACGGTGCTCTACCACCGCCAGCCGGGCGCCTTCGAGGTTGGAGCTCGACAGCCCCTCCTCCTCGCCCCGCGTGGAATGAGTGAGAGCACCGGCTCTGTCAGGTGGACATCGACGTCTCGTCGGATCGCTTTGCAGACCGCATCACGCGGATGGTGCGTGACGCGATGGCGTCCTCGGTCCGCCTCCTCCTCCCGCCACCACACCGCTGCCCGCCCCTGGATCGCCGCCCCTCCCTCCCCTCCGCACGCGGCTTGACCTAGCCCCCACCCCCCTCCCGGCCCCAGGTCTGCCTCGACCTCGCAGTCACCCTTGAGGGGCGCGAGGCGGCAGAGCTGCCCGAGGCCATCCTCGGCGCCGTGCGGTGACGCCGCCCTTCGGCCCGACCCCCGCCCGATCTCCACCAGTCTCCCCGCCCCGCCACTTCCCCCCCCCCCTCTCAAACTCGAACCACCCCTCCCCTCCTCCCCCTCCTCCCCTCCCCGCCCGGGCGACAGGTGCGACCACCTCGACTTCGCCGCGTGTAATCACCGCCTGCCGCCTGCCGCCTCCCTCAAAGCCGCAGCGACACTCAAGGTGCTCACTGCGCAGCTCTGACCGCCTCTGCGCCACGCCGGGGCGGGAGCTTGGGCAAGCGGCGAGGCGGCACGAGACCCTTCAGAGCGGAGAAGATTGAGAGCGGGATGGGTGGGAGAGGGGGGGTCGCATGGGGTGTGAATTCCTCCGGAGCATGAGATTGGGCGTCGGATGAGCAGCGATGTTGCGATGTGGTGCCGCAGACGCACGCACAGCCGCTTAGGCTTACCTTTGGGTTCCGCGGCTCGGTCGGCGCGCGCACACCGCACACGCACATTACACCCACGAATTCCCAATGAGCACAGTGAGATCACTGGCAGTGTGTGTCTCTGACCATGTACGTGCGATGGTACGGCTCTGAGCCATTCGAGCATACCCCGGAAGAATCTAGGTTATTGTTGCACAGCCGTCGCCTCCGGGACGATACTCATGATGCATGGGAGGCGCAACCTCATACCGCATACACACGTACATGCGAGCTCGCAGAGAGAGGCCCCGCGCCCTAAATATGCCGGGACGACACACTGCGCATACCCCCATAACATTCCACCGCTCGCCCCCCACCACATACATGCCACACACGCCTCTGACAGGGCCCGTGGGACAACCACGGGACACAACACTTCGTTAGGAGGCTCGAGGAGAGGGGGCGGGCCGAGGAGATGCGCGGGGTGCGCTTGCGCGATCTAGGGAAGGCAAACGGCAGGGGAGGGGCGGGCTGCGTTGGCTGCGGAGTGGTTCAGACTTCAGTTCGCCTTGGCCTTGCCGTTGGCCTTGAAGAGAGGCGGCACCAGCGACCAGTACAGGAAGCCCGCCCCTCCGATGCAAAACACCTTGAGAAAGCTGTTGTAGACAAAGTCCTCCGGGAGGCCGTCGGCGCTGAGGCCGAGCCGGCCGAGGCAGCGCTCCTACTCGCGAGGTCTTGAGGCGTGACGCCTCTCGCCCCTCCGTCCAGCGAGCGGCAGCGAGGAAGGCGGCGGCGAGGGCGGCGGCGGCGAGGGCGGCGGCGGGCGAGGGCAGGCGGGTCCGGCAGCTCTGGACACGGCCACAAACGGAGGGTGGCGGGGCGTGTGGTGGGAGGCTGGTGGCGGCGGCGCGCCGTCTTGAACTCGTCTGGCTGCTGGTACACGTCGAGCGCCGACCCGAGCCCGAGGCTGTGTGAGTACTGCTCCCACGCGCTGCCAACCGCCAGGTAGCCAGCCATGCCGAGCGCCTAGGGGGTGTGCGGAGAGGGAGAGCGATGAGGAGGCGGAGGTGCGGAGCCGGAGCTGCCCAGCCGCACGGGTGCCGCGGTGCGAAGAGGGCCCGCTCCGGCGTAGGCGCTTCTCAGCGACGCGCGGTTGATGCTCTTGTCGAGCAGGAGCACGATCACTGGCCAGTAGTGCTCGTAGAACTTTTGCGCGACGAGGACGGGCAGCGTGCGGTCCGCCCCGATCGTGCCCGCGTACTTGCCGATCGCGTTCTCCCACTCCAAAAAAGAGCCGAAGCGGTAAATGCCGCCGACGGTCATGAAGGTGTAGCCGAGCATGACAGCGAGCGCGCCGATGGTTGCGGTGCCGTGGAAGAGGCAGATGGCCGGGCCGGCACGGGGCGAGCCCTTGTCGACAGTGAAGTAGACGGATTGGAGGCACAGGCTCCAGTAGGTGAGGTGGCCGAAGTAGTTTGGGTTGGTCAGCGCCGTCCACATGACGTGGCTCGTGTACATCAGCCAGCACAGCCGCTCAAAGATGTAGCCGAACTCCATGCTGGCTGTCGGCGGTGTGGTGGCCTGCGGCGGAGAGGCAAGTGCCGTGTGAAATCAGTCTGAAGAGGAGGCGCCGGACACGGGCGAGCGAACCGCCAGCCTCTGGGTCAGCCTGGAATCAGAGTGCACGATCTCGCCCCTCCACACAATATTGGGTGTTCATAATCTTTTTTTAGCTCCAAGCGGCGACGCGAGTGGCGACGACAGCGCGCACGACAGCAGTGGCGACAGCAGGTATGTCTTCTGCTCCTCCTCCAAAGACGCCGGAAAAGGCCGCGCCTGCCCAACCGCGCAAGAAGAGGCCCGCAGACGCGGGCGCTGGAGGCGCCGAGCGGCAGCTCATGAAGCCAAAGTTGTCCTTCGCGGAGGCGTTCAAGGTGACGCCAAGGCCAGACCAGCTCTGCGGCGTGACCGACGACGAGCTGCAGCGCAGCGCCGACCACCCGCCGGCGCTGCCCTTGCCCCGCCTCGAAGACCCGCGCGGCTCGCCACGCCGAGTGCAGCGCTCGAGCTGCTTCAGCAGGCGGTGCAGCCCTCGCCGACCGTTGACGACTTCTCTGCCTTCATCGACATGCAGCGGCTCGCCTCGCAGCTCGAGCCGGGAGCACCCGAGGGCGGCGGCGCGGCCCTCGATGTGTCCCAGCTCGATTGGCTCAAGGCGCAGAGCGACCCGCTGCTGCTCCGCGGCGCGGCGGTGCCGCTCAACAAGCCGCTGCCAGACATTTCCGCCAGCGTCGGATTGGGTGGGCACACGCTCCGCGCTACGGTGGTGCGCACCAGCAGCCGAGGGAAGACCTCAATCCAGCTCCGCTTCGAGGACGGGCCGGTGCCCGCCAAGAAGAAGGCGACACTGCCGCAGCTCCTCGGGATGGTGGGCGAGATCGGCCCCAAGCTCGCCTCCGCTCAGCGGCAGTCGCTGTGGGCCGACCACGACCCGTTCGCGAGCGCGGACGCGCAGGCCGCCTTCCTCTCCGCGATCCTCGAGAAGCGGTTCGACGACGGGACGGCGCGGCAGCAGGCGGCGGCGGACACGCAGCGCGCGGACGGCAAGACGCACAAGGCGGGCGTCTACGTGGCGACGCTCAACGCGGCGTTGGCAACGCGGCACGGCTTGCCGCGGCACTACGTCGGCTTGTTTTGCCGCAAGGCGCTGATGCTCGGCCGCAACGGTTGGGTCGAGCTGCCGATCGAGGTCCTCTTCTCGCAGCGCCGCGACGAGCACCTCCAGGCCGCCGAGCGCACGCTGCAGGAGATCTCCTTCCAGGTGGCGCTCCACAGGTTCGGCGCAGACAGCTTCGACTGGCGCATCGTGCTCAAGGACGGCGACGTGCCGGTCAGCCACACGGCGCTGCTCGACGCGCCGGCCGTCCAGGGCGACGGCGAGCTCGCTCGACCCGAGGACCTGCGCCCATGGGCGGGCCAGCAAGAGCGGGCGAGAGAAAGCTCGCCGCGCATCCCGCCCCTCTCCTCCCTTGCATTCGCGAGATCTCACCACATAGGCGATCGTCGAGGCTGCGGGCGGCCCCTACCCCGAGACCTGGAACCTCACGCGCGGCGGCGAGGGCAGCGGCGCGGCGTGCGACTCGTCCGGCACCTTGCTCGCGTCGGCGGCGGGCTTCTCGTGGCTGCTTGTGCTTTGGAGCTGCTGCATGGACAAGCCGGAGCTGCACCGGGAAGACGCCGTCTTCGCAGGCGTCAAGGTGGGCTCGCTGTGGCACAACGTCCGCAGCATGGGCATCTTCGTCAAGGGCTACCCCGACCGCATCCTCGCCCTGACCGAGCGCGGGTTCGTGTGGGACGTGCACGAGGTGGCCGCCAACAAGTTCCTGCAGAGCCTCGCGGCGCACATCCGCGAGCGCAAGCAGGCGCGCCGCCCCAACCCCGCCACACTTAAATAATAGCACATGCACATGGCGACCCCAGAGATGGGTAACATGCTGCACCTCGCCAACCTCCGCCCCACTCTGGTAGGCGGGCTCGTGGAACGGTGTGCCCGCCTTCAAGGGGTGGAGCCTTGTCAAAAACAGCGGGCGTTTTGTCAGCCGCCGGCCCGCGCTCGCCACCGCCATCATCGAGATGGGCGTCGAGCGCGGCGCCTGGTGCAAGTGGGTGGGGCTCGGCTTCTGAGAAGCGGGAGGCGCCCGCGGGAGGCGCCCGCTTGCCGCCGCTGGTCAATTTCACATAAACAACACCGCATGAGGCAGGTAGGTTGCCTAATATAGGGCACCTGTGGAGCGACCGTCACGGCGAACGTAGGTCGAGAAAAGGCGTTTGGCGTTGTTTCTTTTTTTGCCCCCAGCGCGAGATGAGCACAAAAGAAGACGGTAGACGCGTCTCGGGGACCCGCTGCTTAACGGGGAGCTGTGCCCGTATGCGGTGACGCGGTATTTACTTCTCAATAACAAGAGATTTTTGCATTTGGGGAAAACCAAGCCACGGCGATCCGGTTGACGGAACTGTAAGTTCTAGCTACTTGGGGCTTTCAGACGTCTACGTGCTTGCGTCCCAGAGTGCCCTCGCGCAGAACCAACGCAGCTTTCAAAACGTAGCTTACTAGGTCTAGGAAGGAGGACCGAACTCGGCCGTCCGCCCGATCAGCCACGGCATTTGCGCGGCGCTGTACGCGTGCTGCCAATGACAGCCACGAAGCCGTACGTGCTCTTCTTTGTGCACCCGCAGAGCATGTCCTCTATCGCAGATGCGATTGCCGACGCATGCTTGCCGGATGGATGGCGTCTGGCTGGGAAGCTGAGCCAGCAGAGCCATGGACGTTCGCCGCATCGGGACGCGATTGCACGCAGTATGACTGCGAGAGTCGCGAGGCTGTTGCAATTGGTCCCTGCTGGTGCCTTGCTGGTGGTGAGATGGATGCGACTCGACGTCCCATGGAGTTGGATGGATGAGCTGCTCGGTTACAGCGTCTACGCAACCAACCAATTCTCCTCCGGCATGGGCATCAGAGAGTCCAGTGCACTGCTCGTCGACTGGACAGGCGTCGACAGCGACGCCAACTCGCCAGAGACGGATGTGTGGGCCGAGGTGTGCGCTCGTCGCATTTGGAGTCCAGCCTGAAGACCTGTGCCTTGGCGACGTTCTGTGTCTCAGCCGCCTGCGCCGACGTGGTCAATTGCTAGGGGTTGAATCGCCTCGACCGGCACCGGCGCCGGGTGCATCGTTTGCAGTGATCGGCAGTGGCCCTTGTCGCGAGGACGGCATTCAAGCCAACAGCAAGACCGGCGCAACGCGAACAGCGATTTTAAAGGTGGATCAGACGGAGGCCACCTGGCGTCGTATTATATTGTTGTATCTGTGTCCGGCGTCATTCCCTGAGCAGAGTCCCTAAATTCCGGTGTTTTTCATATTTCTCATCCTACTGTACTACTAGTACCCTCACCACCACGCGTCTCAGCCCGCAAGTTGGCGGACCACGCGGCTCCTACGCGCGCGCCGCAGCTGGGGCAGACTGGATCGTCCCCTCGGAACTTTTCAGCTGCAGCCGCACTCAGTTCCGTTTCGCGCGCCACTTCTTTGAATATGTCTGCTGCCTGGTGCCGGTCCGAGATGGCGACCGCCATCGCAGCGTTGCGTGCGTCCGATGCGGCAGCTGCAGCCTTGCTCGCCGCAACCCTCGCCCGCTCCCTCGCCTCCCGCACCTGCGTGCCGAGTGCTCGCGGATAGCAAACGTTGCACACCCAATGCATACCTGCATCCGCGGGAGGCGCGCGCGTGAGTCACGCCCGGTGGCAACCACCCTGACAAGCAGGGCTCCGCGGAGGCGCAAGGTCGCAAGGGATTGGGGGTTGAGGCTCTCGCACATGGTGCCAGACTGTACCACCTCTCCCGCCGTCCGGCGACGAGAAGAAAGTGTTCGTGGCAGCCCTCGTAGCGGGCGCAGCAGTCGTACGCGCCCAGCGCCTGGTTGGAAATGTCCGGCACCCACCCGCTGCGTATCATGCCATTTAGGAGTAGACTGAGCACGCGCTTGATGCACCACGGCGCCGAGTACTGCTCGCCGGATCTCTCACCGTTAAGGTCCCTGTTTGCACAGCTGCGTCAGTGAGTAGCGATCGCGCATGTGCTGGGACGCGGTCACCGCGCGCACCACGCCCAGCACTGCTCCACTTCCAGGCTGTGCAGCTTTGAGGCCACGCTGCACAAAAGCTCCAACCCTGTAGTCAGGAGGAGCTCCACGAACCGAGCGGAAGCCGCTCGTCGTTCTGGCGGCAGGTCCTTGCACTGGTCGTCCACAAAGTGGAGCGCGAGCGCCCGTGCGTTGTGGTCGAGCTCCGTGCTCAGCTCTTCCCACGCCTGGCGGTGTTGCGGGCCGCCACATCCCCTGCCAATCGTATGGCAGTAACTCCTCTTCCCGGGCCAGCGCTGCATCCTCATCTGTGCCCTCGTCGGGATGGTCTCCGAGCTCGCCAGGAGAGCGGGCTCCGGCTGCAGCTCCTCGAACGAGGGAAGGGAGTCGCGGGCCCAGATCTGCATGACGTTCCACGACGACAAAGAATTTTAGAAGACAACCCGTTTTATTTTTTCACGGAATTCGAGCAGTACTAAGAGTGATCTAATCACCCGAATACCACGTTCGGATCGCTCCTCATCGCAAACCCTGTCAGCAGTTCACCCTCGGGTATGTTCGTAAGAGCTACATACACTGAAGAAGGTGGACGATAGTGCGTTGGGGAAGCGTGGACTGCGGATCTTGGAGCACTTGGAGTGCGGTTTGAAACCTCAAATCACATTGTGCCGAAACCGTCCGTCGTCGTTGCCGAGGGGGCGGCAACCGCAGGACCGAATCAACCATGGTCGCGGCGCAGGTCTCGGCGCAGCCAAACAAGGCGGGGGGCACGTCGGCCGTGGACGCGCAGATGAGCGTGCTCGAGATTGGAGACGAGTGCGTGCTTCTCGACGATGTCACTTGCGCCATCTGCCTCTCCATCCTGCACGAGCCCGCGTCGTTGCAGTGCGGCCACACGTTCTGCTCGCGCTGCGTCCAGACGGCGCTTCGGCGGACCGCCGCGTGCCCAGTCTGTCGCCAGCCCGCCTCTCAAGTGCTAGCGGTCAACCACTTGCTATCCCGGCTGCTCACCCAGACCTTTCCGGAGGAAACCAAGGCCGCCGCCGTATAGCATTGCCTCCCCCGTGAACGCCGAGCGCCGTAGCACGACCACTACTCTTCCGCCGGTTGGCAACAACGGTTCCGCGGAGCGGCGCCATCTCACCCCGCCTCATGCTGGTGCGCAGGCGCGCAGGGTCGAAATCGCGCAGGACGCCGCACGCCGGCCGCGGCCCCGCAGCTCAGTGAGGAGTCGGCTGTGTGCGATGCACGCCGACCTCCCGGCGGCATCGCTGCGACAGCTTCTCGGCGTCGTGGCCTCCCTCGTGCTTGTGGCGGCGTTGCTCGCCCTCTACGTTGCCGACGGCTCAATGACCTCTCAATCGCTCAACCTCTCGTCGCAAGACTCGTGGGGCGGCTGGCCAATGCGAGTGGGTAGCGGGATGTTTCCGCCTCACGACGATGAGGACGATGCCTTTGAGCCTCACGTCTCTGATGAGACCGATGAGGAACGAGCGGCGGCGAGCACGCGGCCATTGGCTTAATGGCTGACGCCATCCCGGCCTTTGCGTAGGCTTCACTCGTGCACACCCATGGCACCATCGCCATCGAAGAGGGGACTTCCCTCGCACCGTCGACCACTCTGGTGTACGACGACGATATCGAGACACCCTCGCGCGTGACGATCGACATGTCCCCTGCACCGGCCCGAACTGGCTCGTTGCTGACTGTCGACAACGTCGAGCAGGCGCTGACGCGAGCGCAGGCAGAGGTCGACCGGCTCAGGCTGAGGAAGGAGCAGGCACACCTTCAGCCACCCGCCCTGTGTACAGTGTGTCAGTCATATTTCACCCCCCCCCACCCCCCCCTCTCTCCTCCAGTTGCTGCGCAAAGCTAACGCGGCCGAGGCGTACCGCTTTGCACGAGAGCACGAGAACGAGCCCTGATGCCGCAAGCTTCTGGCAATACAATCGTCGTCCGCAAGATTTCCCCCTTAACCGCCCTCCTGCACCACCTCTCTGTCCAGAGACCCATACAGGAGGGGCTGGACCACGGATCGCGTCCTGGTCGCTTATCCTGCTCCCGGTTTTTGGCTAGCTCAGAGCGCGAGCCATGTGGGCTCGAGCCACGAGCGCCCCCCAGCCCGCCCCTCCCCATCTTCCCCTCTTTTCCACGAGCGAGTCCTCGTGCAAAATCCACTCTAAAACTCGACGTACAGCAGACAACAGAAAGAAACTCCGACACACGTACATCAGAAAGAAACGCCGACGTATATCTCGCGCGCGCGGCCGGGGGGGTGAAACACACGCGGCCGCGCGCTCTTCTGCCCGCGCGCTCTCGTTACCGCGCTCGCGCGAGGCGGCAGGCGCTGCACGAGACATACGCACACAACGGACTGGAGGCGAGCACTACATGCGCACTGACAACATCGACTAGAGGTTGTGGGACACCGTGTCACCACGGCCACAACGTGCTACATAGTACTCGCGAGCCGCGGTGCCCTTTGGCCCTCCGGTGCGGCCCTGGATGGCTTGGATGGTGAGATGGGCGCACCCCTCAAGCCACCCGCCGATAGGGAGAGGGAGCGCAATAAGCCCGTCAGTCGACGAGGAGGAGGCGCTCGCGGGTTGGGGGGCACGGCGTGCGCCCCGCTAGCCGGAGAGATGCACATCTCAGCGTGGCCTTCGCTGGTGCTCGCCGTTGCATCCCGCTGCGGCGCCCCGGCTAGGCGCGCCTGCAGCACGTCGGGATCGTCCCAAGGGTTGATCGGCACAACGCGGGAGAGCGATCGAGACCCAGCGGCGGCATGCGCCGCGGCCGTGCCACTGTCTGCAGGCTGTGCGGCCCCGTCCGCAGCCTCGTCGACATCGTAGACGGGCGCAACCCTCTCCGAGGCCCGTCCCAGCAAGGGGATGCGCACGTCGAACCGAGGCAAGTCTCGCCGGCTGATAGTGTCAGCCGGGACGCCGGTGATGGACTCGGTAGCGATCTCGATAAGAAAGCTCGACGGCACAATACCGCTCGTCCCAGATAGGCTGATCACCTGCGGCAGGATACAAACTTGTGGCCGATGCGCAGCGAAGCTAGGTTTGAGACAAACGGGCGGGCGTCGCGCGCCTCGGTCCAACCGCCCTGCGCCCTGAGTGCCCACAGCCGCTCTGATACCTCAGCAGTGAGCTCCTCTCCAACCTACTTGGCAGAGACAGTGATTGGAGAAGCGATAATCGCCGGATATCCGCATTGGCCCCCCACCACCTCGCGCTGAAACGCGGCTCGCATGCGCACTGCCGGCGACCGAATGAGCCAATCGCAGGGGACCAGACCGGGCCCCACAGCCCCGCTGCCATGCGTGCGTACAACAAATGTCCAGCCTGCCGGCGCCGCGATCGAGGCGACGATGCTCAGCCGCTCGCCTCGACGGGTGGACAGCTCTGCCGTCTCCTCCGCATCAAAGTCGTGACACATCACCGCGGGCTGCAGCTCGTGGCGACGGACGTAGCTCTCCGGCACGAGGCCCCGCTCGTCCGCTAGCCGGGCCATCAGCCAGCCATTTCCCGGAGAGGTCGACACCTGGACCAAACATAAGAGCTTCCGAGTATGATGCCCTCCGTCTAGCGGGCAGTGCTGCTGTGGCGCACAATTAGCATCACTGTACAGCGCGTGAAGCTGAGCTCGCCTGGGACCTGGAGACGGCCCACCCGAGTTGTAAATCCAGCAGGGGGCGCATGTGCAGGCGAACGGCGCAGTGACTCTGTGATCAGTGGAGCGGTGTATTTGCGCCGAGAGAGCAGAACGCGTGCACCTCTGCTGTAAAGTCAGCCAGTGCAATCGCGCCGTAGGGACAGCCCGAGCACACGTCGGCAGACGAGGCACTCATGATCTGTCCTGCTCCGCACTCATGGGTCGAATGCTGGGGATGTCAACAGCGATGCAGCGTCGCGCGGCTCCACACATGCATCCGCGACGCTGACCTTCGAAACTCGTAACGTGTGCCGGAGGCGAGAAGCCGAGCTTCGTCACGTTCCCCAACATCAAGGAGAAGCCGAGGCACGTACTTCTTGCTGCTTTGCCGCTTCGGGCAGAAGGTCACACCTTTGTAGCCGGTGATGCTGCTGCTACTGGTGACCAGGGCGAGGCCCTCCCTCTCCGCACGGCTCCACTTCAATGTGTTCGCACGCCTCGCCAAGTCACGTTCCCCAACATCAAGGAGAAGAGAAGACGCACGGGACGACGGGATGAACCCCTTAGGGTGTTAGGGTTTGTTGTCGGCAAAGTTGGCGCGATTACGAGACTGACTCTAGTGTGTCGCACTAGTTGTATGTACTTTTCGTAACAGTATTCCGCATTCATTGCGAGGGCGGACCACTCCTAGCGTGCAGACCGCGGGAGCTGGTGCCGCGGCCAGTGTAGACCTGGCCTGCGCTGTGACAACGCGCTCATTCTTCAACGGCACACACACTCGTCCGTCCCCAGTGCGCAGAGCGCGTTCGTGTCGCGTCTTTGCCATGTGGGCGTCAGTGAGTGCGGCCAAGGTGGACCAGCAGAATGCGGTCAACATGATGCAGATCGACATGCTCCAGCTCGGCGTGCTGCAGACTATGCTTGACAACCTCTCCCTTCAGTCGGTGGCTGCGCCTCACCCTCAGCCTTCTGCCTCTGCCCTCCCAGTTGACTGGCGGAGGTCCTATCCCTGCTGCAGACTCTGCTTCTCGGTGCGGCGCTCGGCATGTGGGCGGGCGCCACGCTCAAGCCGCTGCTCGAGGACGAGTCACAGATGTGTATCTGGAAGTCGGGGCTAAACCTTGGCATCGCCACAGTATTTTTCGTGTGCGTCGCCCTCACCATCTCCTGCTGTATGCTCGTGGTCTCGGTCGTCTCATACATTAAGCAGTATGCGCAAGAGGCAGCGCTCATCGTCTCGACGGGAGCAGCAGTCGCCGTCACACGGCTACACCTGCGCTCGCTCAACCGCATCTTTGTCGTCACCTACACCTCGTTTGGCCTCTCGGCGGTCCTCCTCATTGTGCTCTTCGTAGGCATGCCGGCGAGAATCCCGTATGTCCGCTCCCCTTTGATCGCCGCCGAAGCCCACGCCGAGCGACGGCTGTCTGCGCCCTCTTGTGCCGAGCAGTGCCACTTTGCGGGTGCCTCTGTCGGTCTGCCGTGCTCAGTCTTCTCCCGGCTGGACTGCTCCTTTCTTGAGGCGCACGGCTGCTCTGGCTGCCGAGGCTGCTGCGATATGGGAGCAAAGGCGATTGCTGGCCCGACGCGGAAGCGCCTTGCCGAGGAGACGCTCGATGGCGAGGCGCCGTTGGAGGAGGAGGAGGCGGCGGCGGAGGAGGAGGAGGAGCTTGAGTACTTGGTAGACCTCTTCGATGGAAGCCAAACAATCACGTGTATTGATCCACGCGACCCGATTGCCAATGAGAGGCACGATGGTCCGTCATTTCTGTCCTGCGCCCTGCAGACCGTGAGCTGAGCCGTTGGTTTCCCCTGCAGGCGAACTGTCAATGGCGCTTGCATCGCCGGGGCAAACTCTCTCGTCATTCTAGCAATGTCAGTTATTGGCTTCCGGCACTTCAGACGTGTGCAGGCGTCGTACGAGCCTCTACGGCTACTCAACTGGTTCGTAAATTTCGAGATGCAACAAAAGAGCAAGCAGGCCTCGGTGCTCCACCTGAAGCAGCAAGCGGCGGAATCTAGCACGATGTGGCGGTGACCTCCTCTTTGCGTTTCATCGGCGTAGGCACGCTAGCGCGAGTCGGGGGTGAACCCACTCACACACTTCCCGCCATATGGCTCTTTCTCGCGGGTGCTCATACTTGTACGTTGCGCTTGCTCTATGACGTGCGGGGCCACCTTAAAATTCAGATTTGTAGAAACGAGCCAAAGCCATGAGGGTGTGTGTTTTTGCAAAGCACGTGAGACGATCTCCACTCTCCAAGCACTCGACAGCAACACGCGTGACGGTGTCTAGCGCGGTCATGGCTGCCCCTCGCGGTCCGCCGCCGAGGAAGGCCCAGCGCACACAAACGCACGATGCGTCCGGGTCGATGCCGCCCATGCACGATGCATTCCATCATAGATGCCCAGCATACTCGGGTCGACTGATGTCGGTCTCCCCCACCTCCCCCGGCCCCCAAGTCTCCTCCAGTCAGGCTACCAAGTGGTGCTGAACTCGCGGGAAAATGACAGCTCGCGCGAAGCCCTGCCCTGCCCTGCAGTAGCGCGATGTGACAGGAAGACGTCAGCGCCAACCTCTTCCTCGTCGGAGGCTGACGCAGCGATGCGCCTTTTGCATAGTGGGCAGCTGCTCTTCTCCTCGACCAACCAACGGGAAACGCATGCGTCGTGGAAGGAGTGATGGCACGGCAGCGTCTTGACGGCTTCTCCATCCATGTAGTCTTCCTGGCAGATGACGCACATCTGACCAGACCCTGCATCGCTAGACACATCTTGTGGCTCGCGGCTGCAACGCCGTTTGTTTGGGCTGTAGACAGAAACCGGCAGCCGCTCAGCAAGCTTTGCCCTCTTGGTGCGTGCGCGACTGCCGAGTAGAAGACTGAGAAAGACGGCTCCCATCACTTGGTGTCCACCTTCCTGTGCCTCCTCCGCACCCTGCCCGTCCAAAGTTAGAGCCTGAAGGAGCAGACAACACGTGAGGCTGTCTTCGAAGGGCGGGGAGGCGGGTGCAAAACACCTCGCTCGCTCTTCGGCTGATCCACCTAGGATGTATGCTCTGGGGCGGCGCCACAGCAGCGACCTAAATCAATACCCGGCCCCTTGATGCAGCAGCCCATAGCCCGGCGGTCGTACTCGGTCCCTTCTCACCTCTGCGTAACTGGGCGGCCGAGCACCGGCCAGCGCTGGTGCTGCGAACGCGGAGTGGCCGGCGTGTGGAAGCATAGTATGTCGTACGAGGCCGCCCACGTGCGGGGCGCGCGTCCTAAGCCCTTCACCTTGTTGAAGAGCCATGACTACTTGACCCGGTGGCGCCACCTACGCAATCATGGGATGTCGGTCAGGTGTTTGTGGACTCGAGGGCAGAAGGCAATGCTGAAGAGCTGGTACCTCCTCCTCCCGGTGCACCTCCTCCTCCCCCTCCCCAAATGCGGTGGTACGTGCTTCCAGCTGCTCAAGTTCAAGACCGGGTCTTTCGCATGGAAGGTTGGTGGTCACATCATGATCAGCAAACCTCGGCTCCTCCACGGGCTCTGCTGGCGAGGTAGCTGGCGGCTTTGACGAGGCGGCCGACGGTACACTCTCGAGCGTGAAAGGGAACGCGATCACCGAGCGATGCGTGTCCGCGCATGGCGGACTCTCACGATGGCCGCCTCTCATCGACGTCCTTCCGGCAAGCGTGCCTTCCGCGACTCCTGATTCGAAAAGTACTTTACTTGTCGGGCGGCGTCTTTGCAGGGTGCCGGCGCCGTGTCGGGTGTGCCAAAAACGAGGGTAATTCTCAAGAGAAGATAAATTCGACCACGGCAGGGCCACATCACACACACGCAAAGGCACCAAGACCAATCCCGGCCGGAAACCAGAAGTCACGATGACAAGTAATTTCCAACCCCTGCCTAGACGAGTACAGCTAAAGAGTACCCGGGGCTCCCCATGCGGAGAACATCTTCAGCTTGTGAGCCAGGAAAAGGGTTGAGTAATTTCTTGATTCCCAAAACCCGGACGCGCCTCCACCGGCACGCCGCTTCCGACCAGGGTGATGGAAGGAAAGAAATGGCCTTGACAATGCAAAACCCAAGCATTCACGGTCGTTCCCGTCGGCGGTCGCGAACAATTTGATCTTTTCACTATCTAGATACGAAGAGAATCCGGCGATTGTGGATTGATTCTTTTTTTCATGATTGTTCTAGTATGTATGATGTGTGATTGACGTGGTGATTGACGTGGTGGGTGCGTGCGTGTGTGTGTGTGTGTGTGTGTGTGTGTGTGTGTGTGTGTGTGTGTGTGTGTGTGTGTGTGTGTGTGTGTGTGTGTGTGTGTGTGTGTGTGATGGGTGCTTGATGGTTGTGCTTGATGGTTGTGTGCGCCGCCCCTCTCCAGTCGTGCACCGCCCCTCTCCATTTCCCGGGGCAGGGAGAGGAAGCCCTGCGGTCGACGCGTGCGCTCACGCTGACGACGTGCGGCCCGGCACGAGCCCATTGTACTGCGACTCGAGCCACGCCCAAAAATCCTTGATCGCCGGCGTGGCGATCGCCTCCTCCCACCCCTCCTTCATAAACCATAGTCCCTGCCGCTGGTCGAAGACCACTTCGCCGTGGATGTGGGTGGGGTGGCCCATCACCACAGACTTGTCGCACCTACCACGTCAAAGGCTCGTCGGCGTGAGCTGCCCGCGGCAATAGTAGCACCGAGTGCGATGGCCGCACGGCGGCAAGGGAGGAGAGGGCGGCAGAGAGGGCGGTGGAGAGGGCGGCAGAGAGGCGCACCCCTTCTCGCCGTGCTTGACCGACATGCCGCATGGCATCGAGTCTGGCGGGAAGCAGTGCAACACGAACGAGTGCTTGAGCAGGTGTTGCCACAGCCGCCACTTCCGCAGCTCCGCCTTGTCGCTCGCCGGCGGGCGGGTCGTGTTGTACTTGAGCACCGGGCACGAGCGCGCCACTGCCACGTGCGGCAGCACCACAAACTTGGAGCGGACGAGCCGCGTGTAGCCGACGTGCGACGTGTTGTCGTAGTACTTTGCCTGGAAGTCGGCGTTCGACTTCATGCGGCTGCCGCCGCTCCAGTCGACGACCTGCTGGTCGAGCGCGTTGTTGATGGCCCACTGGTCGGACGCCTGCCAGCGTGGCTGCTTCTGCCGCTTCTCGGCGATGAGGAACTGCGTCTTGCGGAAGATGGCCACGTTGGCCGCAGTCGCACGTAGAAAGTAGAAGCCGGTGCAGATGGCGGCGCCCCACTTCTTGACGACGTTGCGCGGCCGGCCCCAGATGCGCTCGCCGATGATGTCACCGTCGCGAAGCAAAGGCTCGGGTGAGCGCAGAAAGACCTGCGGCCGAGCGACGCGTCAGGGGCTCCGCCTCGGGGGAGCGGCGCAGTGGCGGGCCGAAGTGACGGGCGGCGTGTGGCGGGCGGATGGGCGGGCCGAGCGGCGGGCGGAGGGGCGGCACCGCGTCCAGGTCGGCAAAGAGGACGTTGAAGCCCGCCTCGAGCACGCGGAGCCCGAATCGCTGCCGCTCCCCGATCACGTTGAGCTTGGTGATGCTCACGCTCCCGCTCGCCACGCGCGGCAGCAGCAGGCCGGGCGGGGCGTCGAAGCGGCCGAGCGTCGCGCCGAGCGCCTTGTCCATCGCGACAAGCACAAAGTTGCGCAGCCCGAGCGCGCGCGTGGCCTGGCACCAGTTGAGGGCGAGGTCGAGGAAACTGCTCGTCGCGAAAAGCAGCGTCACCGTCTTGCCGTCCCACGCCGCCGCAGCCGCGCGCCGCATCACCGCGAGCGCCGCCTCCGGCAGCTCGTCGGTCGGGCCGGACGGCACGAGCGCGGCCAGAGGAGAGGTGCCGCCGCCACTGGAGCCAGCTCCACCAGCTGGCCCGGCGGCTGCCTGCAGCCCTGGCGAGGGCAGCGCGGCCTCGCCCGAGGTCGGGGCTGGCACGATGGCGCACCCGACGGACTGGCCCTTACACCAGAGCTTCTGCACGTCTGCGTCCGAGGCTGCCGCCTCCTTTGGCGGCAGCTGCGCGAGCATCGCCGCCGCGTCGACCGGCCCGCCCTTGCCCGCGCACTGCAGGATGTCGCGGGAGAGGAGGGAGCGCCGCAGCAGGTAGGCGGCGGAGACACTCTTGCTCGGTAGGATGGTCAAGTGGGCGACGCACGCGTCGGCTAGGGGCGAGTCGCGCGGCTGCAGCGCGCCCGCCTCGGACTCGCGCTCGGAGGGCGTGCTGGTGAGCATCTTGCGCACCTGCGTGCCCGGCAGGTTGAAGGCGGTGCCGAGGTCCTCGAGGCAGCCGCCGTGCCTATAGCGGACGTGTCGTGGACGCGTCGTGGACATGCCGCGGCGCCGAGGTCCCTCGCGACAGCCGCCGCGCTTGCGCAGCATCGCGTTCATGAAGAGCTGGTCGCAGAGGATCTTGCACCGCAGCGGCTCCTTGTCCCAGCTCTCGAGGAGGGGCCGGTGGGCGGAGGAGAGGAGCATCACGCCTACGGCTCACGTGCGGCCGGCGTGCGGCCGACGTGGCCGCGGCGATGCGGCGGGGAGGGAGCCGTGTTGCCCGAGTTGAAGATGCGCTGCCGCTTGAGCGCGACGTTGGAGCAGCTGTCACGCGAGAGGCCGTAGATCTGGCAGAGCGACTTTGCGTGCATCGTGTGCCAGCCCTGCACGTGGTACGCCTCCACCACCGCGCCGAGCGAGCGGCAGTCCACCTGCGCAAGCAGGTTGGCTCAGACAGGGCTCAGAGAGGGCCCAGGCAGGGATCCGCCTCGAGCAGTCCACCTGGGCGAACAAGTCTGGCGCGAAGGGCGACAGCAGGACGTCGTCGTCGATGAAGAGGACCTGGTCGTACACGGCGAGGAAGTGGCGCAGCATCGGCAGCTTGACGAAGTGCGACGAGCCGCCCGCCTGCGCCGACGCGTTGTACGCCGCCAGCGCAGGGTGCTGCGGCGAGTCGACCACGTGGAAGTCGGCGCCTAGAGATGGCGCGTTTTCTCCCTCTCTCTTTTGTGCCGGGTGGGGTGTGGCGCGGGGACAGGCGAGGGTCGGCGCCGGTGCGGCGGGCGTAGGCGAGCATCGACACCTTGGTTACGCCGAAGTGGGAGCGGGAGCCGGTCGAGAGGGTCACCAACGCCCGCCGAGGCGAGGCTGGGCACTTGTACTCTGCGAGCGCCGCACCGCACGAAGGCATGCCGAGGTTGGTGAAGCTCTTGCCGCCGCCACGCCTGCGACGGCCGCTGCCGCCGCCGCCGCCGCCACCACCACCATCGGCGATGTCGCCACCGCCACCGGTGGTTCCACTGCTGCCATCACTGGCGTTGACCATGCCACCGTCACCAGCGCTGTCGCCGCCAGAGGCACGGCCTCTGCCTCGCCTGCCACCTCCGCCGCCCCTTCGCCCGCCCTTTGCCCGCCGCCTCCGACCTCCCTTGCCCTCTTTTTGGACCTGTGGTTGGCTGTCGTCGTCGCTGACGCCTTGGCCTCCAGCCTCGTCACCTTTCCTGGGGTCCTGGAGCGACCAGGCGGGTGCACTGACCGGCGCTGCGTCTGTCACGAGACCAGTAGAGCGGCGCTCGACAGCTGCGGTGCCGGATGTTGCCGAGGCCGGAAAGGCGTAGTAGATGATGAGGAGCACGAGTCCGACGTCGAACACGAGCCAGCGATTTGGCAAAACCGCCATGACCGCGACGACCTCGCCCCTCGTCCGTCGCACGGCTGCTTTGGGTCGCCAAGTGCCCGCCGCGTAAAAAAAAACATTGAACCCAGAAGAGAATACATGACGAGTAACGAGTGTACTGTACGGTACGGGGGGAGTCGCGCCACAGCGAGCGGCTCGGCCGCGGCAGCTCCCGTGTTCAGTAGCAGTCCTGCCGACAGCCCGACGCACGCGGGATGCCGCATCATGCCGTCGGACATGGGAGGAAGGCGAACGGCATGCAAAAGTGTACATCGGCCGGGGAGGACGAGTCGTCCCCGCGCCGCAGCTCACGCCACGGTCGCGATGGAGACGGTGAAGAGGGCCGAGAGCAGCGCAGAGGTCGCAGGCCGGAGGTGCAGCGGCAGGTGCGAAAAGGCGATGAGGTTGTACGGCATCCACAGCATGAACTCGAGCTGCGCGGCAGGGGGTGAGCGGAGGGAGGTCAGCGGGTGTGGCAGCAGAGAGCAGGTTGCGTCTGGCTGCAACGTTGCGTCTACGGTCTATCCGCGCCTGCATCAAGAACGGCAAGTGCGCCACCACGGAGGTGGTGGCTGCCTCGACGCCGGCGCCAGTGAGCAGGGGAAGCAGGAACAGGTACGCCGAGTTGGCGCAGGGGGCAAAACAGGTGTAGTCAGCGAAGGCCTTCGCCGCCACGAGTCCTGCGCTCTCCGCCGTGCTGTCGCCGAGCGTTGAATCCAAGTGCCGCATCCACTGAGCGCCGCACAAACCCGAGACGACTGTCGCCACCGCAGCCATTGAAAGAGTGTGCGTCGGATCTGCTGCTCCATCGCGCGCGCACTGCCCGGCAAGGTCAGCCCCAGCTCGCAGGATTCCGCTACTAGCAGCTGCCGTCGCCAGGTAGTGCTTCGTCGCGACCACGCTGTACGCGTCTCGCGCTCGGCCGACAAGAGCGTGCGCGTGCGCGAGGCGCGCCGTCGGTAATGAAGGGTGGAGCACGGCGACCGTGAGTGGGAGCAGGATCAGCAGCATCCAGGTCCACAGTCAAACTGCCGGGGGCAGGTGAAAGCCGGACGGGCCACTTCAAAAGCAAAACGGTCAGCCCCAACTCAAGGAGCGTGACAATCCACGCTGTGAACAGAGTGCGAGGCGTGAAGAAAGTGCGCGGACACGGGGAGGAGCCCCACGGAAAGTGCAGCACCCGCCCGGTGCCGTGGGTGAGCAACCTGCACCCCACTCCCTCCCTCCCAGACACACAACCCGCACACAACCCCCACAGCGTGGACGTCTACGTGTTCAGAAACACCAAGCAGCGAGTCGAGGGTGAAGGGGTAAGGGGCTGTGTGGGGCAGAATCTTCATCCGGCTTATCTAGGAGGGGGGGGGGGGGGCAGAAGGGGTAAGATATGGGCGAGGCCAGCTAGTCGGACACCCTCCCGTCGTCGGAATACTCCTCGGACCGGTCGGCGACCTCGGCGTCCTGCTCGTCGTCGTCCGTCTGCATCGCCTCGCCGGCCGTGAACCTGAACACGGCGTCGGCCGGCGCCGAGGCGCCGGCGGCCGTCATCAGGTGCATAACCATTTGGTCGCGGCATGCCGCATCAACCTTGCCGCGCCCGGCCAGCTCGTTCGCGAGCCAGTCCGGGGCGACGGTCGTCGCCACGGTGCCCTGGGGGACCGTGGCGCACACCACGCTAGGGCCGCGCCGATATCCGTCGTCCCTCTCCGGGGGCAGCGAATAGGTGACCCGAGTTTTGGACCCCGCCTGGCTGCGCGCCCGCGCAGCTGCAGACCGTAGTCCGTCCATCACGTACTGGATGTTTCTCGCGTAGCTGCGCGCGCGGGGGCTCCGCGCGCTCGGCCTCGCTCGCAGCGCGCTCGCCGGCCTCGGCTTCGCCCGGCGCTCCTTCTGCCGGATCTTCTTGGCCCTGCGAGACGCGGCCTTTGCCGCAAGCTTCTCATCGGTGAGCTCCTTCTTCCTCGGCGCGGTGCGCTCGACGTGTACGGCTTGGTTCTCCGCTCTCTTTTACACGAGACATACTTCCGCGTTACGTTCCTTACGCCGCGAGGGCCGAGCGCTCCGCCCTCCGCGGCCTGAACCGACTCGCACGTCTCGCGCGCGCGCGGAAAGGAATTGATGTATGTATGTATGAGCCGATAATACTCCAGCAAGAACCGATAAATAGACGCACAACAATCCCCGACCGTTCGACCGATAATAATATAGCCGTCACGACGTAGAGAAGACTCGGGGAAACGGGAATAGCGAATACATGCACGTATGTTAGAGCGAGGCCCCCTTGAGCTAACAGCTAATGGGCTGTGCGCCGCGGCCGGCCGAGGACTCTAAGCTTCTCCCTGGACCACGTCCACGGGCTACACTACCGTGGGCGTGCCGGCGCGGCGGCGGCGGGGCGGCGGCCGGATCGAGAGCCCGCCGTCACTCGTCGTCGTCGTCGTCGCGGGAGGGCGCGCTCTCCGGCAGGCAGAGCCTGGGGTCGCACACGCCCTCGATGAGCCTCTTGAGGTCGACCTTCTGGCGTCGCGCCGCAGACAGCTCCTTGCTCGCCTACACTCTCAAGCCAGGAGGTCTCGAGGGTCGGAGTGTGCTACGCTGCGGGGCACCGTCTCGCTCGCCCCCTCCAGCAGCGCGGCCGCCTCCGCCTCCGCCGCATCGGCCGACTCGACGCTCGTATGGGCGATGTTCGCGCCCGGCGCGGAGAGGCGCTCGAGGAACGTCTTAGCCGCTCCGGTCCTCTCCCGCCAGCGCCTCGCGATCGTCGCGAGGTTCGGCGCGGCGGCGCCAGACTGATCCGCCTCAGCGCAGATGGCCTGGGCGGACAGGAGGCGGCGGTGGTGGGCGGGGCGGTATTGGCGGTGGTGGGCGGGGCGTCGGGCAAGATGTGCGGCGCGGGGGGGCGCGGAGGCACCTTGAGCAGCCGCGCGGGCAACTCGCCGCTGCTGGCCCGCTCGAGCGCACACCTGCTCGGCGCGCGGGTGAGAGAGTCGCCTCGAGGGCGGGGCGACGGCCGGGCGGAGGGGCGGGGCGGAGGGGCGGGGGAGAGGCGCACGAGGGGAGGCCCTCGGCGAGGGTGAGCAAGTCGTGGTAGTTCCAGTACAGCGCCACCTGCCGACAGGGCGGGGTGCAAGTGACGGACCGCCTCACGGCGCGGCGTGGGCCCGTCCTGACGGCGGGCAGCAGCAGCCTTGGAGGTGAGCGAGAAGACGCGGTGCCACGCCCCCGGCCGGAGCAGCGCGAGGTCGCCGCCCTTCAAGAGCACCTACAGTGCCGCACGCGGGAGCGCCTCTCCGACCCCGCGCTCCCGAGGCTCGCCCGCCCCGCCAGAGGCGCGCCATCGCCGCCGACGGCATCGACGCGAAACGCCTCCACGCACCCGGCCGCGGCTCGCCGCCCTCCTCGCCGCCCTCCTCCGGCGGCAACCACTCGTGCTCCCACTCGCTCTCCGGCGTCTCCGCGGCGCCGCCTCCGCCGGTGAGGCCCGCCTTGAGCCCGTCCTCGAGGGACCAGACGAGGAAGAGCGAGTCGCCGCGCACCTGCGGGAGAGGAACGCAACCTCCCGGGCTGGCTCTCGGCCATCCTCTCGGCGGGGTCTCTCGGCCGGTCGGCGCCTGGACGATGAGGGGCATCACGCCGGCCTGGTCCTTGTGCGTCTTGGTGAGGAAGCCTCGGTGCATCAGCTGCAGGCCTGTCCGACACGCGAGCGGGGGGGTGCCGCGAGAGAAGGGCCGCGAGAGAAGGGCCGCGAGGCGGCGCAGTGGCTGGCGGCGGAGGCGGGGCGGGGCGGGGCGGGTGGCGGACCGTACGAGAAGTCCTTGTCGATGCGGAAAGTGTTGGCGGGCGCCTCGATGCCGGGGAGGTCGAGGCCGAGCTGCTTCGCCTGGCGGCGGGAGGGGAGGGGCGGCGCGGGACAGTTCGCGCGGGAGGCTGAGGGCAAGCCTCGTCTCGGCCGAAGGCTGTGGCGGCGTATCTCCGGCGAGCCTGCGCATCCTCGAGCCGCATCACGGCGCCCTGGAGGAGGGGAGCGTGGGGGGTCGGGGCGGGAGGGGCGCGGCCAAGCAGAGGAGGCGGGAAGAGAGAGAGAGGTGGCGGCGCCGAGGAGGAGGGTACGGGGTAGGCGGACCTGTCCGCCGTCGACGAACTCCACCAGCCGGACGGTTCCATGGCCGGCGCAATGGCTGCTCTCCCCCTCGCCCGCCTCGGTCCCGTCGTCCGCCCGCGCGCCCGGCGCCGCCGACCGAAGCCCATACGCCTTGACGCGCACAGTCACCGCCTTCTGGCGGTACTGCGCCTCTGCGCGCGCGCGCAGCTCGCGCAGCGCCGCGTCGCCGTCGCCGTGACCGGCAATCGAGAGGAGCCCATGCGCTGCGCGGCCGCGGATGAAGCCGGCGGCGCCGCCTGTGGGCGAGAGTCGCGGACGTGTCACGGAGAGTCGAGAGGCGGCCAGTGGCGCCGCCCGCCCGCCCGCGCGCCCTTTTGCAGCAGCGCGACGCGGCGAGAGTCGCTGCTCCAGATGCCGCCGGCGAGGCCGCGGTCGCTGAAGGGGCACACGCGGAAGTCGCTGGCGGAGAGGTTGCCGAGCGGCCCGCTCGCCGGCCGCAGGCTCAGCAGGGCCGCCTGCGGGTGTGCCGTGCGCGTGTGGTGGGAATACCCTCGAGCCGGGCCGGCGGCTGGCACGGGGGGGTGCGCAAGGGGAGAGGGGGTGCGCAAGGGGAGAGGGGGTGCACGCCTTGGCGGCTGCAGCTTCCTCGCGCCGCCCGTGGTCCTTCAGGAAGGGGAGGAGCCGCCCCGCGACCTCCTGGTCGTCGCTGCTCAGCGCAGCGAGCGGCGCGCCGCCAGCTGCGCCGGCAGCAGACGCGTGGCTCTCGCTGCTCCCGGCAGAGCCACCTCCTGCCTGCTGCGGCGGCGGGTGCGCGGCCTCGTGCCGCGAGCGCTTGCGCGGTGGCGTCGCCCGCGCTTCCGCCGCCTCCGCCTCCGATTCCGCCGCCACCGCCGCTGCCTCCGCCTGCGCCGCCGCCCCTGCTCCTGCTGCGGGATCGACGCCGGCGCCTACCGCCGCGGCCGTGTCCGGCAGCATTCCGCCTGCCGCCTCGTGGAACCACTTGGCGAACTTGGCAGCGTGCCCCTGCTTCATAGAGGCGTGCTCCCGCCCGGCTACTCTCAGCTCCTCCGTCGTGAGATGCCGCATGTAGCGGACATCGTCATAGCCCGCGGCGACGAGGTTCTCGGCGTACTGGCCGAGCTTGAGCCGCTCGTGCTGCAGCACCGCGCGCACTGCCTCAACTTGCTCCGGATCCAGCTCATCCGACGGTGGCGGCGGCGGCGGCGCTGGTGGCGCGGGATCGATCTGATGCGGCGAAGGCTCACGGGGCATGGGCTCCGGCTCCTCGCCGGACTCGGAGACCGGCCCGGCGACGGCGAGCTGAGGCTCCTCCTCGTCGGAGTCGCCCGTCAGGTCGATGGCGTCGTGAGGCGAGGCCATGCCGGCCAGGCGGCGAGGTGCACCCCTGGTTCGCCCGGGGCGCGGCTCCCACGTCAAGTCGACCGCGCGCGCGAGGGCGCGGGAGAGGATGGCGCCACTGGGCAGAGCGAAGCACGCAAATTTCTTTTTCAGAAACTGATTATTTTTTAAAGTTAGATTCCAGTTTCTGTGGCAAACGGCTTCTTACGCTCGGCCCCAGTGGGGGGTGCCCGCGCCGCCTAGCTCTGCGGACGGCCCCCCCCACCCTTCATGTAATCATGTAGTCCCCACAATCGCTGACGTGGGATCGCTTGTCATGTGAGAGAGTGCCTTGTGTGGTTTTTCGCTTTCTCTTTATGAAGAACCAAGATGAAGGCTTCGGTCGCACTTCTCCTTCTGTGCACCTCGGGCTCCTCCGCGTTGCGGCTCGGCGCTCTGGCCTCGCTCGCGCCCACGCTCACGCCGCGCCGCTCGGTGCGCCTCACAGCTGAGCAGCCAGAGACGGAGGCGCCTATTGCGGATGAGGCGATCCCGCCGCCTCCGCCTCCTGCGCCTGGGGTCCTGGACAAGGCTGCGGCCGCGGTCGGCGAAGCCGTGACCGGCGCTGCCGATGCCGTCGCCTCCGCCGCAAGGGCCAAGGCGGAGGCGATCGCGGCGGAGGTGCAGGCGGCGCCAGCAAAGGCTCAGGCGGCGGCGCAGGATCGATTGGACGCGGCGGTGGCGGCGGCGCAGGCGACGGCGGAGGAGGCGGCGGAGAGCGTGCGGGCGGCTCCGGGGCGTGCGGCTGCCGCGGCTCAGGGCGAGGTGGACCGGCTGTTGAGCGAGGCGTTCACTATGCCGGGAAAAGCGGCCTCGGAGGCGAAGCAGTCGGTCGAGCAGTTTGCGGCTGAGAGGGCGAGAGAGGTGGAGCGCAAGCGGGAGCAGCTCTCTCGCTTGAAGTGAGCGCGATGGGAGGCCGATGTCGGTGAGTCGCTGAGAGTAGACAGCATCCGTAGTTTTTCCTCGGGGCCGTGGTGGGCGGTCGTGGTGTGGGCGACTGCAGGGGTCCCTCGCGAGGCTCGATCCTCTATCGTGATGCCTGATGCGTGACCTGAGAAGGGCCGCGCGGTGCGCGGTGCTGCGACACAGCGAGCGTCTGCGCGTGAAGCTTTATACGGCCTCGCATAATACATGTGTCTCAAGATAAACACAGGTACGGGTGTGGACCGCCCAGTGTACTGTGTCTGTGACGTAACACGTAACACGTATTTCTCGGCGTTACTGCAGCGCGGGGTGGCCGGCACACGCGGGGCGGGCGCACAACCAAACAGGGCGAAAATTTTACGCTGCATGCCTCACTTTGCGGCGAGCGCGTCGGAGAGGTCCATCAGCGACGACTCGTCGCCGTCGAGGCCGAGGGCGGCGAGCAGCTCGTCTCCCTGCAGCGCCGTGTTGATGTCGGCCGCGTCGACGCCCGACTCGCGCTGCTCCTCGATGTAGCGCATCGCGCGCTGCAGCACCTCGAAGTAGAAGTCGGTCCCGACCTCCTTGGCGCCGAAGCTGCCCTTCTGCGCCGTGCCGAAGAGCGTGCCGGCGCCTCGCAGCTCGAGGTCGGCGCGCGAGAGGGCGTGCCTTCGTTCACACCGATGCGTGTGATGGGGCGGCCCAAACAGCAAGACGGCGTCGCGCGAGAGGGAACGGCGCGCCCCGCGCCGAGCCCCGTCTCTCTCTGGAGGACTCGCAACCGCTCGAGCGTCTCGGGCCGCAGCGTCGCCGGGTCGGGGTGCATCATCAGCGCGTACGCCTGCACCGAGGCGCGCCCGACGCGGCCGCGCAGCTGGTGCAGCTGCGAGAGGCCGAAGAGCTGCGTGTCCTGCACGACGATCGTGTTGACGTTGGGGATGTCGATCCCGTTCTCCATGATTGTGGTGGCCACCAGCACGTCCGACTCGCCGAGCGTGAAGTCGACGATCCGCCGCTCGAGGTCGCGCAGCCCGCCTGCAGCAGGGCGCGAGAGGAGGGTCGGGGAAGGGACCGAGAGACGAGGTACGCCGACGCCAGCGGTGTCAGCTGCCTGCAGATAGGGTGCGAGCGAAGGGTGAGGGAAGGGTCCGTGCCGAGGACGCGGCTCGAGGTCGCGCAGCTCGCCGTACGCGTACGAGAGGCGCGCCTCGGGGACGAGGCTCGTGAGGAAGTCCATCTCGCGCTGCACGTGCTCGATGCGAGGCACGACGTAAAAGACCTGGGTCGGGGGTTGGGGTTAGGGGTGGGGTTGGGGGTGGGGTCAGGATTGGGGTCAGGGTTGGGGTTAGGGTTGGGGTTGGGGTTAGCATGACGAAGAAGACTTGCGCCAGTGTGTGCAGGAGGCGTGCAGGAGGCGTGCAGGAGGCGTGCAGGAGGCGTGCAGGAGGCGTGCAGGAGGCGTGGAGGAGGTGTGTACAGCGTGTCCAGGAAGGGTGCCTGCCCGCCGCGAGCCATCTCCGCGCGGATGGCGTCACAGACCGACTCGTCGTGCCTGGAGGGGCCGGAGGGGCGCGTCATGGACACTCGTCCTGCGGGGAGGGCGGCCTCGCGGAAAGGAGCTCGCGCTGCCGCGTCATGACGCGCGTCTCGACGGGCCTGCAGGGGAGAGGGGTCGCGAGGCGTGATCCGAGATGCAGCGAGGTGGAGACGGCCATGCGGCGCCATCTCTGGGCTTTTAGCATCTCTGGGCGTGCCTCCTCCCGTCGGGGGGGGTCTCGAGGGAGGACATGTCGCGGATGCCGGACATGCACATGTACATGGTGCGCGGGATGGGCGTGGCGGAGAGCGAGAGCACGTCGATGCCGAGGGCCGCCTGTCTCGGAGTTGCTATATTAGATTCAGGAGTCGGTACTGAGCGCTGGCCCTGCCTGGCCCCGCGCCGTGGGGAGAGGTGTGGGAGAGGAGAAGAGGAGAAGAGGAGAAGAGGAGAAGAGGAGAAGAGGTGGGGGGGGGGGGGGGGAGTGGGCGCGTGGGCTGCACTGGTGTGTGTGCTGCCGCGTGCGTGTGCGCGTGTGGCACACCGGGGCGGCGGCCCACGCTCGTAATCGTCGTAGCGGGGCGGCGGGCCGCGGTCGTCGTAACGCGGAGGCGGGCCGCGGTCGTCGTACCTGAGCGGGGGAGAGGCCAGCGTCGGGGGGGCAAGACGCGTGGGGCGCGAGGAGGGGGCGGATTGAGGAGCGGCAGGCAGGTGCGAGCTGGGAAGGGGGAGAGCATCAGTCCATGGGTGGTGGCCCTAAGTAGGATGGTCGTCAGCGCTTTGTTGGGAGCTACGCTGGCCGTTCCTGCGCGTTCTTCCTCTGCCCTCTCCGTCTCTCTCGCGCGCGCGCCGCGGGGGTGCGGTGTTGGTGCTGTCGGGCGGTGGTCTCGGGGAGGGGGGGTGAGTTGTACCGCCGCTCGTCGTAGTAGTCGCGCTCGCGCGGGGGCGGGCCGCGGTCGTAGTCGTCGTAGCGGGGCGGCGGGCCGCGATCGTCGTAGCGAGGCGGCGGGCCCCGATCGTCGTACCGCGGGGGTGGGCCCCGGTCGTAGTCGTCGAAGCGCGGAGGCGGGCCCCTGTCGTCGTAGCGAGGCGGCGGCCCGCGGTCGTCGTACCGGTCGTAGCGCGGCGGCGGAGGGCCCCGATCATAGTCGTCATAGCGAGGCGGCGGCCGGTCGTAGTCGTCCCGCGGGGGCGGCCCCCGATCGTCGTACCGCGGCGGCGGCGCCCCGCCGCCGCCGCCGCCGCCGCCGCGGTTGTCGCCCCACGGCGGCGCGCGGTTGAAGTCGAGGCGGAGGATGTTTCCGCCGACGTCGTGCTCCTCCTGCTTGGCGCCGATGGCCTCGTCGACGGAGTCGAAGTCGATGAAGGCGGCCAGCGTCGTCTTGCCGTTCGCCTTGGGCAGGAACTTGACGCGCGTCACCTTGCCCCACCGCTCAAAGTGGCTGCGCAGGTCCTGCTCGCCAGTCGTGTCGGGCAGGTTGCCCACAAAGAGGTGGCGCGTCGGGTCGTTGCGCTCCGACTGGCGCGGCGGGCCGCGGCCGCGCTCGCCAAAGTTTCCGCCGTCGCCGCGGCCAAAGTTTCCGCCGTCGCGGTCCGCGTCGCGCCGGTCCCTCCGCATCGGCGGCCCCCGGTCCTCCGTCTTTTGCGTCGCCAACTCGACGCGAAGGCCGCGCCCCTTCATCTCAAAGTTGTGCATCCCGCGGATGGCGTCCTGCCGCGCGTGGGCGGGGGGCGGTGGGTAGCGAGCAAGAAGGGCGGGACGGGGTGCGGGCGAAGAGGCCGGCAGTGAAGGGGAGGGGAGAGAGAGCGCGCACCGTGGCCGCGTTGGGGTCTGTGTACTCGATGAAGGCAAAGCCCTCCTTGGCGGAGAGCATCGAGATGTCGCCGTACTGTAGGCAGGGGGCAGGCAGATAGTTGGCGCCACCCCCCCCCCCCCCCCCGCGCGCGCGCGCAGCTGCGCATGTTTGGGCCCTGCGCGTGATGCGCACCTTGCCGAAGTGATCCCTGAGCTCGTCCTCGTTGACCTCGTAGTTGACGTTGCCGACGAAAATGCGCCGGCCACGCCCATCCTCGCCGCCCTGGTACACCTGAGGCAAGGCGCGCGCGTGAGGACAGCGCAAGAAGAGACAAGGGCGCTGAGGGCGCCGCCCCACCATCGTTTGGGGCAAAGGGATTTCTTTCGAGACGGAAAGCGCTGAGATCAAGTGATCTGTGATCTGTGAGGGTCCGCCCGCAGGCGCATTTTGTATACCGAGGCGGTGCCCGGTGCCGAACCTGTCGGACCTTAAGACAGCATTGTAGATCCCTGGGCGAGGGTGGTGGACGCAGAAGCCGCCCTTGTCAGACTGCCCGGTCTATTTAGGCTAGCGCAGAGACACCTCACTTGACCTTCCTGCCCGCCCCGGGGCTGACCAGCTGCCGGATGCCCTCCTGCGGGCTCACGTCCCAGCTCTCGAGGTGGCGCACGACCAGGCCAGTCGCCGGGTCGAAGACGTGCTCCACGCCCCACGGCCACGCCAGCACCGGGCTCCACGGCAGGCCGAGCCGCAGCTTGACCAGCAGCTTCGTCTTGTACGACGGCGGCACGCCCGCGGCCGCGTCGCCCCGCTCGATCTCGGACGAGAGCGTGCGCGTCGACGACTCGGTGATGAAGCCGCCTGCGCGGCCAGCCACCTCGGCTGATCCAGGGCCAGCTGGGATTGCAAGCGGGAGGGCGTCTCTCACCCGCGAGGTTCTCGAGGTTGGCGACGAAGCGGTCGCGGCCACGGAACGCGACGAACGGGTCTGCGAACTCACACTGCTCGTCGTAGAGCGCGACGTCCATCGCGCCGGTGAGAAAGTAGGGCCGCGGGTCCCCCTGGTGAACAGTGCGACCCGAGCTGAGTGGATGAAGACGACTCGTCAGAGGAGGGCCGCGGGTCCGCCTCGCTCCCCTCGTAGTCAGCCGCCAGGCGCTCGATCGCCTCGTCCAAGTCCTATGGTGGCACACTGAGTGCGCGTCCTCTCTCGAGTGCGAGTCGGTGCGCGCGGGGCCGCATTCATCTAAGGGTCCGACTCCTTTGGAGGCGGCTCCGTCGGCGGCGGCGGCGGCGGCGGCCCCTTGACCGCGGCCGCGAGCTTTCCGAATGCCTCCGTCGCAAACCACACGCCCTTCGTCGCCACACCGGGCTCCTCCTCGTCGGAAGCCGTGGGCGCGAGCGGTTCGCACGTGAGCGGGTCGTACCGGGATGCGAGAACCGACACGGGCGGGGCTTCGGGCTGCAGCAGCGGGCGCAGCGGCGGGAGCAGCGCAGAGAGGAGGATGTCGTAGCCGGGGATGGAGAAGTGGTCCTCCTGGGCAGAGACGAGGCCGTCGGCGTCGGTCTCCAGCGTGGTGGTCACGACGTACGGCTTGATTGCGACACCAAACGCGCCGAGGTTAACGCCGCCCGACAACCGCCAGACCACCGTGATTGCCCGAGGGCCCGTGGCTGCAGCGCAGACCACCTCCATGGCGGAAGTCTCCTGATTGAAGAGCCGGCGGACCTGCCGACAGTACGGCTCGTACCCGTCCAGCTGCACGTCCGGGTCCGAGAAGCGAAAGCTGTCGCTGAAGAGCTCCGGCATCCCTCGGCCGGTCACAAACCAGCCGCGCTCGCGCAGACCGGTGTCGATTCGGCCGGCCATCTGCTCCGTCGAGAGACCGCGCGCCTTGGGCGACTCCCAGTCGATGTCCGCAAGCGCATCCACCGCTGTCTGCTGTGCCTCGCCGCCCTTGCTGGGGAGAAGCGTGCCGAGGAGGGAGATGAGCGGATTTTTCGCCTCGTAATCGCCGGCGCAGCGCACGTGACCGCAGCGCGGTCGCAGCTGCAGCGCAGAGGCGCCGCCGATCAGGAGCGCGAGATGCGAAATCATTTCGACATTCGCGCGGATATCAGCGGATTTTAGCGACATAAAAAGTCCCCGATAACCTCGCGAGGCGTGTCCGTGTACGTACGTGGAGTACATGTGGTGTGTTAGGGAAACCCGGTACACGGAACTAACCCTCGGAGACCCGTGTTTACTTTACGGCCCTTTCCCTGCCTGCGAACGCGCACCCCCGGGGCTACTAGGGCTCTCTTGCCCGTAACCCGACACCGATCATCCGGCTCGCTGGGTGCGCTTCTTAGCTCCCCGGCCCTGGATGTGAGGTTGATAACTGCACTCCAAGTGCTCCAAGTATAACCAAGTGCTCCAAGCAATCGTTAGTTAGCTAAGCGCGCCGGCAAGAGCGGTGTGCATGCGATGGAGATTATGAAGGCGGACTTCATGGGCGGCCAACAAGTCCAGCCCATCCTACGGCAGATGCTGCGCGACATGCGCCTACAGGCGGAGCAGAGCCCGCAGGTGTTCAAAAACAACTGGCTCTCTCGCGTCGACGACCTCGACCCAAAGCCGTCGGCGGCGGAGCTCTATGACAACTTTGTCTTCTCGATCAACGCTGAGACCGAGGGCATGTATGAGTCGTGCATCAGCGGTGTTGGCATATTGCTCGGAAAGCCGACAGATGACTACAATGATTCTACAAGCAGCACGTCGACAAGCTGGCCGAGAACATGCAAGATTCGCTGACGCGAGAGACAAAACTCCAGTCGACGAAAGTTCAACACGCGCGGTTGCTGTATACTGCACCCGAGAGGCGGGCTGACAAGCCAATGAGGGGCCCAGAGAAACCTCGTGATCGGCAGGGGCGCGACGACGGGGACAGGCGCCAAGAGCGAGACAAGCCTCCCCCGGGATCCTCCAAACCCACCGCAACGTGGGACTCGGGCCTACAGGGCCGTTGCTCCCGTTGCGACGGTAACCACAACAGGAGCGAGTGCACTCAGCCGGTCACGCAGTGCCCGTACCGCTTCCCAAACGGTGAGGTCTGTGGCAAGGACCACCAGCACCACATCAAGCACTGCTGGTACAAGAACCCGAAGCTGTGCTACAGCAAGAAGATCCGGGATGAGATCCTGGAAAAGATCGCCGTCAGCTTCCAAAGCAAATGAGGAGCAAGATGACGGTGTTGTTAAGCACTACCTCGCCACGGCCGAGGACGAATACTACGAGGACTACGAGGGTGAATCTGAAGATGGCATTGAAGAGGCATAGGACAATTTGCCTGCCGCCCCGGCGCTGGGACCCTCCTTTCACACATGAATAGACAAGACGCCCATCCCATAGAGAGATGGTGTGAGCAGACGGAGGTTGCGTCGCCGTACTCATTCAGCATGACACCGTAGCTTAGGTACGAGCTAACATATGCAACGACTAAGAGGATGTTCGGGCATCGGCTAGTCGTTGGGGGGGTGTGCTGCTCGTTCTCAGGGAGGGGCGGCGTAGTCCCGTTCACACCCTCACTTAGGCATGAGCGCCCGAAACTTAAACGGCGGGCGCTTGACGAACCCGAGGGGGGGGGACGGGGGCAGCAACGGCTGCGGCCCCGAGAGTCGAATCGACAACTCATAGTTCGAACTGGCGACTCATAATGAAACTTGCTGAAATCGCCCTGTGGGGGCGGCAGCGGCGACCGCCCCGGGGGCGGCAGCGGTGACCGCCCCGGCGAATATGTTTAGCGACTCCCACCCCCAAGGAAGTTCTGATAGACATGTCCAGGACTCTGTGGCTGAAGCAGCGTGTGCGTCGAAGCCACAAGAGGGCTGGCTACGTCAGAGAAGGGGGGGGGGGGTTCGCGTATTTTGTTTTTCCTTGAAAACGGTATGAGACTGTGAAACGATCGCCGCAAGGGGCGTGAACACACAAGTGCGTAATGACCGCAAGTGGTCGTGAACACCCCAAAAGGGGTGTAAAAGTAAATACTCCACTTATTCACAGATACCATACCAGCAAAGTACCCGAATCCAACTCCACGTGCCCAAGCGCACACCGGCCGGAGCGCCACCGGGGGGTGCCGCCCTCCCGTTCATGAGCCCAACAACACGAACGCTATCCATCCTCACCGGCCCCCTTCCCCGCGGTCGGCCTCGCTCGCCGCGCCAAGCCGCGGTCCGGTCGTCCGCCCGGCGGCCAAGGGCGGGGAGGGAGGGGGCCACCCGCGCTCGCGCAGCTCCTCATCGCAAACCCTGTCAGCAGTCCTCCTCCGGGAATGTACGTAAGAGCTACGTACATGAGGAGAAAAGAGAGAGGGGGTTTGTGTTCTCTAGGCCCCTGAGGGCCCTACGCGCGGCGTGAGAGCTCGGAAGCGAGCTTTGCACGGCGATCGAGGATGGCACGGTTCACCCCCTTCACCGAAGCGATGGAGATGCGTTCCGCGTGGTGTGACACAAATGAGAGGCGGGAGTGGGGAGGGTACGCGGTGCGGTCAACGCCCGAGCGTTGAGCCTTGCGCGCAAGGCGGTTGATCTTTGCAACTGCTGGCGGCGAGAAGCCGCCGCCGAATGTCTCGTGGAGAAGCAGGTTGAACTTGTTTCGTTTGGTGAAGATCCCATCATGGTAGTGGCCACGCTGTGACTTGACGTAGCCTTGGCCGGTGGGTGTGGTCGAACGCCCGTTGACCACGGAACCCGCGTTGCTTGCAGCCCATGTTTGCAAGGCGGGCGCGCTCTTCGGTGTTGCCGAAGGCGAACTTGTCTCCAACGGAGCCGGGGTTGCCTCCGGTGTCGGCGCGGCCGACCCCAACGGGCAAGCCACCCCGGAGGGGGGTCCAAAGTTTGACCTCGCTGATCTCGTCTTTGCCCCCGGGGGCCTCGCCCGGCTCAGCCAGGTCGAAAGTACGTACGTACACTGAGAGAGAGAGATACATATACACTGAAAAAGATCAATCTGGATACCGAGCCACGACCCAACTACTCGAGTACGACTGTAATTGCACTTGGAGCACTTGGAGTGCGGTCATTAGCCTCACATCCAGGGCCGGGGAGCTAAGAAGCGCACCCAGCGGGCCGGATGATCGGGATCGGGTTGCGGGCAAGAAAGCCCTAGCCCCGGGGGTGCGCGTTCGCAGGGCAAGGGCCAAAAAAGTAAACACGGGTCTCCGAGGGTTGCCATCGCTCATCTTCCATCTGTTGCGGGCGGCGGCCGCGAAACGCGCGCGCCCTTCCCCCATTACATCGCATTGGAGTTTTGTTTGTCGCATTGGCGTATCTGCTACACGCCGCTTCGCGAGCCCCCCTTTCCAAGCTCCGCGCGTGCTTAATGCTGAGCGAGCACTCGGAGACTGGCTTGGAGGACGAGCTGGTCGAGCTGCACCTCGAGCGCGAGCAGGCCACCACCTCCTCGCCCGGCTATCGGCCCAAGCGCCCGGGCAATCCGCTGGCGACCGAGCTCGTCACAAGCAGAGACGTGCCTCACGGCCCAGAGGCGCAGGCGGCGTTCAAGCCGTGCCCATCCGACTCGGACACGCCCAAACGCCAGCGCCTTGACATGCACCAACGCGCCATGGAGCTCGGCAGTTGGCCATTCCAGTTCGTGTCGGCAGCCGTCAACTCGGCCGGCGCCTTGCCTCCGCCGCCCGTCTCGCAGGATGTGAGCTCTGCACGCACCTTCCAGCATCGACACGGCGCTGCTTCCGTGCCGCTGAGACCCCTTTCCCTCTTCTCGCCGCTGGCCGTCCGCGTTGCCGTGGATGACTCCGCCTCGGTGACTGGCGCACCGAAGCCGAAGCAGGTCCAGCCCCCTCGGAGCTCGCCAGTCGGCACGCCCGGACTCTCTCAGGAGGATAGCCCCCTAAGGGAGCCGCCGCAAGCTCTCGGCGCATGGCCTTGGGGGCTATCTCTGGTGACGGCACTCCCGGGGCGGAGGAGCGCCGCCCCTCTCCCTCTGTGTGGGTCGAGCAGGAGCCCCGTAGGAGGGGGATGGTCAGCACCAGGCGCGCCCTCCCGCGCCCATGTGACCCATATCGCATTGGCATCGACCTCTGCGCGTCATGGAGTAGGCTCGCAGTGCCTGTCTCCCGTGGCTGCGTCGATGGAGTCGGTGCGCGGCGCAACTCTCACACGCGCGGAGGGGGCGCGGTTCACCACGCCTTCCGCTCTCCACAGGCGCTCAAGCTCTCGCCTGCCGGGGTCCGCCCGTGCGCGCCTCCGCCCATTCAGATGGTACGCCCATGCGCGCTGCCGCCGCCCCTCCAGCCCCTGTTTTCAGACAAAAGGACCTGAGCGTTGATGGTCGCGAGCGGATGGGCCCGTGCCTCGCGTGACGGCGTCTTACGTTCTGCGGCCGTGTGTCATGTCTGGTGTGTTTCTCTATCTGCCGCGGCCCAGATCACCTGTGTGCGCCAGGAGAGACTCTCGTGTTTCATGTGTCTTTTCGTGAAAGTGGGTTTTAAGTCACTTTGATGACTTGAGTTTCTTGTTTGGGTTTTCGCCGCGCGCTAGACACCTATATCGACATGTGCATGCACATGCGCATGCACCTATATGCCCTGGCATCCTCGCGCTGTCGCTTCCGCCGCTTCGCCTTCGTCTCCTTGCTGCGCAGCAGGGTGTAGTTCGGGCCCACCTCCGCCACGCTGTCCAGCAGCTGGGCGGCGCTCGCCATCTCGACCGCGTCGTCCTCCGGCGGAAGCTCCGCGTCGCCCGCGGCCGCTTCCCGAGCGCGCTCGTCGCGCATCCGCTCGTGGTGGGCCTGCCGACGCGCCACGCCGGCGCCCGTGTGCCTCGCCGCCGCGTCCGGTGACGGCATCGGTCGCTGCCACAGGTCGTCCCACAGGTCGTACCAACAGGTCGTCACCAAAGGGGACGCATCCAAACCGCCGCATTTCGCCCGCCGAAAAGTCTGCCCCAATCTCGAACCAATCTCGAGTCCTCTCACTAGTTACATACATACTTCCTCTCCATTACACCCAGAAAATATATACCATTGCGACTCGGCTCCGCACTACTTTTCTCTATCTCCATCTGACAGGACGTCACGTGTATTTGACTCACTCATGGTTGCAGGTATGCTGGAGTTGCCCCGAGCCTGACAAATGCCTTGAAGGCGGAGGGAGCGGGCGTGGGCGCAAGCGCGGGCGAGCGATGCTGCGGAGGCGTTGGCTGCCCCGGCGTGGGCACGGACATGCTCTGCATGTAGCGCAGAAACTGCATGTCAGCTGAGGGCAGGTGCAACGGCTGCGGGATGACGCCCTGCTGTGCGGCTAGGGCTTGCCGCGGCGGGTTTGTATGCATCACCATCGCCTGACCCGCAGGGACGGCGCATCCGACGATGTCGATCGAGCCAATGACGACGCCCGTGGTGACGGGCAGTTGCCCCGGCGGCGCCGCTGGCCATGCGGCCGCCCTCAGCGCCACCGGCCTGCAGATGCTGCCTGGGGCCGGCGCTGGGGGAAGCTCTGGCACGGGAACCGGCGCGGGTGGTGTAGGCGCCGCGGAGTCCGACTCGCTTGCCGCGCGTTGCGTCTTTGCATGAAGCACATACGATGAAGGGGCGACGCGGCAGACGCTCGCAAAATCGCGGGTGTTGGTCACAGCGGCGGAGGTAGCGCCCGCGGGTCTGAGACAGCTCGGTGAGCACGTCGCAACGATCGTCGCCACCTCCACCTCCACTGCCGCTGACGGCGAGTCGCTGGCCACCGCGAGCGCCGCAGCTGGGCCGCTTCTCCGGGCGCCTCTCATCAATGCCAGTTTCTCGATGACGGGCACCTTCAGCCATTAGTGCATACTAGGGCTGTGAGGGAGGCAAAACGAACGGCAACGTGTGGTGGCGCACCAGCGTGCCATGTGCAAGCTCGAACTTGATGCACTGTTCCAACGAGGCCTGGTGTGTCTTGCGTTGCCATTCGGGCGGTATTGCGCGAAAGCAGCCCTGCATCGCGGCGGCGGCACCAAGTGAGTCTTGCTACCGAGCAGCGCCCAACGAGTCTTGCAAAGAGAGGTAGGAGGGGTGGAAAAAGGCTGGGCGGGCCGCTGCCTCTGCGCACCTCAAGCATGAGGATCTCCTCTCCGTGTCTGGACAAGACTGCAGCCAGCGGCCGGAAGGGAGCGGGCATCAGAGACGCTTGTCCGTGAGAAGAGGAACGTTTTGCTGTCTTGCTTGGTGCGGGCCTGGGAGGTGAAAGTCTCTTTGTAGCCCGCCGAGGTGTGAGGTGAGCGTATCAGAGAAGACAGCAATCTGCGGGCCCTTGCAGCGGCGCCTGGTTGGAGGGGGTTGAAGGGAGGATGGCGGCGTGCTGGTTGCTGCTGCTTGTGCGGAGGGTTGGAGGGGGTGGTCCACCGGAGCGGAGGGGGCTGGGGTGCAGCAAGCGCACGTCTGGTTGAGGACGCGGAAGTGCGGCAGCTTCAGGTGAGACGTCCAGACTCCGTTGGACGGCGAGTTGATGAGCGTGTTCTTTGAGTTATCGGGCATCACCACCATGCGGGAGACGGGGATATGCACTGCAAGCGCGTGGGTGCGCGGAGCGGAGAGGGAAGGAGGATTTGGGAACTCGGCGAGGAGACAATGGAAGGGACGCGGCGGGCGCACCGCCACACTGCTGGCAGCTCGCACAAAAGTGCGCCGAGAAGGCCGTCTGGGAATTGCTCCACGCGACGTAAAGCCCTGTTGCAAGGGGATTGGAGGAGGGAGGAGTAGGGAGAGGTCGTCCTAGAGGCGCGAGTGAGGCGGCGCGGGTCGCGATGTGCTTTCATGATGCGCTGCGCTCACCGGTTTTGCAGGCCGTGCCTGTGAGGAGGCCTCCCCAGCACTCGGTGCTGGCGTCATGCAGCACGCCCTGTTGGGTGGAGATGCGCTCCGCCATCCCGCTCGACGCGGTGTCCTCCTGCTGAGGCGTGGTGCCCCAGTTGCTGGATCCTGCCATCATAGGGTCAGACGATGGGTCCCATCGTCTGCAGCGGCACCTGCAGGGCCAAGGACCGTACTGCCGGTCGGGCCGCGGTGGAGCGCGCGTGAGGTGTGGCTGCGTGTGGGTTGCGCACCGGTCTGAGCACCACCGGCACGGCGCCACCGAACTGCGGCATAGCAGCTCGGCCTTTGTCCGCCTGCTAATTGCCGGGCAGTAGTTCATCAGTAAACTATCGCCGAAATGCTGGCCCACCGAGCTAAAAAACGCCGTCGCAAAAGCTTGAGCACTTGAGCACTGGATAGGGTCGATTCCGCGTGGTACGGGACCCCTCGATCGTCGTCTCGCCCTCCCTCGCAAAAGCTCCCCCGCGACGCCTGAGGCGTGAGGGAGGGTGTAGAGGATGTAGAGTGTAGAGCGCTGTAGAGCTGTAGAGCTGTAGAGCGCTCTGGAGCGCTGTAGAGCTGTAGAGCTCTACATCCGCCGCGGGACGAAGCGCCTCCGTTGTAGAGCGATGTAGAGCGCGATTTTGCGGTAGAGTTTGTTGTCGAGGCTCTACAGCCACACACCGCCGGGAAGGCAGTGACTCAAAGAGGTCGAGCCGCGCTAATGGGGTGTCTCCGAGCTTACTGGAGCTCTGATGGACAGCCCTGACTATCCCTGACACACAGAGAGTCACTCCGACGGCACACAACACCCTATAACTGCGTCATGACCAGCCTGCCATGTGTCGCCGGTGCCGCATTCGTCGCTGTGCTTCAGGCGGTGGACTGTCGGCTGCGAGGACGGTCGCATTTGCGCGAGGCGAGGCGAGCATTCAGACGCGTTGCATGCGCCATGACTCGCGCCAGCGCCTGGCCAGTGCGTGCGGGAGCTCCTGGCTGAGCGTTGAGTCCAGGCGAGTTGCGCTGGCCACTAATCACTACGCCGAGCCGAGCTGACGCGCCGAGGCGCCGGCCAGTCGCAGCCGTGAGGCATGCCACAGCAACAGAGGCACCTGCCACCCATTGGGCGGGCAGACAGAAGGCCAGGGCCGCATTGGCAAGTGCAACGCGCCTCATGTTGGAGAGCGATCGTGCCTCGTTCGCGGCTTACGATGTAGAGTTTGTTGTAGAGATTTTACGTTGTAGAGCGCCTCTACATCGCTCTACAACGGAGGCGCTTCGTCCCGCGGCGGATGTAGAGCTCTACAGCTCTACAGCGCTCTACAGCGCTCTCCAGCGCTCACACATCTCTACAGCTCTACAGCGCTCTACACTCTACATCCTCTACACCCTCCCTCAGCGCGACGCTTGTCGTTGTATGTGGCTCTTACTTACGTACATTCCCGTAGGAGAGGACTCTGCTGACAGGGTTGGCGATGAGAAGCGAGCCGATGGGCTTCTCGGAGGTTAGTGGATAATAGTGCACCACTAACCGCCGAACTTTCACGATTCACAGTTCACAGTCACAGAGTGTTATGAGAAGAAAATTTACTCCTTCAGGAGCGGCCGCACACTGCTCGGTACCCCCCCTGCACATCTAAAGCCATCCCTGCTGAAGGGGGTCTGATCCCCCCCCCCCGGCAGCAGCGCTCTGCTGCTGGAGGGGTCGGGACCCGGGGGGGCGACCCCTCCCCCAGCAGCAGCAGAGCGCACTGGACCCAGCTCCCGCCTCTTCGCCGCCGCCGCCCCCTCCCCCCTCGGCTCGTGTTTGAGCGGTACGAGGCAGTTGTGTTCACCGCGCCGCCTGGCTGGCAGTAGGAGGGTACGCCGGTGAGACCATAAATTCTCGCCCCTGGAACGCTACTTACTCACAGCTGTCTGTACAGAGATCGGCCAGCACCCCCCCCCCCCCAGCACCAGAGCTCTGTTGCTGGGGGGGAGATCGGCCATGGCTTTAGATGTGCAGGGGGGGGTACCGAGCAGTGTTGCGGCCGCTCCCCAATTGCTTCACATACTATCTATCAGCGCAAACGCCGAGGGGTCCGCTACCGCTTAGCGCTTTCACTTTTTCACAGTGTCACTTAGACACTTTAAAACACGTTTCCGTTACAGAAAACTGCGGCCGCCAGCGACAGAGCGTCTCGCTGGCGGACGGCGAGAGGAACACAAAGGGGCGTCCGGACGTCCATCCACTGGGATGAGAATACTGGAGATCTCTAAGGTCGAATCTGCCGATTCCACAGCCACCCACAGGAACGCCGCCTCAACACGGGGTCTCGGCTCTACCGAGCCATGCTAGCTCCAGCCGCAGCCCCACCCGGCCGGCCCGAGGGTGTTCCCGCACGAGCGCGCAGGCAGAGAAGACCAATCCTGGGGGAAGTAACCTTTCCGCATTCCGGGGCGCACGACCAAGTCTCGTGCGTTGCGCTTGGCGCCCCACGAAGGAGATGTCGCGCGACACATCACCCTGGCTATGCCAACGCTACCCAGACGCTTCCGTGTACCGGACCTCAAAAATCTTTTGTATCGCACGCGCGCAGGCGCACCCGCCCGCTGAAACGACAGTCGACACGCGGACGCCTCCCCACCTCGCCCCAAACTAGCGCCATGCCTACACCAACCGTGCACACGAGCGCCAGCCCAAGCCACGCCACTAGCGAGCACCTGGCAGCCCCGCGCCCGCTCTCGAGGTGCAGGGCTGCAGTCGAGCTGGGCTCGCTCTCCGGTCCGTTTGCTGTGGTGACCCCTAGACAGACCTACTCGAAGCCCCCCCCCCCCCCCCCCCGGCACGCCGTGCTACTCCGATCCCTCAGGCCCCGCCTCAGGCCCAGCCTCGCCCGCCTCCTCGCCGTCCGCCGCAGCTGCAGCCTCGACCGCAGCAGCCGCGTCCGCCGCAGCGGCCGCCGCCTCGGCCTCGGCAGCGGCGGCGGCGGCGGCGGAGCCCGAAGAGACGACGACCTAGCGACGGGAGAGAGAGGGGTGGGAGGGGCGGGTGTGGGGTCGGGCAGGCGGTGGGGAGGGGAGGGGGAAGGCGGCGTGTGTGCGCGGCGGGTTGAAAGCACCTCCGCCTCGCGCAGCAGCTCCCCCCCCATGGTGTAGCCTCGCGCCGTCTGCTCGAGGACGCAATTCTTTGCAACCTCCTCGCTCGGGCGCCTCTCCACCTCGCGGTGCCGCCTGCAGCACCCGAGGGCAGAGTCAGGAGGGGAGAGGGCAGGAGGGCAGAGGGCGGGAGGGCAGAGGCGAGGCGCGGCGGAACCACCGACGCCCCCCCGGCACGGATCGGGCCCACGCGGGCGAGAACCGCGGCGCGGAGGACTTGTGTCGGCAGGTGTGTGTGCGTCGAGGCGTGTGTGCCGACAGGGTTGCGTCGAGGTGTGTGTGTCGAGAGGTGCGTCGCGCTCCTCCAGTCATACGCGTCGCCCGGCGCGCTATCGAAGGGCTCGAGCTGCGCCGCCTCGAGCACCTGAAGAGGCGGCGTGCGCGCTGTCAGGCTGCAGAGGCAGAGGGGTGGCCGGCGCGGCTCGCCCATCGCCTGCGTCAGCTGCTTGTGGATCCCCGAGTAGTACTTGTGCACCTCTGCAGCGCCGCCGTCCGCGCCGTCCGCCTCGGCCTGCAGCGCCGCAAACTGCTCGACGAACGGGAGGAGCGGCCGCATCGCCTCGAGACGGCCGTACCCCGCCTGTCCATCCAGCTCCGTCCGCGCGCGCTGCCGCTCGCGCTCGAAGTTGGCAGCGAGGAGCAGGTAGCCATTCTCGCCCGCGTCCTTCGCCTCGTCCTGCGCGGCCACGAAGTCGCCGCGCGCGGAGGTGAGCTTCTTCTCGAGCTCGTCGATCTGCGCGCGAAGGGCGTCCTTCTCCGCCTTCTTGGCCGCCTTCTCCGCCTTGGCGTCCGACATCCCCTCGCCGTCGGGCACGGCGCCGTCGCCTGCGGCTGCCTCGGTCTCTGACGGCTCCGCCGCGAGGCGCACCGAAGAAGAGAGGCAGCGCAGGGCGTGCGGTGAGGGAAACAATGGCGCCCTCACGCGCGGCTGGAGCACGACGGCCTCAGCCGCATGAAACGCCAGCAGAGCGAGAGCCAGCGACGTCGAGCACACGCGCATGGCCCAGGCTGGGTTCGGCTGATCGCGCCGGTGCGGAGGCTCTTGAGCGTCGTCCTACCGGCGAGTGCGCGCGTCGGCGGCAGCCGCCTCCTCGGCGCGCTGGGTGGCGAGCCGGCGCACGTTGCTCCGCCTCGTCTCCTCGTTCTCGCGGACACCGTCCGAGTCGTAGTCGGACATTCGGCGGCGGCAGAGCGGTGAGGAGACAGTGAGACACAGGGGGATGTACCGTGTTGGCAAGGCAAAGGGGAAGTGTGGTGCCTATATGGGCTTCCAGTATCGGACCTTCAAGATATGCGCTTTTGGCCGGTGGCCTCCTCGGACATGGAACATGGTACCTCCGGTGAGATAGTGGCTGCCAGTTCGAGACTGGGGCCGATCGAACTTGATTTGTTCGGAGCACGGAGCTCGGAGGAGGAATCCGGCCAGCACGGGTACAAAGAGGGGTACCCGGAGAATCCCCGGCGGCCGATCCCCAGCTGCGGAAACGTAGTGTCGCTCAAGAGGTGCGATACTGCGGGGGAGTGTAAGGTGCCTATATGGGCTTCCAGTCTCGGACCTTCAAGATATGCGCTTTTGCCTTTTGGCCGGTGGCCTCCTCGGACAGGAAGGAGCTGGGCGGCCCGCCGGGCCGGCGAGTTTGCGATAGATGCGGGGCCGAGCCTGTGGAGCACCTCACGCGTTACACGGCCTCTGCGTCTACGCATCCAGGCGCAACTCTGCTCGCTCTCACCCCCCTCAACAGATCTAGCGCTAGCTGGCGCGATCTCCGTGAATAGCGACCCAAGCTCCCGCGACCTCGCGCCCTCGTCCCCCGTCCGTGTCCGAGGCAGCCAACGCACAGAAGAGGATCGAATCGTGACGGCATGGTCATATCCATCAGAAATTGCCTGTACCAGATTGAAGTGCATGGGGGGCGAGCCGCTCGCCGCGGAACGCGCATCGGGGGGGGGGGGTGGGCGGAGCAGTGCATGGCATGTCTACAGCGCCCGCCGGCGCTGCCGTTCGCTCACTCTGCGGGACCCAGGCAGTGCGCCGGGCGTGTTTCGGGCCGAGCATGAGTGTATGCGTCTGCCGTCCCTACCGGATCCTGCTGGGGCCCCAGGTATTACGGTTTGCGCTGAGGTTGGAGAGAAGCTCAGCTCGTTGTCAGACTCAAGGTCCCACAGGCGTCAGCTGGGGCCAGGGCACCGCGCGGCCCCCCATTGCGGCGAGACTGGCGAAAATCTCCCCCGGACGCGTCGGGCATATCAAACCGATGTCTCACTTGAAGAACACTTGTCGTGGCGAGGCGCAGACAAAACTAAATACACCACGCGGCGTGACACCACCGACAATGCGACAAAATGTGCCCCGGGCCCACGACGCTGCTGAGGCCTGAGAGCGTGAGAGGTCTCACAGAGCCGCCTCTGCTTTGCAAAAAACGCCTCGGACTGTCGACTCGTGCACAAAACCGCTCTCACGCGGGGCTCGAATACAGCGGATTCCCCTCCCACCCAGTGGGGTATGTACCGAAGGCGAAGCGACCCCCGAGCCAGTCAGCCCAGGACTGCATCGGGGTGCTCGCCCAGTCGCGAGGAGTGGCCGACGGCCGCTGGCGCCGTCGCCGCGATCAAAGGACATGGGGCGGACGCAGAGTTTGGGACAGCCAACAGGCGGCCTAGCAGGCGGCACGGGCAAGAGGTCCAGCTCCAGGACGCAAGTGGAGCTCATCTCACAGGCCGAGCGGGGTCTGGGTCTGGAGGCTCGACGACATCTAGGCTCGACTAGCGATTACGGGAGGAGCTACAGCGTGTTAATTTCGGCTCGATTTAATTGAAATTGTACACTGCCGGGGTGACTGTGTCACCGCTGGCTCGAGACCGCTGGCCCTCTGCCAGCCGATGCGCTCCCCGCTCCGGTCCGCTAGGAAAAAGAGTGGGCGACCCGGATGTGCGCTGCCGGCAACATCCGCACCTGTGCGCACCTCCGTAGCACTGGCAACCTATCCCAACCGTTCGGGCAGGCACCATATTGCCAGCCCTGGATGCATCGGATCATGGCATTTCACATACGAGCGTGTGATGCCTTGGCCGGCAACCTATTCAATGGCCTGGTCAGGAAGAGCGGTCCAGTCGCGTAGCCAGCCACCGAATTGCACGCCTCTGTTGAGTATGAACATAGAAGCTAGTCCAAATAGGCAGAGGAGGAAATAGTCGGCAATCCCAACATTGTGCGGAGGCTCGTCAGCCTCAGTCTTGCCGACTTCGGCAAGTTTGCTCGGCGAGTCGGGCAACGATTTGGAGCGCTTCCGTGCCATTTGACCAGCGAGAGGACACTTTGATCGGCGAGAGGACTCTGGGGCGCAGTGGCCCGGCAAGCACGAGATGCAAGCTTGGCGTGCTGCGCCTGAGAGAGGCCTACGAAAGAATTTAAACAAAACAACTCTCTCTCACAGCAGACAGGCTCGACACAGGTGCGAACTGGCGCGTGCTAGTACTATCACCGGCACACCTACGAAAGAAAAACCCGGGCTTTCTTTTGTCGTATTCCTCCTTGGGTTGTCGTTTTCTTTTTCTTTTTTCTTTTAGGTCAACCACGGGAGCCGCCTCTAGAAATAATTTAGCAAATCTCTCGCACAACACTAGGTACGGGGCCACTGGCGCGCACTGGCACTGACATCAGGAGAAGCCCCTCCCACCCGTGCTTGTGCAGCGCAGCCTCCTCGATGAGCGAGGGCGATAAAGTCACGGAAGAAAATATTTTACTACAGGATTCCACTCTGGACCTGTTCCTTTTTTTTACCCATCTCACAGTGGAGAGGTGTCCGTTTTTATTTATTTATTTCCTCTGCACTCACATCAACAACATTATTGCTCCGCCCATTCGTCCACACTATGGCCTGCTGTTGCGCTCGACGAGGGGTCGGGCGGAGCGCCGGGCGGAGCGGCTCGCGCGAATGAGCCTCTCGACGAGCCTCCACCACGCCGATCGACAAAGCTCTTCCAGAGGCGCCTCGCCGCGCCGCCCGTGGCCGTGGCTGCCGTGCCGACTACCTACATCCGCGAGAAAGCGAGTCATCGCAAGCGGATGCAGACCTCGCGACAAGTGCCGGGCAGCCCTGCGTGCAGTCGCCGCCCCGCCCGCGAGCATGTTCTCGATGTCATCGAGGAACAGGTCCACCTCCCCGTCGACCTCCGCGGCGACGACGGCAGTGGCCCCCGCCACTTGCGTGACGACTTCTCTCGCCTGTTCGCACAGCCCACGCCTTTGGCACGCACATGGGGTCTCGCTTGTGCATTGCCCCTCACCGTCTGCGCCGCCGCCGCTGCTGTCGTGAGTGCGAGCACCCTCTCACCCTTGGGCGTCGACTTGGCAGTGAGCGCGGCAACAAGAGCACGCGAGGCTTCGTCGTACCCACCCCACTCCTCCACCCGCACCCAAAACTCGTCCAGTTGCGAGAGTACCTGCACGCCACCGGCTGGCTCACAAGGGCTTCGCGCAAAGGGCACGCACTTCCAGCGCGCCGTCTGTGAGTCTCGCAGCTCCTTGAGCTCGCCCTGCGCCTCTGCAAAGTCGACGATGAACGTGGCGTGCAGTAGCATCGGCGCCTCCGCATCTTGCCCAGCGTTCTGTCTCGCCTCGTGGTTCTGAAGCCGGGAAGCGATGATCGGGAGCGGCACAGTCGCATCCTCATAGGCACAGTCCCACTCCTCGACCAGCGCCTGTGCCCGCACGGAAGCCTCACGCGGGTCGCGACTCACTCCGAGCGCCACACACGTCTTCTTCATCATCTGGTATGCAGCGTCCCGCGCCAGGAGTCGCTGGCTCTGCCGGAACTCAGAGAGGAGAGGGCCTTCCTGTCCGGCGCTGCGGCAGCGCTCGGCGTAGCGGATAATCGTGGGCAGTGCTCGCACACGCGCTGCGAGAGCTTCGGGAGACGACACAGGGCGACGGAGGTCAAAGTCGAGCGGCAGAAACCGCCACCCTGACAACCGACAGTACTCTCTGCAGGCGTCAAGCAGCTCTGCCCACGCCGGGAAGTATTCTTCAGAGGCGGCGGTGCGTTGAGGCTCCGCGAGGCCGCAAGCTGCAGCCATGGCGACAGCCACGGCCCGCGCAGCCGTGCGATGCACCAAGAGCGAGACCTCGTTCTGTGCCTCTTTAGCGAGGTCCAAAGCTGCGATATGTGTCTCTGCCATCTGAACGCAGGGACGCACGAAAAACGGTGCACAGTGGCAAACTTTTTGACACTCGGGGCAACGCAGCAGCCCCTCATGCGCGATTCTTGTCCCTGCCGTCGTTGTCGCGTTGCCGGGCGGCGTCGTGGATGCTGTGGAACGTGGTGCCGCCGCCGCTAATCCTGCTCCTGGACGAGAAAAAGGATCGCTCCTTCCTCATCGCAAACCCCGTCAGCAGTCCTCCTTCGGGAATGTACGTAAGAGCTACATAGGATACACAAGACACTGAATCGGACACCTCTACTAGGAGATGGGTAAAAAGGAACAGGTCCCTGGGTCCCCGCACCTGAGCACTGAGGTGACCTACCACCGTTCCAGCCTGCGATCACGCGTCTAGCGTCGATCAATGGACGATGGCGAGGACGCGAGATCAACGCGCTAAAGCCATAAAGGCTAAAGCGGCGAGCAGCCCCGGGCTTCCGATAGAGGGGCAGCGCACCGCAGTGAGCCCGCCGCGAAGGCGCGAAGAGCCGAACGTCGCGTCATAAATATGTCGTCAAAGAGTCAGGTCAAAGTCGTCAATCCCAATGAACGAGAACCGCGCACACATGCTACATGCACACTGGTCACTGCGCAGCGGCGATTTACAAGATACAACATGACCATTACCGCCCTCGACCAAAGGGTCGTTCGTGCCCCCGGCTGTGCCACACTAGTAGCGCGCTATCTCTCTCTCTCTCTCTCTCTCTCTCTCTCTCTCTCTCTCTCTCCCTCCCTCCCTCCCTCCTCTCTTGTCTAGCGTCTACTACGCAACAGAAGGCGCGATCCGGGAGCCCCGACCGGCGTTGGCCCAGCCGGGACGCCCACACCGCGCGCCGCAGTGGCTGCACGGCACCCACCCCGCGCCTCGCGCGCAAAACTCGCCCGAGCACACCCCTCCTCCCCGATCGCCGCCACACGCCTCACCCTCCGCACGCTACACGAGCCCACCGGGCCCGCACGGAAGACACCCCCCTCCCCCCCCCCCCCCCCCTCCCCCCCCGCCTCACAGCAGCGAGTCGCCCCACAGCAGTCGCCCCTCATAGGCGCCTACAGCAGCGAGTTGAGGACGAGGCCCAGCGCGCCAGCACCCATCAGAGCCTCGCCCGCGGTGGCGGCGGTGCCTCCAGTCACAGCCTTGGTCGCAGACTTGGCGGCGGCGGCGGCATCAAAGGGCGCGGCGACCGCGACGGCGGCGGGCTTCGCGGCCGGGGCGGCGGCGGGGGCAGCAGGCGCGGCGACGGCGAGCGCAGGCGCGGCCGGTTTGGGGCCCGCGCCGCCGTTGTAGGGGAGGGAAGAGTGGTGGAGGTTGATGCGCATGTTGCCGAGCAGGTCGCGGTTGTATCCAAACGTGAAGTCCACCTTGGTCTCCTCCCCCGTCTTCGCGTCCGTGAAGTAGTAGTTGCCCATCGAAAAGGCGGTGTCGCCGTCGACGACAAACGCCTTGTTGTCAAAGCGAACCTTGGTCCATGGGTGGAGGGCGAAGCCCTTGTCCTCAACCTCCTGTCCGGTGACAAAGTACGAGTACGCCTCGCCCGGCGTCAGGCGGAACTCCTTCTCCGACGCCTTGGTCGGCTTGAAAAGCACCGGGCCCTGCGGCAGCGGCAGCGGCGCGGCCGGTGAGAGGGCGGGTGTGGCGAGCGCTGAAGCCCCCGCTCCCGGCCGGCGAGGATTCGCTGGTGCGGGGCCGCCACCACAGGTGCAGCCTCGTGCGCGCGCCGCGCCCCTTCCCCCGCCGCGCCTGGTCGTAGCCGTACAGCGAGTCAACGAGCACCTTTGCTGCCATCTTGTAGTCGCCGCCCTTGGAGTAGACCTCTCCCACGCGCACGATGCCGTCGCCCCACTTTTGCTCGGCCGCGATTATGTCGGCCTTTGTGATCTCGGCAAACGCAGGCAGCGGCGCCGCCGTGAGATGTGCAGCAAGCCCGAGGGAGAGGAGCGTCGTGGCGATCGAGTCTCGCACGCTGTTGGCGGCGGCAGCGGGCGGAGCGGCTCTTCTCACACCGCTCACAGCTCGGCTCAGGGGAGCCGCCGGGGTGACGGGCGCATAGGCGGGCGCGAGCGTGTAGAGCGAGAGCATATCCAGCTAGTGGATACTCAGCGGAGGCTGTGGAAGGCCGAGCTCAAAAAGAGTATCCGCGGCTCATCCTCGAGGTTCTCGAGGTGGATATCCTTTGGCCGCGTTGGGTAGCGAGGATTGGTGTAACCCGAGCCACGGAGGCGTGTCTTCCTCCATCCCTCTTTTAAGCGACAGGAACGAAGAGAGTGGGACGACCGCGAGGTGGCATGAAGGTTGCAGCAAGAATCGGCGAGGGACTGCGAAGGGAGATAGAAAGAGGCCGACGACCAAGGGTTAAGGGTGGGCGACGGCTAGCACCACACTCCTCTCCTTAAAAATCCCTGTGTGGTGGCGGCGTGCCGTCCTCCCATCCCTCCCTTGGGTTGTCTGTTTCCTTTCTTTCTTTCATCCCTCGTTTGGGTTGTTGTTTTTTCTTTCTTTCTTTTAGTCCAGTCCCAGCACTGTTTTCTTCACCTTCGATACACACGTCATACCCTCCGCCCGCCTCCGTGTTCCTCCCCTGTGCCCCTGATCGTCCTTCCAAGATCTCTTGCAGCCGTTGCAGGTGGGGCGGGACGACAGGGGCAGGCTGGTACCCCTTTCGCTTTCCTTCTGCTTCTCTCCCTGGCTCCCATCTCGGCTACACGACACTGAGAATGTATACGATCGCTTCTCGGCGAGTACATGTATCCCGCTGGCTCGTTTCGTCGTTTGCGGCGGCCATTTACTTGGAAAACTTGCTTTCTTCTCTTGACAGAGTGGGACGACTGCGAGGTGGCACGACGGTCGCGGCTAGTATGGGTGAGAGGCTACGCGTAAATGTAGTCGCGAGGCAAGCGTCTCTCTCTTCCGCGCCCAACGGCCCTGGCCACGACGGTGAAGCCGCCGACAATGGGCGCGAAGATGTAGGGGACAGAGAAGCGCGGGTGGAAGACGGCGTCGTTCCCGGAGACCCTGGCGCCGTAGCCGAGGTCCACGATGCTCAGTATAATGTACAGCCCGACCGCGCGCACCTTGTGGCGGTACGCGACGCCGCGCTGCGAGCCGATGATGGCTCCCACCATAGCGCAGGCGACCGAGATCCCCAGCGGGGAAGTGGCCGCGCAGCGGATCGTCTCATCGACCTCGGTGGGCGAGCGCAAAAACAGCTTGATCCCGACCCGCACCGCCGGCAGGGCGACCAGCGAGCCGATCGCCACGAGCGCCGTCACCCGCGGTCTGCCGACAAGCAGCGTGACGCCGGAGAAGCAACCCGCGGCGGCAAAGGCGAAGGCGCACGTGTACCCCTCGAAGCCGCTGAGCATCGCAGCGAGCGCTGCGACGAGCGCGGCCGCCACGTAAAACCCGTTCCAGCCTCCCCAGAGCCCATCTCCTGTGCGCACGCGCTCGGTCAGCAGCTGAACTTGCAGCGACGGCTCCGGCGGCGAGGGTCCAGGGGAGGGTCCAGAACCGCCCTCGGCGTCTTCGCTCAGCACGCTGTCGAGAAAGTCGAGGTCGTACCCCTCCGTCGGGTCAGCGGGAAGCGGCAGCGGTGGCGCCGCGGAGAAGGCCGGGACCGCGGGCGGAGGCATCGCTGACGTCGAGGCATCGCTGGACGCGGCTGCCGGCGGCGCCGGCTCTCTGGCCGTCCGGCGTGGCACCTTCCGGCGCCTGTCTTCGGGCACCAGCGTCCCGTGGGCCAACTTCATGTGCAAGCCCAGCGCGCCATGCTCGTTTCGCGAGGTGTTCCACTGCTCCGGGATCGCGTCCCAGGTCTGCGAGCCCGGCTGCCCCGAAACATTGGCTGTGCTCGCCGCTGCTGCCATCAGCTCTGCGGAGACGGTGCCAAGCGGCCAGCCCATCACGCCCCCGAGGTCACTGGCAGCGGAGACTGCAGACTCTGGAGTCTCGCTTGGCGGCGGCTCGCTAAAGATGACGACCCGGGGTCCTGTGCAGCGCCTGGTCTGGTTGCAGACCCTGTAGGGCGGCACAGTGTTGGTATGTGCTGTGCTCCACACCCCGTTGGACGCCGTGTTGTCGAGGCGGACGGTGGGAGGCAGGACACGGACGCGCTCAACGGGCACCCACAGCCCGTGGTGCTGGCAGCTCGCGCAGAATTTGACAACGATGGAGCTGCGGCCAATCGGCTGCTCCGTGCCTGGCGGTCCAGTGCGGGCGAGGACTATGAGGCGCCATGTGGTGCTAGCGGATTGCGGGTGCCGAGGGTCTGTGGCGAGCGTACGGCAGCCTCGCCTTGGCGGCATTCCATGCCGGTGAGAACCTTCCCCCAGCACTCGGCCATGTCCGCATTCGGCTACGCTCCGCGTGGAAGTTCTGATGAGTCTCCGAGACGTCCGAGACTCCGCGTTCGCCCGCGTATAAGGATTTTGTCCCCCTTTCTTCTGATGTTGAATGCGTGCATGGTGGATGCACAAAAAGTTGAGCTTCTGATGAAACAGGTACGGCTCTAAATCGAACGCGTAACGAGTGGCACGAGCGTCTAACGTACGCGGGTAGGCCGGTCGCTCCCCCGTCTTTGGGCCCTGTCGAGTCGTTCCGGAAGTTGAAGTTGGCGCATCACAAAGAACCCAAATCCAACCCTCCCAACCGAGCAAGCCCATGGGGGACGCGAGGTCTTGCTCCACCTTCTCGGCGCTCGCGTCGCCCAACCTGAGAGCCTCAGCCGCCATGCCGGGGCACATCTTGACCGGAGCCGGTCACATGTCCATCGTGCCCAAGGCGGGGCACGGTCGACTCGACCGCGGCCGATGGCACCGGCCCAACGGCCGACCAAGATTTTACGCCTCCGAACGCCGGGCCGGTGAGGTGGCGGGTCGGGCGCTACGGAAAATCGGTGGCAACCTACCACTTTTTGAGGCCATTGGGATGACTTGTGTGAACATTTTATGCACGAGCTCGATGGTCCCGAGGCGTATTCTCTGGTCCAGACGGCCCAGCAGGTGGGCGCTGCAGGCGAGCCGCCTCATATCTTCGCCCCCCCCGTCGCTCACGCTACCTCTGAAGCACCGGATCGCCCCCCCCGCGCCCAGGCGGCCTAGCTGCCGCGGGCTCCACCCACGCGGGCCACCATCAGCGCCGCCCGACGGCTCAGAACCTCTCTCTTTAGGTCCCACAAAGGCGGCGAGCGAGCGGCGAGGCAGATGAATCGAGCTCTGGACGCATGCCGCGAGAGCTGTGAGGGTCGCAGCTCGGCCTCCATCTCGCCCGGCGGTGGCGCGTCGGCTTGCCGGCTCACGGGGGTCACTGCCCCTAGGTGCCGCCTCACCTCGCCTCTATGCACCCTTCACCCTCTAGCGCCTCACCTGCCCGGTGCCGTGGTAGTGGCGGTGTCAGCCATGCTGGACCGGCGGCAGCGAGGCCGACGGGCGTGGCTGCGGCGACAACGGCGGCTTGGCCCGTGACGGCGACGGCGCTGACGGCAGAGCAGCTGCGGCCGGCACGGGCGGGTGCGGCCGAGCAGCGCGGCGCTCACAGCAGGCGGCCGGCGTGGCGGCGGCGACGGCGCCGCACGAGGAAGCGGTGGCGCAGCCGCGCATGACAGGTCCGGCGCGTGTCGAGCAGCGAGGTGGCGCGCCGCGCTGCCGACGCGCCCCCAGGCCGGAGGCGGCCGCCGCGTGCCGAGCCGCCGGCTGTTGGTGCTTACAGTCTGCGGCGGCGGCGCCGCCGCCGCGGAGCGAGGCAGCGGCGGCGGCGGCGGCGGCGGCGGCGGCGGCGGCGGCGGGGGAAGCGGCGGCTGCACGTTGTGCCTCGAGGCGTCGCTCGCGGCGCTGGTGCGGCGCGTGGTTGGCTGACGAGGTTGCGCGCGCACGGCGCTCGAGGGTGTAGTCACGTCCCTCGGCTCTCGCCACCGCTGTCGCCGCGCGCTCCGCGTTCGTTGTCGCCGGCGCTGCCCGCCTCGAGCCACTGCGGCCACTGCCGCGCGACGTTGCGCCGCGCCACGCTGGCCGTCGCTCTCTCGACGTTGTGGAGGAGGCTCTGTCCCACGTCGAGAGGAGGCGTTCCCGCGGTGATATTGACCCAGCTCTGTTGTCTCTAGGCTGCGTCGGCACGGGAGGCGCTGCGGGCGGGAAGGTGGAGCGGGCTGCGGAGCGGCAGATTAGTGGCAGTGGCGACGGGCGGGGCGGCAGCGAGCAGGGTGGCGAGTGAGACGTTGGAGAGGCGGGGCTTGGGAGGCTGGTGCTGGTGCCATTACAGGCGGTGCAGGTGCTACTGTAGTGCTCACTCACCGGAGCGAGCGCGGCGCTCGGACCGTCCTGGCAAGGGCCGCTGACCAGGACGATCGCCAGGAGTCGGCTTGCACCGCGAGAGCGAAGAGGCGGGGGGAGAGGCCTGGTGAGGGTGTCAGCGGTGGTGCGTGTGTTAGTTAGGGGGAGAGGCGCGGGGGGGGGAGCGGGAGGGGGTGGGGGGGTGGAAAATTTCGATACCCTAAGGTGCCCTGGTGATCCTGGGTTAGTATCGTCTCTTCTGAGCCCGCTCTTGATGGGTTGGAAGCGTTTTCATAGCGAATTCACGCCGATTTTGCCATACGGACGTCCCTGGCGCACGCTCTTCAAGGCCTCATCCTGGGATGGTGCTCGCCAGCGTGAGTTCATACAGTGCTGCGAGCTGGCCTAAGGCCGGACCTTACGACGGTCCAGCGCTGGGCAGCGTGATGGCTCCTACTCGAGGCGCGACATGAGTGTACGAGGACCTCAACGTCTCGGTTTGGCGAACCAGCATGAGGAGCGGAGCCGCTGTAGCTCCTCCCTGCAGCTTGCGCGTCGCGGTTTGGCCGACGTCCCATCCACCGCGCATACTGCGGCGGCTCTCCAGCTCAAGAAGGCTGCGCTCGACCACCACATCGCCCGAGTCAGTGGTCCGGACGCCCCGCTGAGCCTCGCGCCGCAGTGCAGCCAGTTTGCGCGGCCGTGATGCGCGAATCGAACCGGTGCGATGTTGTTCGGCACTCTAGATGGCCTGAACATGCTTGCGTTCAAGTCTCGAGGTCTGCGCTTAAACTTGAAAATTTAATAAAATCGGGTCCGACCGGCCTAACGCGGGACACGGCGGTCCTGTTGGTCAGCCTGTTCCTTTTTACCCATCTCACAGTAGAGCGGTGTCCGTTTTATTTATTTCGTGGCGTGTAGTGATGGTGATGCACATGCGTCACAGAGTGCGCCCACAGAGACCGCGGCGATGATGTGATATATGTGTTCCTAGCTCCCCTGAGCGACTACCCGCACGCGCACGGGCCTCGCGACACCCCCGCCGCGCTGCGATACCGAGCGTGTACGCGCGGACTCGGCGGGCCCCGACAGATGGTAGCGCCCCCTCCCACCGGCGCCGACTTTGCCGGCGGCACTACAGGATGCGCGCGGCGAGCTCCTCGAGCTTTTTGGAGATCTCGGCGGGCGTTCGGTCGAGGTCGTCGGCTATCGTCTTCTGCTCGGCGGCGGGCAGCGAGTTGAAGAGCGTCAGGTAGTCGCCGTCGACGCACGCCTTGACGGGGAAGTAGGCGGAGCGGAAGAAGAGCTGCTCGCGGCCGCAGAGCGGCGGCGCCTCCTGCCGCACGTGCATCTCGAGGGCGGTGAGCAGCTCGACGTCCTCGCGCGAGGTGAGCGGGAGCAGCGCGCCGATGCCGCCGAAGAGGGTCGTGTAGAGGATCACCTCGGCGCAGCCCGGCCCGAGCGACACCTTCTGCAGCGACGTGACCGTCTCGCCCACGTGGAACTGCACAACCTCCTCCGCCTTGGACGGCGCGCCATTGAGCGCGAGGTCGTCGCGGCCGGCGCTCGCCGCCATCAGCGCCGCGTCGTCCGCGTCGTCGCTCACCTCGCGCGGCAGGCGGCAGACGAAGATGTTGCCGAACTTGTCGGCGCCCGCGAGCGAGTGCGCGTCGAGCGGGCAGGCGGCGGTGAGCCAGCGCGGCGCGATGTCATCGGCGAAGACGGTGAGCGTGTTGTCGGCGCGCTTGTAGTGCACAAAGTGGAAGGACTCGGAGAGGTCGCCGACGACGATTCGCTGCGACGAGATGACGTGCAGCGACTGCACCATCGTCGGCAGCCCCTTGAGCTCCGCCTTGCGCAGCAGCTTCTTCGCGCCCATCTCGTAGATGCGCAGCCCGCTGCCGACGCCGACGAGCACGCGGCCGCCGAACGGCGCGATGGCGGCGGGCACGTCCTCCACCTGCGTCTTGTGGACGAGGTTGAGCTGCGTGTTGCCCTCTGCGAACTGGTACACGTGCAGGTAGCCGCAGGTCAGCGTGCGCGGGTGCAGCGTCATGTCTTTGACGGTGCCGACGACGATGAAGGTCTCGCCGCCGCGCTCGCGCAGCGGCACCGCCGCCACCGAGACGGCCGCCTCGTTCTCAGCGAGCTCGATGACGGAGAGGGTGCGCCGCGCCGCCAAATCGAGCACGCGGATGGCCGAGGCCCACTTGCCCGCCCCGCCCCGGGGCACGCCGACGCACGCCTCCATCAGCATGCCGTCCGCCTCCTCCTCCTCCGGCAGCACGGTCCCCGCGGGCAGCGGCGGCGGGATGCCGGCTGCCTCGTACAGCTGCACCTTCTCGTCGGCGGAGAGCGCGTTGTGGTCGCTCTCGATGACCACCACGTGGCCGGAGACGGAGTGGTGTGCCATCCGGCGCGGCGTGTACCGCAGCGGCACCGCCTCCGAGGTGAAGGCGTCGCCGAGCCGGTCGACGGAGACGATGCGCAGCGTGTTGCCCGCGATGGCGACGAGGCCCTCGGGGCAGTGCTCCGACGCGAAGGACGCGCCCGCGTCGAGCGGCACATACGAGAGCGGCGTCGTGTGCAGCGCGCCCGCGAGCGAGTAGAGCACCCACGAACGCGACGAGAGGGCGAGCACGCCGTCGCCGCCGCCGAGCGAGGTGCGGAAGAGGCGCGCTGGCTTGCCGCCGAGGAAACGGGTGCGCGTGTCCGAGAGCTGGCCTGACCGCTGGTCGATGCGCGCGCGCAGCATCACGCCGTTGCTCAGGCCGATGCAGAGGAAGAGGGCGGGCGGCGTGCCGGGCCGGCCGAGCTGCAGCGAGGCGAGCGCCGCCGACTCGGCCTGCGCGGGCAGCGCGAGGACGGCGAGCACGTTCATGCACTCGTCCGGGTCGAGCGAGAGGATGCGGATCGTCGAGTCGAGCCCGCCGACGGCGAGGAATCGCGAGCGCGCGCGGCCGTCGGGCACGCGGCCGAGCTCGAGGCACGACACCTCGAGGCCGAGGTCCTGTTCACAGCGGCACGCGTGAAGAGACGCGGCTCGCGCCTCGAGGCACGCGCCGCCGCGAGGGGCGAGGGTCCTTCTTGTCGAGCTCGGCGAGGGTGCCCGTCTCGTCGAGCTCGAAGTAGACGACCTCGCCGCCCTGCAGCCCGACCGCGACCTGCCGGTTGTTGGCCGACGCCTGCACGATCGGCTTGCCGCGCGGAGGCCGCCACTCGGACGCACGGCCGTCGGCGCGCACGTGGTAGATGCCCGCCGGGTAGACCTGCACGAGCGAGTCCTCGCCGAGGAGCGCGACGACGAGGGTCGGCGTGTCGGGCTTGAGGCCCGAGTCGCTCACCTCCTCGACCGTCTCTCCGATCGAGAGGACCAGCGTCGCGTTGACGAACGAGACGACGATGTACGCGTCGAACTGGTCGCTCTTGCGCTTCTTGACCGTCCAGACCGCGTTCGGGTTGCCGGGAAGCTCAGAGACAGCCAGGTCGGAGACCGAGAGACCGTGCTGCACCACGCGCAGCGTCGACCGCGCCGAGCGGCCGCAGAGCGAGACGAGCGAGGGTGGCGCGCCTCGCTCCCCCAGCTCGAGCAGCTTTGCGTCGATCATCGGGCAGAGCGAGTCGATGTCGTCGACGTGCAGCAGGTTGCGCAGCGGGCGCGGCTCGAGCTCGACGACGGCCTGTTCACAGCTGGAGGTGTGAAGAGGCGCGCTGCACACCGCGCCGCGCGCGAGCCGCCGCGGCGGCCGCCTCGTCGCCCCCCTCGAAGGTGAGCGAGGAGCACGAGGGCGACTCGTCGTCCTCGCCGACGCCCTGGAACTGGTAGAAGCCAGAGTTGCCAAACTCGGAGGCGCAAAAGAGGAAGCCCGAGCGGAGGATGCAGAGGGCGACGCAGGTGGGCACCGAGTCGAGGTAGCGCACCTTGACCTCGCTGACCGCGTCCTTGTCCTCGCCGTCCGTCTGCACCGTCACCTTGTACAGGTCGCCCGCCTCGCTCTGCACGACGATGAAGAAGAGGTCACGCTGGCGGTGGACGGCGGAGGCGACCAGCAGCAGCCCCTGCTCGGGCGGCAGGTCCTTCCGCCGCGGCAGAGGGCACCGCTTGTCCGCGTGCCCGTGGTTCTTGTACACGATGAAGTTCTCGGCGCACACGAGCACCCCGCCCGGCCCGTCCGCTCCGCCCGGCACGGCGACCAGCAGGTTTGCGGTCGGGTCGACGGCGTCGGACCACTTGCGGACGACGTGGTTGAGGCCTGCGGGCGACAGCACGGGGGCGGGGTCGGCGGCGGGCGGCAGCGGCGGCAAGCATGCGCCGCCGCGGCGACGGCGGCGACGGCGGCGGTGGAGGAGGCGGCGGAGCAGGCGGATCAGGCGGATCAGGCGGAGCAGGCGGAGCGGGCGGAGCAGGCGGAGCAGGCGGAGCAGGCGGCGGCGGGTGCGGCGGTGCGGCGGGTGTCGGCGGGTGCGGACCGAGGTCGAGCTCGTAGAAGGTGAGAACCTTCTCGAAGAGGGGCTCGTGCGTGTCCGGGTCCGTCTCCACCTGCAGAGGGAGGAGGCGCGGGCGCGTCGTCAGCGTACGCGTGCACGCCGCACGGGGGCAAGGGGGCGGCGGCGGCGGCGGCGGCGGCGGCGGCGGCGGCGGCGGCGGCGGCGGCGGCGGCGGCGGCGGCGGAGAGGTGGGTGGCAGCAGTAGGGAGGCAAGAGCGGAGGAGGGGAGAGAAGAGAGGTCGGGGTGGCGGGCGGAGGCGTGGCGGCGGCGGGGAGGGAGAGCACGGAGGTGGGTTGGCAGGCGGCTGCAAGAGAGGTGGAGAGGGCTGGGTTGGCGGGAGGGAGGGGCCGGTGGGAGGGGATGGGTTGGCGCCTCGTCCATGTCGACTTCGAGGGCCGCAAAGATCGGGTTCTCGAAGCCGACGTCGACGCCGACGAGCGCAAAGGTGAGGCTGGCCGACTTGTGCGCCTGGGGGGTTCGCCGCAAGGAGGGAGGGGGTGGGAGAGGGAGGGGGAGGGGGAGCGGAAGGGGTGGGAGTGTGGGGGGCCCGGGCGGTGTTTGGGAGCGGCGGCGATGCGGTGCCTCGAGGGGAGAGGAGATGGTGAGGCGCGCGGCGGAGTCGCGATTGAGGATGTACACCAGCTTCTGCTTCTCCACCGCGCCCACCATCACCGCCCGCCCGCGCGGGTCCGTCGCCACGTACTGGCCCGGCACAATGCGCCTCACGCCCGACTGCGGCAAGAGGGCGGTGGGCGGCGGTGGGTCGGGGGGCGCGGCGAGCGGCGGCGGAGGGCGGCGGCGGCGCGGCGGCGGAAAGGGGCCCGCGGCAGTCATGTCAGGGGTGGCGAGGGCGGGCTAGGCGGCGGCGGCGGGTCGAGCGGCGACGACGGCTGTGGCGGCGGTAGATGCGAGGTGCATCCCTGCTCAGTGCCGCCGCAGGTGGGCACGTGGCGCAGATGCGGGCGGGCGGCGGGTGCGCGGTGAGCAGCGTGGGGTGGCCGCGGCGCCTTGCCAAACGTCTCGCAGTGCACGCGCTCCCACCCGCCCTTGTCAGCGACAAACTCGAGAATAACAATCCTTCCCGAGTCGGAGCCGACGACGAGGTAGTCGCGGTTGCCGCCGGTGAGGCGGAAGGTTGCGATGGAGCGGATCGTTCCGAACACCTCCGACGCGACGACCGTCAGCACCTTTCCGTTGTCGTCTGGCCTGCACAGCTCCAAGATTTTGCCGCGTGCAACGGCAATCTCCTGCTGCCGCGGCGCCGAGAAGTTGCCGAACACCGCCCCGGTCACGCCAGAGGCGCGCTGCAGCGTCAGCGCGTACATGTGAAGGCCGCCAGCAGACCCCAGGTTCGCCATCGCGGCGGCGAACTGGGCTTGCGTGGAGTGACTAGCAGCGCGCGGCTAGCGAGTGCCTCAAGCCAAGAAGAATTAGCAAGTCGAACTGCCCCAAGTGCTCCAAACGCGGTCGCAAGAAACCCAATCCTCACAAGCGCCTTCTCCTCTCATCCCTCCAAGCGCCCTCTCCTCTACTCATCGAAAATAAAGAAATCGAACGAAGTGTCCAAAGGGCGAGGTCGTCGCGCCGGCTCGAGGTCCCACCCCCCGCAGGCCCGCCGAGGCGGCGCCTCGAATGCGGACGCAACGGCAGACCCGGTGGCGCCCTCTGGGCCTCTGGGAGGGGGAGAGGGAAGGGCGAGGAGAGGGGCGGGGCGGGGAGGGCCTCCCCCAGGCGGCAGGAGGGGCGTCACTTGAGGTACGGCTTGACCAGCTCCATCGAGTAGTCCCAGCAGAGCTGCCCGTTGGCCTCATCCTGGACCATGCCCGAGAAGGAATTCTCGAAGAGGTCCCCCCCGGCGCCGCCCGCGTTGCCCACGCCGATCGACTTCGCGTCGCCGTTCCACGACCAGTAGACGCCCGACTTCGCCGCCTGCGGGGCACGTCGCGGACACGTTCGGGACGTGTCCTGGACAGCCCCCCCCCCCCCCCCCCTGGCGGAGGAAGGACAGACCTGCGGGTCGGCGATGGTCTGCGCGAGGCGCTCGCCGGCCTCCTTTTGAGAGACGTACGACCCGATCGCCTGCTCACGCCTCCAGAGGTGTGGGTAGGCCGCCCCCCGCCTCCTCCTCCCTCTCTCTCTCGATCGAGAGAGAGAGGCGGCGGCGTGTCCGCCTTCATCAGCGTGGGGAAGAAGAAGTGTCTAGGAAGTGTCTAGGAAGTGTCCGCCTTCATCAGCGTGGGGAAGAAGAAGTAGCGGAACCAGTCGCGCTTCTCACGGAAGAGCTGAGTCTGGGCGATGCAGCCCGGGTACATCGAGTTGAAGACGATGCCTGCGAGCCGGAGGGCGGCCGGGCCGCGTGAGGCCTCCCCCCCCCCCCTCCCCCCTCCGGACGGCGCGGCGCGGGGAGGCCCCCCCCTCGAGGGGGGAATTCCCCGGGGCCCCTCCAGCCCCGTCATCATTTTGGGGGCCTCCCCCCCCACCAGGACGGTTTGTAAAGAGGGGCCTTTCCGGCTTTCCGGCTTTCCCCCGGCCCCCCCCCCCCCCCCCCTCGCGGGGCCGCGCCTTTGCGTCCTTGTACGCCTTTGCGCCGTCAAAGCTTCTCGACCCGTCCACCATCACAGAGCCGGCCCCCGCCTTGACGCCCTCGAGGTCGCCCACGTCCGCCACCGGCTTGACCAGCGAGCCGGCCACCGTGTTCTTGTTCCCCGTCACCTGCCCACACCGGGGAGGGCGTGAGGCTCCACCGACCAGCGCCGCCGCCTGCTGCCGGGCCGCCGCCACCGAGCCGACGATGCACACGCGCGCGTCCTTCGCCTTCTTGAGGTCGGGCATGAGCAGCTGCAGCAGGAGGAAGTGGGAGAGGTGGTTGACGCCAAACGACATCTCGTACCCCTCGTCCGTGAACCGCGGCTTCGGGTCCGTCGGCAAGTACACCGCCGCGTTGCAGACGAGCCGGTCCAACCCGCGCCCGCGCAGCAGCCGCTTCAGCTCCTTCGAAAAGTCGCGGACGGAGGCGAGCGAGGCGCACTCGAGCTTCACCGCCTTGTAGTCCTTGGCGTCGATCCCCATCTCCGCCGCCGCCTCGTCCATCTTTGCCGTGTCCCGCACCGCCGCGATGACGTAGTAGCCCTCGTAGCTCGACGTCAGCGCCGTGACGGCGTGGAGCCCCAGACCGGAGGAGGCGCCGGTGATGACGCAAATCTTGCGCTTCCCAACCTCCTTGAGCGCCTGCGCGATGCTCTGCGACAGCTCAGGCGGCCGACCGTCATAGTACTTTGCGCCACGCCCTGCCAAATCCTTTGACGGGGAGTAGACGGCGGGCGGCGCCTGCAGCAGCGGGTGCGCCGCGACGCGCAGCGGCGAAGCGGCGATGGAGGCGGGCGCCGAGCCGGACGCCGCGGGCAAGACCAGCCCGCTCGAGGCGGCGACGCAGAGGGGCCACATGACTTGTATCTCTGGTCGCGAGAGGACGAGCGACTGCAATGACCTTCGCGCATGTTTTCTTTTTCTATTTTTCGGCGTTTTTCCCCTCAGCTCCTCCTTAGGCTGAGCTCCTCCCTGCATCTCTGCAGAATGTCCCTTATGCGTTGTGTTCCTTTCTTTTTCTGAGCTTCGGCTAGCCTTCGAAGGAAAAGAAATTTTTAGTCCGTCCCGACTGTCCGGCCGCTACTCGTAGCGGTAGGAGGGCTCCTGACAAGGGACACGACAGGCTCGCAGCGCGGTGCACGGTGGACTCCCAACTCCACTGGCGGTCTCATCTCAGTCTATCTAGCGACCTGCCTCCAGCTTCTCTCACTCATCTCACTGGCAGTCTCTCGCAACCACAGGCACACAAGAAGAGAGGGGAAGTGCTGACTCGATTCTACCTCGAATTCTTCTACCCCCACGACTCGGAACGCGAATGTGACAGGACCATCGGGTCTTTCAGCCACCAAAGCGAGATCACCCGAGAGCAGCTGAGCGCCTGAGCCTGCCTCTGGCCTCGCCTCCCTCTCCTTCAGGCATTCGTGGCATCCTATGGGTCGTCCAGAGTATCGACCTCTGGCTTGTCAGCCCGTCACTTGATGACACCATGAAGTATAGCGATCGCCATCTCGCTGGCCTCTCCGCAGGGCCCCCCGACCGCGTCGAACTCATCGGCGCGGGCTCTCTCGGCTACGGGACCGGCCCCAGCTTCGGCTGAGGGCTAACAAGCTGCCGAGCCCAAATCACTGTGAAAGTCGTGATTTCTTGTTGGTCTTCAAAAATCTCTCTCTCAAGCATTCCGGTGATCTCAGGCCCAGTTTTGAGGTAGTGCACCGGTCTAACTCAGATCCTGCTGAACAAGTTCCTCTTGTAGCTCGATCGGTCACACCGCCATCGCCGTCGGGGAGAGGGGGGACGACACTGCTTCGGCAGCGTGCACCTCGATCCTGTACCGTGTTTGTTATGACCCCCCCCAATGAACACACCAGTGAGACAAACAAAAAAGGCCCCAAATTACGCGTGAGTGTTAGAGTTGTTTGGTATTGCTTAAAAATCTCTCTCTCCCAGTGAGGGAGGGCGAGACGATCGGAGGGGTCCCGTACCCTAGCCCGTACCATGCGGAATCGACCCTATCAACAAGTGCTCAAGTGCTCAAGGCACACTGACACAGGGGTGGCAGGCAGGGGCGGCGGCAGGAGTCTCCCACCGTACTATGCGGGCCTCGCTAGAGGTGCGTCCTGACTCCTGTGTGCGTGTGTGTCCTCGCCCTTGTGGGGGAAGGGGAAGGCGCTGTGTCTGTGCATGCATGCATGTGTGTGTGTGCGCGCGCGCGTGTGTGCGTGTGTGGGCGCTGTGTATGTAGCTCTTACGTAATCAGATCAGAGTTTTTTAATGTTTCCCGACATCGTCCGGCCTTCTCGCGGTTTAGAGCTAAACATGGACGCCATGGACGCGACGTCTCCACACAAGCGGCGCCGCACCGCTCAGGACTGCGTGGTGCTCGACGTCGGCGGGACTCTCTTCAAGTCAACCATCTCCACGCTGACGAGCTCGTGCACATACTTTGCCTCGCTCTTCTCCCACGAGTGGGCTCCGGCCAGCGAATCGCGAGAGATATACCTCGACCGCGACCCGGATGCCTTCAAAGTGCTGCTCTCGTGCCTCCGCAACCACGTGGCGCTGCTGCCGGAGACCGATCCCGACCTCTGCAAGCGAGTGCTGCTCGAGGCGGAGTTCTTCGGCGTCGAGTGGCTGCTGCGGGACGTCAAGCACCAGACCCTCCGCCACGAGCCCTACTCTGCCGGCGAGCGAGGCCGCTACTCTGGCTGGGACCCGTCCGCCAGCACCGACGTGCTCAAGGACCCGGCCCGGGCGGCGCAAAAGTTCGACGAGCTCTTCGGCGGGCTGCGTGACGCGCTCCGCACAGGCGCGGAGCGCACACTCCCAGAGTCTTCCGCCGGCGCACTCTCCCACTCTCCCCTCCGTAGCTTCTCGCATTCCCCGACGCATGGGAGAGGCCGAGTTCCGCCGCAGGCGTCTTGCCGTCGCGCTTCTTCCGGAAGGCGGACCCGTACGGCGCGCAGGCCAAGGTCCGCCACCTCGTGCCTGCGCCGCTCGGCGACCGCGTCGTCTTCAGCGACTCAACCGGCACCGACGTGGCGAGCGCTCGGCCGATCGCCTACGCATTGGTGGAGGAGCCGAGCGGCAACCAGTACATGGACGCGGTGATCGCCTCGCGCCACCCGCCCGTGCGGGGGCGGGCCGGCGAGCTAAACTTGCACAACAGCAACTTCCTCGACTACGACGAGCAGATGGTGCTCGCGACCGCCTTTGTGGATCAGCGGGCGGACTGGAGCGACCACAACTGGGGCATTGTGCAGGGCGCGAGCGAGGGCGGCCACCACGCGTCCCGACCAGCGCTCGAGGGGGACATGCCAGGCCTCGTGGAGATGGTCGACTAGAGGTGGCAGGGCAGTTTGTAGCGGCGGACGGGGGATACATTGCTGGGGGTGTCGGGTGAGGCATGCGCATGGAGTGAGGGCTTGTGAAGTTGTGTTCATGAAGGGTTTTGAAGGCCGATACGCGTGCTTGGGTTCACAGCGATCCGCAGGGCCAAGGGGTGAAATTGCAAATTCTGAAAACTCTAAACTGAAATCGGAAAAAATAAATGAATAAACGGTCAACATCTGAGACGAGATGGGATTTAGGGACATGTGTCCCCGCCCTGCACGATCTTGGTGTGAGGGATCTTCAATCCGTGTCCCCTCACCCCTCGTCACAACCCGACACAGAAGACGGCAAGAGTTGGGGCCTGGTTGGGGCTGCGGCTATACGGCTGCGGCTACGAGAGGGGCCGGGGTCGCGGGAGAGCCGCTGCGCCGCGTGGACGCGCCTACACCGCTCTTGCTCCGCTCGCCACCTCTCGCAAAGGTCCAAAGCCATAGCCTCCACCTCCTCCGGCAAGTCCTTTCGCCGTATCTCGCCGTCCCTCCACGCCTGGAAGAGCTCGTCGTCATAGCCCCTAGCATAGCCCATAGCCGTATTGCATCACAGCCTGCTAAACTGCGTCGTGTACGACCCCTGCCGTCCTATCCTGCGCCTCAGCGTCGGAAAAGTCGAACTCGGAGTCATACTCGGAAGCAGGCACAGACGGCCGCGGTGATTTGGCAGGGTTCCAACTTTTTCCGGGGTACCCGGGTATGGTATGGTAGGCTCGGCCAACCCACCTCGACGAGACACCATACCCCCCCGCCTCTTGGAAGACCTGCTTGGGGTATGGTAGGGCTAGCCTTGGGCGGTCAGGGCCATACCCCCCCCCTTTTGGGCCGCCGAGCCTACCATACCATACCCCGGAAAAAGTTGGAACCCAGGCGGCGAGGAGGGGGAAATGAACACACAGAACAGGCGCACATTTGATTTTTTTTATTTGAGCTGATGGTCGCGGCCGCTTTCCGACTCGCGCCTCCGCCTCACTGGCACTATTGTAATTCCTAGCCCTGGCCGGTGCGCGTCTGGCCGGTGGAGTGTGGTACGGCGTCGTCCCACGTCGACCTCTACTGCTTGCCCAGCGACACGAGAGCGCGTTCTCTCGAGTGTACGTTACCCTGGCTGTGCCTGTGGTCCCACACCCACTGTGGTGCCCATCTCAGAGACCGCAGGAGGTCATGAGGTCATGGGAGTGCTACCCCACAATGTGATGCCCCCCGCCCACGGCTTTAAAAACCCAAAGTGAACCCAGTATCCCCGCTCGAGGCGAAGTCCGAAGAATCTCATTCTCAAGAAAGAGTACAGAGAAACGGCGTACAAACGGCGGAGGATAGGTGGATGCACATCGCCGGGGGTGTTGAGGCGGAGCAGACGCGCAGGGCGAGACGAGGGAGGGAGCAGGACTTTGCGGAGATCCGCAGGAGCGAGGAGGAGATGTACGAAGAGATTTTAGGAGCAGCAGGGTCCAGGGACCCGAGGGACCATGTGGAAGACGGCTAGTGCTAGTCCCCCATCGGGAGGACGACCCCGGCTAGTCGCCGACCACACCCACAAAGAACCCTGCAAAAAGATCGCAAGGGCGGGGACCTGTTCCTTTTTACCCACCTCACACAGTAGAGCTAGAGGAGGTGTCCGAGTCCGTTTTTATTTATTTGGCTAGCCATTTATTTCATGCTTGCTGCCTTGTCCTCTTCTCGTCGAGCGTTGTGATATGTGAGACCGTGGACCAGGTCGTCTCTTACTAACTGTCATAGTCTACACCACTACTCTGCGGGGCACAGCCACAGGCACAGGACTCAGGAGCTAAAGTTCGCTTTTGATTGTCCTTCGGGGACGCACTCCGCGCGCGGCGCTCCGCGCCCCTTCGAGCCCCTCGGACTCCATGCATGAGCGTCATATAGGCGTCTCATCTCGCACATCTACTACTGCAGCTTGGCTCGGCGCCCACCGGCTGGAACTCGCGTGCGTGGTAAAAGTCGGGGGCCATGCCGAGCGCCTCGCGGCCCGCGCCCAGGTCGGCGGTGCCGAGCTGCCCCTTCCAGCCGATGCCCGCGGTCAGCACGCCGCCCCGCCGCGTGCGCACGGCCGAGTGCTGGTAGCCCGCGGCGACCTCCGCCACGCCCTCGCCCAGAGAGCGAACCAGCCGCGGGTAGAGCTGGTCGGCCGTGTCGCCGTGGCCGAGCTTGCCGTACGCGCCGTCGCCAAACGTGTACACGAGCGTCGCCTCGCTCGCGTCCGCGTCGCCGGCCGGCTCCGCGCCGTCCGGCGGCTCCATCGCATCGATCGCGGCGTGCAAGGACAGCACCGCGGCGCGCTTCGCCTCCGGGGCCTCGGACGTCAAGCAGTTGCTCCGCGCGGTCTCGGTCGCGTCGTTGCCCGCGGCGCGCTTCTGCGCGCTCGCGCCGCCGGGCCACGGCCTCACGAGCACGATTGAGTGGTACGACCCAACCCCCATCCCGCAGACGGCGCCCGCGCGCAGCAGCGCGGTGACGGGCGCCGGAGTCAGCAGCCGCTCCTCGGAGCCGTGCCCCAGCCGGCCGCCCTCGCCGAGCCCAAACGAGTACAGGGTGCCGTTTGCGCCGAGGACGAGCGAATGGGAGTCACCCGCGCACGCGCGCACGATCCGCCGCCCCTCGAGCGCCCGCACGGCCGTCGGAAGCGGCCGCATCTCCTCGTCGCCGTGGCCCAGCTTGCCGCTCCGGCCGGCGCCCCACGAGAAGAGCTCGCCCTGCTCCGAGACGGCGAGGGAGTGCAGCCCGCCCGCAGACACGTCCACCACGCGCGTGTGCGAGAGCGCGCACACCGGGCCGGGCGCGCGCGCGCGCGTCTCGCTCGGCGTCCTGGCCGGCGGCGACGGGCCGGCGGCTCCTAGCGCGTCGGCATTGCGGGGAGGCGGCCGCCCCGCCTCGGAGCGACCGAGCTGGCCGTGCGTGTCCAGCCCCCACGAGTAGACCGCGCCTAGACTCGTCCGCCCGACGTCTCAACTCGGCGCCTTGAGTTCGGCCGTCGCGCCACGAGCAGGCGGCGCCGGCGCGGCAGAGGGCGAGGCCGTGCCGCTCGCCGCACGAGACGCGCGCGACGGCCACACCGCCGAGGCCGGCGAGCCGGCGCGGCAGCGGGAGGTGCTCGCTCTTGAGCGGCGCCTCCTCGCCCCCGGCCGCGGCGCCGGGGGCGGCCTTGTGCGCGAGGCGGCCGTCCCCGTTCCAGCCCCAGGAGAAGACGGCGCCGTCGGCGGTGAGGAGGAGCGAGACGTAGCCTCGCGCCGCCACCTCGCGCACCGCCGCCTCGCACGCAGCCGCCTCGAGCCCGCCTCCCGCCCGCGCGACGCGGCGCGGGAAGCAGACTGGCGCGCCGTACAGCTCGCCTGCGGGAGGTGGCGTGGACGCGTCGTGGACGTGTGCCCGCGGGAAGCGGGCGGGGCGGGGCGTGCGGCGCGCCGTGGCCGAGGTGGCCGAGGAAGCCGCGCTCCCCGAGCGAGTCGCCGCCGCAGCTCCACGCCCCTCCGCCCGGTGCGGTGGCGAGCGTGTGCGCCGAGCCGGCGGCGATGGTGGTCGGCGGCTGCGCGCAGAGCGCCTCGACAAAGCGGAGCGCGTCGAGCGGCCGCTCGGCGGCGAGCAGCGCGGGCAGGCGCGAGCCGCGCCGCTCGGCGCGCACCTCGCACGCGTGCCCGAGCGCCGCCGCGGTGGCGGTGCAGAGGCAGCCAAACGACGCCATGTCGCCGATCGTCGCGAGGTGGGACACGACGTGGGCGATGAGCGGCTCGGGAAGCTCGAGCAGCGGCAGCACCTCGCGCGCCTCGACGTGCAGGAACGACGTGGCGGGGAAGGCGGCGCTCAGCCGCGCCGCCTGCCGGCAGAGCAGGCTCGCAGCCTTGGCCGGCGGCGGCGCGCCGCCGGCGACGGCGGCGTCGGCGAGCGAGCAGAGCGCAGCGAGCGCAGCCGCCCACGCGTCGGGGCTGGTGTCCGTGGTGGATCGGGCGAGCATGTGCTTTGTCGCGCCCACCGATTTCTTTTTGCTTGTCCAGTTTCGTCGTCGTCGTCGAGGAGTCGCTTAGGGGCCCCAGAAAAAGAAACCCGCCCGTAATTCTTTTTCGCTTAGCCAGGCGGAGGCGAGTCAGGCTGCTGGGCTTGGGCAAAACCAGGTGCTGGCGCGGGGTATACGGGGGATGGGGGAGGGCGCTATCACCATTGGGGTGCGTGAGAGGCGCGGCGTCCGCGTATACGTGTCTTACTCCCATCTTGGGCTCTTTCCCACAAACCGCACTACGCATAAACTGCGCGCTTTGCGCGCGCGCCACGTGTACGTGTGTTAAACCCCATGTTGCGCGCCCTCCGCCTAGGACCGTCTCGCGCGCGCCCAGCAGATTGTGCCCCCCGCGCGGCCAGTCGGGCCTGCCCGCGGCGCGATGGAAAATGTGCGCCTCCCGCGTCCTGCGCGCGCGTCGTCTCCCCCTGTGCGGGCGCGCTGACCTGCACCCGCTCTCTGTCAGGACCCAAACATGGCGCTCATCTCCGCCATGACCGAGCTGTGCGGCCAAAACGACGAGATCCGCGGCGCCCCGCAGATGAAGCAGCTCATCTCGCTCCTGGCGTCGGACGAGACGGGCGGCGCGCTCGACGAGACGGGGCAGGACCTGGTCGCCACCTCGCTCAAGGCGACCGAGGACGCGGCGCTGCTCGACGCCTTTGTGCGCTCGGAGGCGGCGCTCAAGCGCCTCGTCAAGTGGCTCGAGGCGAGCATGTCTGGCGAGCGGGCCGATCAGACGCGCGTGCTGCTCTCGCTGTTTGCCCACCTGCCCATGACGGTCGAGGCGCTCATGGCGTCAAAGGCGGGGCACGTGGTCAACAACGCGCGCAAGGTGGAGAACGAGGCGGTCAAGAAGGCCGCGGTCGAGCTGGTCAAGGCCTGGAAGGCCATGTCCAGCGGCAAGCCCGCCGCGCCAAAGCCGCCGCCCGTTGCCAAGCGGCCCGCGGCGCCAGCGCCCGCGCCCGACGCCAAACGCGTCCGGCCCGAGGCGGCCGAAGACGAGGACTTTGGGCTGGACTCGGCCCTGAGCGGCGCCGGCGCGCCCCGCAAGGCGTCGCTCAAGCCCGACCACCTCCGAGCGCGGAGGCCCGTGCAGCAGCTCCCCTCGACGCTCCCCTCGCGCAGCCGGCCGCCGCCCGCGCCAGCGCCGGACGCCGCCGCGCCCCGAGCCGAGCCCGCGGCCCCGCCGCCGCGTCCCGCGGCCGCGCCGGTTGCGGCGCCGCCCGCCGCCGCGCCGGCCCCTCCGCCGCCGCAGCCCGCCGCAGAGCCGCCCGCCAGCTCCGTGGTTGCGCGCAAGCCGCCCTCCTCCAAGCGCGTCTCCTGGAGGGGCACTGAGGAGCTCGTCGAGACGCGCGAGTACATCGTCGAGGCGAAGAAGGCGGCGACCACCTCGTGGGGCGACCTGCTGCAGGCCGAGCGCGAGCGCGAGCGGCTCGCGATGCAGCAGCGCCTGTCGGCGGACAACGACCCGTGGGCGATTGGCGGCGGCGACGACGAGCCCGCGGAGGCCGCCCCGCAGACGCAGACCAGCGCGCCCGCGCCGTCGAGCGCGCCGCCGCCGCGCGCGTCCGCGTCCGCGCCCGCCGAGCCCCCGGCGGCGGCGGCGGCGGCGGCGGCGGCTCCAGCGTCGCAGCCCGAGCCGGTGCCGGCGCTGGTTGCGTGGCGCACGCCGCCCATGCTCGAGGACACGTTCTGGCCAAAGGCCAAGGGCGACGACAGCAGCGAGCGCGACGCGCAGGCGGCGCGGCGCAAGTCGAGGCCCGAGGTGTCCTTCCGGCGCATGCAGGACGTGGTGGGCATGCCGGCGGAGCCGCCGCCCGAGTCCGCGCCGCCCCACGAGCCCGTCGAGATCCCGTTCGAGAAGGCCGCCACGCCAGACCCGCCGCCCGCGGCCGCTCCGGCGCCGCTGCTCACGCCGGCGCCGCACCCGCCCGCCGGTGTGGGCGGCGGCGCGCCGGGGGGGGTCGGGGGCGTCAACATCGTCGGCGCGGGCGCGCAGGCGATGCTCCTGCAGCAGCAGCAGCAGCTACAGCAGCAGCGCCAGCAGCAGCAGGCCGCGGCTGCGATGCAGCCGTTTGGCGGTGTCGGGTTTGGCATGATGAGTGGGCCACAAAACGGGTTTGGCGGAGGCGGAGGCGGAAGAGGCGGAGGTGGAGGTGGCGGAGGCGGGCTAACTGAGAGGCTCATGGGTAGCTTCATGCAGCAGCAGCAGGCGAGCGCCCCCGTCCTCGCCCCTTGTGCACACGCCATGAGAGATGTGCTCTCGCGCCATGTCTCGCGCCTGGCCGCCTAACCCGCGGCCTGAATCTCTCCCCAGGCGAACACCCGCGTCCCCGCCGGCCGCGGTCTCGGCTTCCCGCAGGGCGCCGGCGGCCCTGGCGGGTCGCGGTATCGGACACGGCCGTGTCGCTACTTTGCTAACGGAGGCTGCAAAAACGGCGACCAGTGCACTTTCCTCCACGACCCCTCTAACCTCGGTACGCCGGCAGACTGGGGCGCGCCGTTCCGGCCCCCCTTTATGTCGGGCAAGGGGTTCCGGTAGCCCCTCTAACTGGTTAAACCCAGAAACACCCACGAACGACGAAGCACGATGTCTGCATGCGCGGGTTCGTGCGGCGGGGAGACGCCAGACGGCGGCAGTCGGCACCCCCAGAGGCAGAGCGAGGGCCCAGAGCGCAGCGAGAGGCGAGCCCGGAGCCGGAGTCGTCTCGTGGCGACGGTGGCGGAGTCCGGAGAGATCTCCGCACCCTCTTGGTCTTGCTCTTTCTCTTCTCACTTTGACTGAGATCTCCACACCACCGCTCCCCCCGCGTGTGCGCCGTGGCTCTCGCTGGAGACTCTGCCCTCTGCGCGAGGCGCCGAGGCCGCCCGAGGGCTCGAGGCGCGAGGGCCGAGGGGGGCGACGAGGGGCGCGGCCCGGGGCGGCAGCGGGGGGTGCGAGGGACATGGGCGGGGCCGCGGGCGAAGATGGGTGACCCCGGTCTGGACACGTCTCGGCGCGGAGGGCGAGGGCCGAGGCGCGGGGGGGTTGTGACGGGTGTTGAGCGGCTCTCTTTAAAAATAACTTAAATTGTGTGCGCATCCGCGCAATGAACCGGAGAGTGGAGGATGTGCGCGGGCCGGGGGAATCCGGATGGAAAAGAAAATTTTCAAAAATAAACGGAAACACACTTTGAGCAAAAAACGTATCACGCGCGAAAAGAGGGGAATCGACGCGATGTACAAAGCATACAAGAGGAGGAGAAAAAAGAGGAGAGGCGCCAGTGATGACGAAGCAGAAACTAGCGCAGACGAGAGCAGGGCAGAACCGGGGACTGGGGAGCCGGAGCAGACGGCATCGGCCGCCGAGGGAACGCTGGGAAGAGGCACGAGGAGGGCGGCGACCTCGACCGACTATGGAGGACCCGTCGCCAGACGACGCAGGGCAGACGACGGGGAGGCGGAGCAAACGCGCAGGGCGAGACGAGGGAGGGAGCAGGACTTTGCGGAGATCAGTAGGAGGATGTACGACGAGATTAGGAGCAGCAGGGACCCGAGGGACCATGTGGAAGACGGCTAGTGCTAGTCCCCCATCGGGAGGACGACCCCGGCTAGTCGCCGACCACACCCACAAAGAACCCTGCACAAAGATCGCAAGGGCGGGGACCTGTTCCTTTTTACCCATCTCACAGTAGAGAGGTGTCCGTTTTTATTTATTTATTTATTTAGCCAAAAACGGACGCGAGTTGCCCACAAAAAACAGGAAGAGATATAGGCAGAAGGAAATACTCCCGATTATAAAGCCAACACAATCGAAACTAGCGCAGACGAGAGCAGGGCAGAACCGGGGACTGGGGAGCCGGAGCGGACGGCATCGGCCGCCGAGGGAACGTTGGGAAGAGGCACGAGGAGGGCGGCGACCTCGACCGACTATGGAGGACCCGTCGCCAGACGACGCAGGGCAGAAGACGGTTAGGCGGAGCAGACGCGCAGGGCGAGACGAGGGAGGGAGCAGGACTTTGCGGAGATCAGCAGGAGGATGTACGAAGAGATTAGGAGCAGCAGGGACCCGAGGGACCATGTGGAAGACGGCTAGTGCTAGTCGTCCCCCATCCGGCGATCGGGAGGACACTGGTTGGGTAGTAGTCTAAGTTCTGAGCCTCGAGGCTTAGCGGGTCTAAGTGTGCCCTGGCACGCTGGGGTGCTTACGTGGTCTAAGATCGGCGGCAGCCTCTTATACGGGCTAAGTCTGCCGTGGCACGGCCTGGGGCCAAGAGGCTCCCACCGTGATCAACGATACGGCGCAGCCCCCAAAAATTTTTCGCCTGCGGCGGGCGCCTTCTAATCCGGGTCGATCCTTCTCATGCTCAGCAATCGCCGCCTCAGCATCCTCCTCTTCCGATTCTCGTTGCTCTTCTTGAGCGCAATCTTCAAGCCAAACAGTTCTCACAAATAGCCTCAAGCTCAAACAAACGCATGTCACAGAAGCCTGTGTATGCTGGTCCTCTTTGAACGATCCGCGCGTGAGGTAGCATAGAACCTTGTTGGCAGCAGCCAGCTTGTTGCGCTGCTTCGTTGCGATGAGCTGATTGGGATCGCAGAAGTGCATGCCAAGCACCGCCACGATCTTGAAGCAGAACACATCGCAACCGCATCGTCCGCACTGCCATCGGCATGCCGCGCCCGCCGCTTCGCCGCAGCCGCCTTAAGACACGCATAGCGGCAGCACATGGTACGGTGCGCGTATTGAGCAGGAATTGCGCGCCGCAAGTAGCGCACTGGCCCTGGGAGAAGGCGATATGGCGTCGTGCGCGGCATACGTTGGTCGGGACGCGTCCAGGTATTTTTCGGGTAAACCTGGACTTTTGCAGTTATACCCGGGTTTTACCCGGAGTTGGCCTGGTGTCGTCTAAGTTCATGGCCCCCGACCATACAGCGTCTAAGTCCGAGCCCGGCTCCGTGCGGGGGCTAAGTTGAGCGCTCGCTCGCTGCAGAGGCTAGAGCCGTAAGTGTAGAGAGCGACCCTCTAGCCCTACTAGCTACTATACCCAACCATTGGGAGGACGACCCCGGGCCCCGGCTAGTGAGTAGTGTCGGGTGTCGCCGACCACACTACCCACAAAGAACCCTGCACAAAGATCGCAAGGCTAGGGCGGGGACCTGTTCCTTTTTACCCACCTCACAGTGTCCACCAAACTCGGCCATTCCAACGGCCAGACCGCTCGCTTAAGGCTGATTGGCTAGACGAGCGGTCTACCTCCAACGGGGCTGACTGGCACAACGAGGAGAGGTCATCCGGATGTGGCGGGACGCCGCCGGGCACCTGGTTGCTCTCCTCCGCCAGACAGCCCCTCCCGACGGGGACGCCACCACCCTCGCCCAGGGATCTACAATGCTGTCTTAAGGTCCGACAGGTTCGGCACCGGGCACCGCCTCGGTATACAAAATGCGCCTGCGGGCGGACCCTTACAGATCACAGATCACCTCGCACAGTAGAGAGGTGTCCGTTTTTATTTATTTATTTAACACAATCAAAAATTAGCGATGTGTACAATGAATTTAATGCAACCAACCATGGTGTGGTTGGTGTGTTTCGCGCCCACCTGCGGAAGAGAGTCCACTAACCACATGACATGTCCGCACGGTCCTATGATAAGCGAGGCCGTCCACACGAGGCCGCACTACTACTGGTACTCGACATACCCAACGTCTGTCTATCGGTCACGTGTGCAAAGGCCAAGAGTCCGGAAGGGAGGCTCCGGCCCGCAGGCGCGAGTTTTGCTATGCACGCGCGCTGACTCGCCCTCTCGCGTCACCCATGGGTGGCAAGGGCGCGTACCCTCCATCTTTGCCCTGGTCCTCAGACGCGGTGGCCGTCTTCCTTTGCCGTGGCCGTCGACAGCGCGCCGACCAGCCAGCAGCCCCAGGTGGCCGCGCAGAAGCCCTGCATCGCGGTCAGCAGAGAGGCGTCCACGTTGGGGATATACCCGCCGGCGTTGTTGGTGACGGTGTAGGTGACGATCGACGCAAAGACAGCCATGAGCGTCTGCGGCACCATCGAGCCTGCGGGCGCCTTGTAGCAGGAGATCTCCCACGCGATCGTCACGCCCTCGATGAAGTAGCTGATGACTGCGAGGAGGAGTACCTCCACATTCTGGATGAAGAAGGCGGGCGCAATGCGCAGCAGAGCGTACGCCGCATTCTCGGCAATGAAGCGGCGGTGGGTCGGCGCCAGGTTGGGCACCTTTGCGAAGCCCGAGTACCCGCCGAGCGCCCACGGGAACCTGCGAGGGATTGCCAGATGGACTTCATTGCGACAGCGGCGATGGCGGAGGCGGCGGTGCGGAGTGGGACTCGAAGGGCGCTGGCTAACGGTGTGGGCGTTTGCGACGGCGGACGCTAGGGGTCGCGTGTTCACACGGGGCAGGCGGCTCCCTTCGCTAGGGGTCGCGTGTTCACACGGGGCAGGTGCGCACTTGTCAGCCCGCTGAGCGTCCGAGGCGGAGGCGGAGAGGAAGGGCAGCACGCCAATCACGACGACATCGAGGACGAAGCCGTGAATGAACCACATCACGGTGCAAACGATAAAGGAGGTAGGCATTCCGGGGGGAGGAGGCGGCGGTGGGGCGGGCGCTGGCTTGCCCCACGCCGTCGCGGCGGCCGCGAGGAAGGCTAGCATCTTCGGTGGGGGGATCTGCTGATTATAATAAACCCGGCGGATGAAAAAGAATTTTCCCACCCCGCGCTAAACCCGCCGCCCTCTTTGTTTTTTTTTATTCCTCCGGCCTTCCCGCCCTCCGCCCTCTCCATCGCCCATCCGTGCATTCCACGATTCGTCGATCCCCCCCCGCCCGTCCACTCCCTCCCGCTTTTGGCGCCCATTCCGCCCTCTCCCTCCGCCCTTGCCCTCTGGCCGGCCTGGGTGGCATCTCATCTTCACCGCCAAGTGGGAGGGAAGTGGACTGGGCCCTGAGCCGACCTAGGTCCTAGCTGCCAAACGGAATGGAGCGCCCCAACACGGCCGAGGCACGAGGGCTGCATAGACTCGATCGCAAGATCCCAGAAAGGCACCTCTGCCTCTGGACAGGGTGGCCCGCCCTAATCGACCCCTTTTAAAGTGACTCGGTCGTTCGCTTTCTTTCCCACACTCACTCACTGTGTGTGTGTTTGAGTGAGTGAGAGAGAGATTTTTGAAGACCAACAAGAAATCACGACTTTCAGGACCACCCCCCTACCGACGGGGTTTGCGCCCGACCGACTCGTTGACGCGGACTGCCCCCGGTGCTCCTTCCCGTTCCGAGAGGTATGGGATGGTGCGGAAGCCCGCTCTCTCGGAGCGGGTCGGGTCTGCTGCGGATTGACGCAGTCGTCCTACCAGTGCCTGTGGTGCGGCGCCGAGACAACAGCTGCCGATCACCCGGCCGAGACCGGATCCGCACAACCGACCACCCCCGCCGCCGCGCCGCCCGAAGACCACATGCTTGAGCATCCAACAGGTGACACGCTGCCGCCGCCATCGGCACCGCCGTCGCCGCCCGAGCCCGTCACCTCCGTGGAGGCTGAAGCGCCATCGGCACCGCCGTCACCGCCCGAGCCCGCCGCCTCCACGGAGCTTGACGCAGAGGTGGCGCGAGCAGCGGAACGAGCGGCACATCGGGACCTACGCGCTGCGCACGAGAACTGGAAGGCGCGGGAGGCCGCGGAGCGCAAGGCGTGGACTGCGCTCGACACGGCGCGGCGAATGTGGGAGGATGCGTGCGACGCGTCGAACCAACTGAAACTGATGTGGGAGCGGGCCCTCTCCACTCCGGCCGGAGACGCCATCGGGTACTACGAGCTACACCGCAAGCAGTCGGAGGCCGCGTTCCACCGCTACCAGGAAGTTGACCGCCGGGGCACCCGGTACAAGCAATGCGTGCAGAGCCTCTCCGACGCGTGTGCATACGGGCGACACGCCGCACAACGCCACGCCGAGGCGCTCGAAGCTCTGGACGACCTCGAGGCGGGCGGCGGCGCGGGCGGAGGGGCGGAGGAGCCCCTGGGGGGTCGCCCCCTCTCGCGGCCGGCGGGCGACACGCCGCCGCCGCCGTCAGCACCACCGTCACCGCCCGAGCCTACCACCCCTTCGAGGACCGGCAGCGCCACGCCACCCTCCCCGGCCACGCCCCGGGCGCCGTGCACCCGCTGTGGCGATGGCCGCATCCCGGCCGGCGCCATCCAGTGCCCGACGTGCCACTGGATCCTCGACGAGACCTGGGACGAGCACGAGGCGTACCATTGGCAGGATGGAAGCGACATGCGCTGCTGCGATTGCGGCGAGCTGTGGTCCTCGAAGGTACAATATTGCCTAGGGGACTGGTGTGGCGGCCCCGTCGAGCCAGTCGACGGCTCGTGGCATGTTGCATGGAGACTCCTGAATTCGGCAAACCCGGAGCAGCTGCACACTACGATACCTAAGTTCGCCGGCGGTCGCTACGAGAGGGAGGATGTGGAGGTAGTCCGCATCAGTGGGCCACGCCCGTCGCCCCACCCCGGCCCTAGTGCCGCTGGCAGCTCGAGCGCGCACGCGGGCTTGGCACCGGGCGACGTGGACCACGAGGACGAGGCGGTGCCGAACGAGCAAGCGGGCGCGGCGTCCGCGCATGTGCCGGGCGACGCCGCCCCCGCAGGGCCGCCCGACCCCATCGCCCAGACGCCCGCCTACCCACCGCCGACGGGGCCAGAGCACGGGAGGGAGTTCGCCGCCCTTGCCACCGCCTCCACCCCCGCCACCGGCGGGGCCGCCACCGTGTGGACCCGCTCGGAATAACCTGGGGGATCCGGAACCGCCCCGCCGGAGGCTGGCGTACCCGGGCGAAGGAGCTGGGAGGGGGGAGTTGCCGCAACACAACAACGAACCCGCCGGCGAGCCGGAGGGCCGAGACCGGAGGGCCCCGGGGGGGGCCTGGGGTCAGCTGTCGGAGGAGGCGAGAGACGAGCTGACGCGGCCTCTGCGAGTAGAGTCGGGACGGACGGACGAGCCGAGGACGATAGAGAGACCGCGGGGGCGGGCGCGAGTCCTCGACCGAAGAGAGCTGGCCCCACCCCCCGGGGAGGGGCGGCGTGGCGATCGAATGCCGCCGCCCTCGCCCGAGGAGTCGGGCACGGGATCGCCGGAGGCGGAGGCAACAAGAATAGCCCCCGAAGACGAGACGGCGGCGAGGCCGCGGTCGAAGAAGTATAAGAGGGGAAGGCGGGCTCCGCAGCCGACGCCGAACCATCGGAAATCGAACAGGAGGGAGGACCGGGAGGAGAGGGGAGCCCCCTCGGATGGGGGGTGGGGAGATCGGGCGGAGGAGCCCTGAGTGGCGATGTCGGGTGAGAGTGTACGTCATGCTCGTGTCTAGTGTCTGGTGTTTACTAGCTCCGAGTAGAGGGGGCGTTCCGCCGCTAGGGGACACCCAAAGCGCAGAACTAACCCTCGGAGACCCGTGTTTACTTTAAGGCCCTTGCCCTGCGAATGCGCACCCCCCTAGCTAGGGGTCAGGGCTCTCTAGCCCGTAGCCCGATCCCGATCATCCGGCCCGCTGGATGCGCTTCTCAGCTCACCGGCCCTGGATGTGAGGTTACCGACTGCACTCCAAGTGCTCCAAGTTTCACAGTGATTTGGGCTCGGCAGCTTGTTAGCCCTCAGCCGAAGCTGGGGCCGGTCCCGTATCCGAGAGTGAGTACACACGCACACACACACTGTCTGTGTGTGTTTGTTGTTTTGTGAGAGCGCTGTGTCTTGCTTTCCACACTCTCTCAAACAACAATATCGAAACACATCTAAAGAAATTTAGGCGAGCGCGGAAGCAGAACGCGAAGCAGCGTCCAAGCAGGCTGATAATAGCCAAAAAGAAATCTAGCCTCATTACCCGCTCGCCACTCTCTGGTTATCACCGTCCTCCCATCCCTCCCTGGCTGTCCGCTTTTCTTTTTCTCTGGTTATCATCACCAATGGTGGAGGCGGTCTCGCTCTCCGCCCTGCTGCGGCACGCTGGTCTCGGCAGGTACGTTTCGGCTCGAACCGACGTGCCGGTTTCACATCCGCTCAGTCCGGGCGCGGTCAACGACGCGCTGCGGCGGATGGAGCAGGCCGTCCCGTCCGGGCAGGTCTTGCCTGGGCACTCCAGGTCGATCAAGTACAAGTTGGAGAACGAGGACCACCGGAGGTGCGCAAACCCGTTCCCAACCTCGTTGGACGTGACGTTCGGCGAGGGCGGGCAGGCGCTGTTCAAGGTGCAAAGGCACGGAGGCTGGCCCCACAACAAATACGTGACCGCCGACGGGCTCGAGAAGGTGGCCGAAGGGGAGGGCGCTCGTCGCCGCACGCTGGGCGACGACGACTGCATCGTCCTCGTCCCGGAGATCCCCTCCTGCGAGGACGCCTGGTCGTTTGATGTCGAGGTGCTGCTCCCGCTGCTCGAGCACCCGCGCAAGTGGTGGCCGCAGGACCGGTCGGTCGGCAAAATAAGCTGGCACACGGTGCTCGCTGGACAGAGCGGGGAGGGCGGGGACGAGGTCAACTTCCTGACCTTCGTCTGCCGCGAGCGAGAGAAGGGGGACGCGGAGGTGGAGGCGGGCGAGGGAGGAGGACGCCCCCGCCGCGACCGCTCTCCCGCGGCGCCGGCCGTCGAAGTCATGGCGGGCCTGATCGCGCCGCCGCAACCCGACTGGCGGCCGGGCGAGGGCATCTTCGCTCGAAGCTTCCACGCGTTTGAAAAGGTGCCCGGCGCTGTCGCCCTCGACCAGCTGCACGGCTGGACTGCGATGACCGTCGTGACAACATCCCGCTTCATCTCGCCTCCTAGTCTCGCCTCATCTCGCCTCATCTCGCCTCACCTCGCTTCATCTCGCCTCACCTCGCTTCACCTCGCCTCACACCTCGCCTCATCTCGCCTCACCTCGCCTCATCTCGCCTCATCTCGCCTCATCTCGCCTCATCTCGCCTCATCTCGCCTCATCTCGCCTCATCTCGCCTCATCTCGCCTCACACCTCGCCTCATCTCGCCTCATCTCGCCCCATTTTTTCTTTTCTAGACCACTCCGAGACCGAACCCCAAGACCGACCCGAGACCCGAGATCGACCCGAGATCGACCCGAGATCGACCCGAGATCGACCCGAGATCGACCCGAGATCGACCCGAGATCGGCACGAGATCGATCCGAGATCGACCCGAGATCGACCCGAGATCGACACGAGCGATCAACCCAACAATGCCCCAAAGCCCCCTCTCTGGGGGACCCCCCCTCACCCCGAGTGTCCGTGTCCTTCGCGAGTCACCGATGGGGAGCGGGGGGGGGTGCGACCGATGCACAGGGGAGGCTGGGGAGGGGGGGGTCCACTCTGAAGACTGCCGACCGCGGGGGGGTTTTGTCCCACAGGGTTTTACCCTCCGCGTGAGGATCGGCGCGGCGAGGGGGTAGGTTCGAATTCGCCGCGCAACATTTCACCCCCACAGGACCCCGCCCACCCCCCCTCATGGTCCCACCTAGTACCCCAATGAGCCTTCGCACCCTAGATGTTAAGTCTGTATTTTGTGTATTTGGACTTGGGCTGAAAACACAGTGTATTTTGTGTATTTGCTCCCACAAAGCCAGGATACACACTCGATGGGGACCACTAGATCCTAC